TGCAGCAGAAGCCTTGCAGCCACCAGGACCCACTGGGATCGAATGGAGCAGAAACACATAACTCTCTAGCTTCCTCTTTTCAGTCTCTTTACTTCCTTCAAGTTTTTTGTTTTCCTCAGACTATGCAATGAGTGAGTGATTCTTCGTGTATAAAGATGGCTCTTTGGCTTTATCATTACTAAGGTGATGCCCTTTGAACTCTTTCTGCAGGAATCTGAGTCAAGTGTGTTGATGAGGAGTTCCTGCTTGGTCTCCCCTAAAGAGCTGGTGGGGAGAGGCAAACCCTCTCGGGCCCCAGGTAGATGAAGCTGACTGGTCCAATGACAGAACACTCAGCACTGGGCTGATGGTTCTGTTGCTCAGGAATCTAAGTTTGAGTCGCTCACATTGGCATTGTATGTTCTCCAGAAGTTTAGCCTCAATAGACTTAACCATCATGTCACCTTCTGCCCCGTCTAATTCTCTGTCCCATATTTTGATTTCTGTAATTCTCTACGATTCCTCTTATGTTTCCATATGAATTGCTCTATCTACTTGGTTACCCTCTATTTGCAAGGTTGTATTTTATAAATGCCTTAGGTTTTCATTCCCCTTATAGGAGCATTCAATTTAGCATATTAGCCAACTTATCATCTATGTATCATCTGTCACTGTTACTTTTATGAGCACTCAATAATCACTCATAGTCTGTGTCTCCTGCTTTTTCCTCTTGCATTTGTTTTGTATGAGTTTTGCTCTTGCATTTCTACCTTCATTTTATTTGAGCCAAGAAGGCAGGAGTTGCCAGTGGAGTCAAGGGAAAAAACAAGAACATGAGGCAATTTTAGTTCTGTATGAATATGCACACATCTGCCTATTTCTGGACTCATACACACCTGCTACAACTTCCTCTGATCTTGTTGAATTGTTAGTCTGCACAAAAATGGAGCTTAGCAGATTCTCCGTGATTGCCCTCTTTGCTCGGTCACTCCCTGAGATGGTCCTCAGTCTAGTGAATGGTGGAGCTTTCTCCCTTAGTGGCGTTTCTGAGTTGAATTGGGACTTGGATCAGACAGCATCCAGCAATAAAAGAAGCCCTTTCCCTGTCCTTAAGACACCTGCCTCAGCAGAGAGAATGGGGGGTCAGCGAAATCTAAGCAGTCCAGCCCCACGCCAACTGCAAACTTCAGTTCACATCCTCTTCCCCCTAACCTGCCCTTCCTCTGAACTACTGGGTCACGTACAAAGCACCACTCTAGCATTTGACTCCACCCCCCTCTACTCCTAGGCTCAGTAGCTGATTAGTTAGCTTGGTTAAATACTCACTGAGTGCCTGCCCTGTGCCAGGCCCTGTGCTTGGACACCTGGGATAGAAAGATGAGTCAGGAAAGGGTCTGAGGTCCACTAGGACACCTCACTCCTGTGCAAGACAGACACAAACATGCAAAACAGCGTGTCCCATGTTGTCTGTGAGGTGTGCAGGTGGTGGAAGGGACAATGGGTTGAGGATAAACCCAGTTGGTCACTAGGCCTGGCTGACTTATGGCCTAAATATCTCCTCTCTCCCAGCACCCGACTCTTCATTCTCACCTCTTCTCTTTGTTTAACTCTTGTCCTTTGCCCAAGCATTTATTTCACTCTCCTAACTAGACCTGCACCTTGGTTCTAGGGTTTCCTTCACTTTTCTCTCAAAAAACAGCTCTAGGGCCTCCCCAGTGGCACAGCGGTTGAGCGCTGGGTCGTGAAGCTGCTGCAGCCTCTGCAGCGCCAGTTCGATCCCCTGCTGCTCTCGGGCCACCGGAGGAGGATCCCACATGGCGCGCAGACCTCTCCTGCCGCCCGCTGCTCCCCTCAGCAGTGTACTTCAGTCCTTCTGCCTGCTCTGCTCCCGGCTCTGGCTCTGGTGAATTCTGTCACCCTCCCGCGCTTCTGACTGTACCCAGTGCTTGTATAAATAAAAAATAAATAAATAAATAAAATAAACAAACAAATAAATAAATAAATCTTTAAAAAAAAAAAAAAACAGCCCTATTCCCCTGAACACACTGGTGCACATACCACACCCTGCTCCACAGTTCTCTCCGGCATCACCTTTTCCTCAACGGTCCTTCCATCTCTCATTCTTTCTACACACCACATCCAGTGTGTCCTGAGTTCCTAACTGAGCATCCAGCCTGCGATGGGACACAGTAAATGTGTATGAATGTGTCTGCCACTCCCATTTAAATTCTTCCAACTCTCATGGGGTAACGAAGGAGAATATCCTCCTTCCCTGATCGTGAGGTTTGTCTACAGTCCCACAATTATCGACGTCGTCAAGTCAAAGAGGTCCAGCCTCAGTCTCTGCAATAGTGGGGGTGCCATAAACAGGGTTAATCCAGGCGAGCCCCAAGTCTATCACACCATGTTGGTTAGGGTTCTTCACATTGCCTCCCGCCCCATGTGACTTAGCCAGGCTGTTCATGTGGTGCTTCTATGTATTTTCATGATGTGTTTCTGTGTGTTTCCTGGGACTTTTCATGATTTTACCTGACTGTGGGTGTGAGAAACTAGCCATGGAGCATGCTGAGAATAGGAACTGACCTCAGGTGGCAGCGTGATCTTCTATATTTGGTTAAAATGTGCTGAGTGTGGGAGGAAAGACTTCCTGGAGGTTCATGGATATCTTGTGTACAAAGAATGATAGATTATAATAATTGACAAAATTAGTTTGGTTTGAATCAGATCTTCAAAGACATTGGGAGAATGGGGATACATGCATAAAGTCAAGTGATGACTGAGCCAAAAAAAATCACTGCTCTCTTTAAAGAGCATGATGTTGCAATATAAATTAGCATCCTGTGATTTTTATGGATATTCTGAGTACAGCTCTGAGACAAAGACTGCCTGTGGTGTGTATTTCTGAGGAACACAGAGTAGGATCAGTGTATTAGAGGAGGTAGAGAATACTAACCAAAAATTAGTAGTCTGGGTCCTTTGATTGTTGAGGAGCTACTGAAATCCTGGAACAAAAACCCCCCATTGCATGTAGTACTTTTGAAAGTGTTTACTGATACCATGTTAGAAAAGTCTGTCATGATGGAAGTGTTGGGAAGTGGACCCTTATCTGTGAGAACTGGAATCTCAAAGTTATTCCTTAGCCTCTTCTGGATGGATTCCCCCACCACCATCATTTGTATTATTTGCCTTCCCAGGAAGTGCTAATCAAGACCCAGATAAGGTTGCTGGAGCCATCATAGATGCCATTGAAGGTTTTGTCCAGAAAGGATCTATTCAGTCTGTGAAAAAAGTTACGGTTGTTCTCTTTGGGCCTCAGTTCCTGATGTGTTTTATGCCAACATGAAGAAAAGAAAAGGATTTCAACCTTCTCCCCAACAGTCTGTGATGTCTTACATTCCACGTGAGTTGTTTTTACCAGATGCACATTTCCTATTTTTTTGGTCATGTGAGAATTTGGGTTCATTTATAAATTAAATATGGAACTACCATGTGGCTCAGCTACTCCACTTCTTGGTATTTGTCTGAAGGAAATAAGATCATGATCCCAGGAAAATATAAGCCCCTCCCCCCACTGTCATTACAGCATTATTTATCAAAACCAAATTGTGGCAACAACCTAAGTTTCCACTGATAAATTAATGAATAAGAGAGATGCAGCTTACATGTATTATGGATTATTACTCAGTTACAGAAAATGAAATCCTGCTGTATGCCACAACAATGTACGGGCCCAGAGGGTTTTATGCTAAGTAAAATAAGTTGGGCAAAGAAAGACAAATACTGTGTGACATCACTTCTATATGGAGTTAATAAAAAATGAACACATAGAACACATTGGTGGTTGCCAGTGGCAGCTGGGTGTCTTGGCAATGCAAAGGAGGTGGAGGTAGGCAAAAAGAGTGAAGATGGTCAGAATGTACCAAGTTCTAGTTATAATTTCAGGAGATGTAAAGTACTGTTTGTAAAAAAAAAAAAAAAGCAATAATCTTTCTTTCTTCTGTCTTTTAGCAATTTTGGCTCTCTTTTGATTATTTAGTATCTTTGTCTTCTGTCTTTCCTTTTTTAGAATTTTGGCCTCTTTTGATTCTTCTTTTTTTTGGTTTGGTTATTTTCTTGTTTTACTTAATATTTTTGGGATCCTCACGGTGCTCTCCAAAAAAATACAATCCTTCAGTTTTGGAAAATAAAACAGAGTAATTTTTCAGGTGAGTGGTGAAAATGTAAAGTGTGTGGAAAACGCCCTCTCCTGGATACAGGATCCTACTGAAAAGGAGCAGTGCTCTTACACCAGTGCAGATGAGTGTATTAAAGACTTTGATGAAAAGGAGGCCCAGAAATTGAATGAGCCACAGAAGAAATTAAACATTACTATATCCTTGGACCATAAAAAACCTTTGATTGAGGTTTTAGGAATTGGCAGAGATGTGACTGAGGCTAGAAATGAAATTGAGGAAATGATTAGGAGAGTAAGATTGGCCAAAAAAAAAGGAATCCCGGGCAGATTATACCAGTGAATTTATAGAATGGCGATATCATGACAATAACACTTACCACAGTTTTGACAAAATGACCAATCTGCAATTAGAGAATGCCCAGAAAAATCGCCAAACGACAACTGAAGTCACAGTTAATCAGCAGATCTACACAGTGAATTTGAAAACAAACACGGCTACAGATGCAAAGGGACACAGTATATCTGTTGAGCGCCTCAAGAAATGTGAAGGTGAGTCAAACTTTTATTCTTGCTATTTATTATTTTATACCTGCTTTGGACATAATCCTGTTTTATATTTACATCAAAGTTGTTTCAAGTAGATAAAATTCAACCAACCTTTAGGGGATAAAATAGAAAACTTATGGTCCCCAGGACACAGCTGGGGAGGTCAGAAGCCTCAAGTGGTGGTGGCAGCCACTGCCGCGAGGCAGAGATGCAGGTGAAGTCAGGGGGCCGCTAGTTAGAGCCAAAAGCAGAAACTAAGGGCAGGGAGGAGTTTTCAAGGAAACGAAAGCGAAAGAGTCAGTCCAGGCAGACGGACCAGAGCCGAAGATGGCAGCATCCGGCTCTTTTCCTCTGCTGGTAGAAGGCTCTTGGGGCCCGGATCCCCCGAAGAACTTGAGCACCAAGTTGCAGCTGTACTTCCAGAGCTCGAAGAGGTCGGGAGGCGGGGAATGCGAGATCCGCCGGGAACCCGGGAGCCCTCCCCGCTTCACGGTGCTCTTCTTCCCGGACGACGGTAAAGGGCTCCAGGGATGAGCAAAAGAGGGATCAGCCGGGCTCCTCCGGGTTCCTCCTCTAGGGGAAAGTTGGGGTTGGCACTGGGACCGGGACTAGGCTGTGCTGTGGCTGGGAGTCCCGCCACAGTCGTCGGGGAGAGAATGTGGACCTGGCGGAGCGGGATTTCCCCCCGCCGGTCCCGCTTTCAGGCGCTTCCTGGGGCTGCCTGGAGGTGGCGGCTGCTGCACCGCGAAAATGAGTTGTGTCTTTAGCGTGGTAGGACATAAAAGAGCGGATTGAAAGCTGAGTACCCACCTCATTTACGAGATTGTATAGTGTGTTGGAAACAAGGTTTCGGTTCCATTGCAATTTTAGAACTCCAAAGGTTTATGGGAGCGTTAAGGGAAGGGAAAGTTCTAGGAAATCACATGAAAACTGACTCCTTGCAGGTGAGTTCAGTTCGGGGTGGGCAATTCTTCAGGGAGGGCGCTTCCGACCTGACAGCACTGCATGAACAAGCACAGGAAGCTTGAGACTTCCTCAGGGAAGCAGGGGCCTGTGAGCCCGCAGTGTGGTGGAGAAGTCAGTCCTCTGCTTATCCCTGTGCACCTGCTGGCAGGGTCTGCAAACTGGACGGCAAGTACACGTGGGGACTGGGAAAAGGTGTCAGATGTCAGAGGACAGTTATGTATTTTAAAATCTTAGGCCTTCTGTTGTTAAACCTCCCTCTTTTTTAAAAAAAGATTTATTTATTTATGCACACAAGAACTGGGGTACAGACCAGAGGCCTGGGGCGGGGTGAGAGGACTCACCAGAGACAGAGTGGGGAACAGAACAGGCAGACTGACCGAAATACACTGCTGAGGGGAGCAGCGGGCAAGACAGGAGAGGTCTGCTGTGCCCTGTGGGTAGCTCCCTGGCCGGCATCTAACACTTGCTGCAGAGGCTGTGGACAGCTTCATAGGTTGTGTCTCAACCCCCTGAACCACCAGGGAGGCCTCCCATTTGGGAAAAGGTACAAAGGAAATTAAAGCTAAGAGATAGTTTGACTTGGACGATAGAGGGTCCTGTATGGACAGGGTCAGTAGCATGAATTTTCTTTGCCCCAGATGGAGGCGCCCATAGGCAGGGATTCGGACAAGCTGATGCTGCTCTCCTGACACTGGATTTGAGAAACAGGGCCCAGAAGAGAGCAAGGAGGCTTCCAAGGCCCTAAAAACAGTAGCAGTGGGGAGGCAGGGATGAAAAAAGGAATCAGTGAAACCCAAAGGTTGCAGATAAGTGTGAAGGAAAGCAGGTGGGCAAGGACAGGAGACCCCTTGGCTCAGGACACTTACAACAACAGACTCCTGAGGGTTCTGAGTTGTGCGTCACCAGAGAGCTCAGAAGGGCAGCTGTGCGGTGTGTGAGTCATTTCTTCACTGTCAACAGTGTGGACCTGGCCCTTCGGGACACTTCTTTCTTTGTTGAGCCCCAGGAGCAGTTATTGAGCTGGGACAACAGACTCCAACTCCCCCCCACACCCCCCGCCCCTAAATCACAGCAGATTAAACAGAGTGTGGTGGCTGGGAATCTGCACGTTTTACCAGGAATCGGGTCACCTTGCTCCACTAAAGGGTGCGAATCTGTAGTTTGATGATGACCTCGGGTGAACAAAACAGGGAATGATTATACAACATAAAAAACATAAATACACAGATGGTGTAAAATAGAATTTTGGGATGCCTTCATTCTATTCTAGCTCTCAAAGCATACATCATTTAGGTCTCCCTGCTAGGCCTTCTTTCTTTACCCCTCCCAGCCCACTATAACCCCTCACCCCATACTGCTTCAGTGGCTCCTCCTGTGTTATGCCCGAGTACAAATACTCAGACTTACTGCCTCTCAGGTCCTTTCCTGGTCAAAGTTCTCAGGAGGTGGAAAGTCCCTGTGGCATTTCAGTTTCAGTTTCCCATAAGAGGAGCGCCATTCTCAGTAGCAAGTTGCCTGGAATTTGCTGAGCACGAGTGACCTGCCCTAGCAGGGGTACCCCATCCTCCATGCAGGAACGGGTGCAAGTCCACAGCATGACGTGACTTTATTTTTGTGATTCACTTAATAAAAAGGAGCCCCATAGCACTTGTCTGTACAAACAGGGAACTAAGAGGTTGTTAAAATATTTTTATGCGGTTCACTGAAAGTTGTGTGTAAATTGAAATCCTGTTCCAATGCGTACACTTATCATCCTTATTGCTTTCATTTTCCTCCTGACTGTTGTTCAGATGGGGCAAGAGAACCCAGCTTTTCTTTAAATAAAATGCAGCAGAGGTGCTGGCTGCAGAAGCAGACTGTCCACTTGGGTAAGGGAGACTGGTAGCAGAGTTTCATCTCTTTTTCCTCCCAGATTCACCAACTCCTCACTGGGGATCACGTACAGAGACACCATCTACTCTCTGGAAATAAGGCTGCCCAGATATATTACACTCAGTCTCAGAACAGGCTGGCACATTCAGATGCCCGGACAGGACTCTGTCAAAGTCTAGAGAATCATAAAGGAATGTAGCACAGAGTTCATGACCCTAGACAACTAGGCTTCAAAAACAATACTGTTAGTCGGTTACTAAGAGAGGAATGTCTTCCTCAGCCTTAGCGCTCTTCCTCAGGCAGTAGGTCAGGAGGCTGTTTCAATAAACACCACCTCAGCTTGCTCGTTGGCTTTGGGGTCTTATCTAGCCCTCAATCTTCATTCTAACTTAGGACAGCTCCTAAGAAGTCCAAGGTGAAGCATCCACTCTCTCATGAAGAGTGACACAGGAGTCTGGCATTTTTTCTCATATTGTTTCTGGACCAGCTTCTGAGTTGGCATCCGGTTGGTGAAGGCTTCCCTTCTTCCACCCCTTTGTGGATAGTTGAGATGAGAAAACTGTTCAAGGCCCTCTTGAAAGATTCGTGTGTACGTCTTTGGCCCCATCAGGTCACCATTTCACAATATAATCTGGTGACCTCACACTCAGGGCAGAGCTGCACCCGTGAATCACAAGGGCACCCTCACTGGCTCCCTTCACCCTGACCTCCTTAGCCGCCTGACTATGCTGGTCTCACTTCTGTTTCCACACTCACCTGCTCCCTCTTTCCACTGTCTGAGATACACTGATTTCCCTTTCTTTTCTCTCTGACTTACACTCGCATCTCTCTTGTGGGTGTAACAGAATAGGTCAGAAACACCTCCTTACGTGAGGGAACAAACTCTAGAGAAGTTACGATCTTTTCTCAGTGTCACTCAGCAAGTTCATGGCAGAGTTGGAATTCAGATGCAGGCTTTTGTACTCTTCTGTCCACTGGTCAGTTTGTTCGCTGCTCATTCTTTTTTCCTTTCATGAAATCTCCTCCATCTCTTCTTTTCTACTCCTTTTACTCTCAGATATGAGTCCCTTACTATCGCAGGTTAAAGAGTTGATTGAAACAACTCTAGGCCGTACCCATGGCCACTGTACCCATGGCCAATTTCCTAAATTGTGGCCTCCATCACATCGTGTCCCAAGCCCCAATCTACTGGCTCAGCATGAGAAATACTTAGTTCTTCACTGTAGAATAAATACTGCTATCTTTTTGAGTACCAAATAACCTCAGGTAATGTACTAAGTTCTTTATTATATTTCTTTCATGTTTGTACTGAACACACATACAAAACAATCTTCATTAACTACTTACGATTAGACAGGAAGACAGACTTTGTATTTTTATTAAGAAAGATGCTCACAGTTAAAAATGATAACTTTAAAGATGGAATTGAAATCTGTGTCTGCTTGCTAAGTATTTCTCTTTCTGCTGCTTAAGGCCTCTCTTGGGAAATGATCGAGCCATCGATTTATGATGATGAAACCCATGGAAATCATGGGATAATTTTATGAATGAAGATTGCTTGACCACTGGCTTTTAAAATTTTTAAATTTCAGTTCGGCAGAGAGTCCTGGACAGAGACAACCATGAGTTAGTATGGCCTGGACAAGGAACATTCAAGTTAACTGTCAAGTTGCCCACAGCCCCAGATGAAGTCCAAAATGTCCTTGAAGAGGAAATTCCAAGGAAGGTAAATAAAAGCGTAGGGTGTTCTCATAAGGTGTGTGGGAGGGGATTGCAATGAGAAAAATACTGTGAAATGGGAAGTATAAATAAAACTGGGGAGAGAAAAGCAATTTACAAAATAGAGGGGATGAAGATGGTGAAGTGTAGTATGGAATAATGAAGGAGAGGACAGTTTTTGTTTGATTTTTGACACTTTTAGAAAAATCAAGATTTGGAGGTTTCAATATTTTGGTTGAGATATAAAATTTGGGGTCTGTCCTGGGTGCTTTATAACCTGGAACTTAGTTACTTTGTTTTGTTTTGACATTGTTCTGAGGGGAAGGTGACCCATACTGCATATCCTGAGTATTTCCTCAGCTGTAATGGTGTCCCCGTGTGGGGTGGTTGGGGGTGAGGATGAAACGCGATGACTCCTGTCATGCAGGAGGCATGGTGCTTGCTCACAGTGACCACTCAGGGAATGTTAAGTGCAGAAACGACATGAGCTAAACTGTTACTCTGATCTAGATCTTACCTCACAAGCCAATGCTGGTTCACTGGGGTTTCTGTTATTTGTAACTTGTTTGTACCAGTTGTGCTGACTGAGTGGACGTGCCAAATGCCCAAGGCGCCCCAGCAGCATCACCCCAGCCTCTCATTGTCTTCTCTCTAAGCCCTACGTCTCCAGCTACTCCCAGAGGTACTTTGTCAATGCAAAAAAATGATTGCTAATTCATTCATGCTACTTTACTGTTTGGGTTTCAGGAATCCAAGACCAAAGTCCATGTCAGAGAACCAGGTAAGGTCTCCTCCTGAGGCAGTTTTGCTTCTTTTCAAGAGAGCATGGCCATGGCCAGCCCTCTCTTCATGGTTTTACAAAGCAGGTTTGCTCAGCTGAGCAATGCCTAGAAGTTGCATCATCTATATGCTCTCTGCCACTCATACAGAGGGCAAACCCGGAGTTGCCCCTTGAGTTCTTAGGGTTCAGGTGAGAAGGATGAGAACAGCTTGCTGTTTGCGAATAGACAGCAAGCAATGGAAAGGCAGACAAAAAGCTACATGGAAGGTGGATGAATCAACCTTTAGAACCCACTTGTGTGCAACTGGCCACCGAGAAACAAAGACATGACATGCTGGTGCCCTGTGTTGCAAAATCAGTTTCTGAGCACAGAGTATGGAAGACTCTGTCCTCTGCAGCCACAATAAGAAAGTGTGTCCCTTATGGACAGAAATTTCTAAGCATGGTTCAGGTATAGGGTACAGCCCTCCAGACCAGCAGCAACTGTTCTTGCCTCATTTGCTATAAAAAAAAGTCTACAACCTAGTGGCTTTGCGGACTGGCTGCCTACTTAGTTTTTGGGCGGTGCCTCCTGACATTTATTTAGAAGCGACTAATTTTCCTAGCAAAGCTAGCTCTTAAAAAGGGGAGGAAAGGATGAACCGTGCTGGAATGGAGAGAAACTGAAGAATATATTTTATCTTCAGGAAATGGAATTCCAAAAAACTGTGTGAACATCTTCCTCTAAAATCAAAATTTTCTCAAGATCACATATAGACTTTTGCAATTTTCTTTTTGAAAATGACACTAGCATGAGAGTTGATTTTATTTGGCAAAATAGCTGGATAGGATTGTAACTCACATAGATGTACTATTAAATGGTAGAGCCTAGTATGTAGAGTTTTCTTAAAGCTCATGATTCTTACGAAATCATGAAAGAAATTTTTGTCTCTTTAAAGGAATTCCTGTCTTTCATTCTTCACATATAGGCCCAACTCACCCAGCTCCCAATGTTCATTGTGACCCCCCTAAATATAGTTTTCTTGAAAGTTGCCTTGTGTGCTGTGTCCTCAACCTCAATTTTAGATCCAAAAGTGGTTTCGTATTTGTATGTTTGTATCTGTGTCATTCCCATGTCCAGAATTTAATCAAGTCCGTGTTTTTTAGCTTTTCCTAGATTTTATCCTAACTCTGTTTTAACTGCTTTGTTAGCACTGTCTCAGATTTGCTTAAAACTTCAAATGTATTCTAAGAATAGCCATCCAACCCCACACCAATGGGCTTCTCATTGCCCTGGAAATTTTAGAACCATTTACTAACCTGTTTAAATTGACCCAGTTCCGGGCCTCCCCGGTAGCGCAGTGATTGAGCGCTGGGCTGGGAAGCTGCCCGCAGCCTCCCCAGCACCTGTTCGATCCCCATCCCCTGGCGAGAGTCCCACATGGCACTCAGGCCTCTCCTGCCGCCCGCTGCTCCCCTCAGCAGTGTACTTCGTCAGTCTGCCTGTTCTTCTCCCCACTCTGGCTCTGGTGAATTCTCTCACCCTCCCACGCTTCTGACTGTACCCAGTGCTTGTATAAATAAATAAATAAAATCTTTAAAAAAACAAAAGACAGTGGTCCTAGAACATTTTAAAAAAAATTAAAAAAAAAATAAATTGACCCAGTTCCAGTGATAGCAACCGGAGAGGAAGTTGGGTGGTCTCAAACAAGATACTCTAGTTGGCCCCTTTCAGAGAAGAAGAGGAGGTCCTCTGTTTAAAGTTTTTCCACACTAAATCCTGAAAATTGCCCTAAGGTTAGGACTCTTAAAATAAATCAGACCGTTATCCAAATTGAGCAAAATGACGGTGAAATGTAGATCCCTAAAAACCCCTTAACTCAGGCATGAGGAGAGCACATGCTGCACTGTGATGCACTGGGCAGAGATGAAACCCAGAGCACAAAGATGGACAAGCACTTGGCAGAGCAAGGAAAGGACAAGATAAGCCCACACCTTCATCAGGGATGTGAGCCCTGAGCCAATCCTGCCAGGCCAGGCTGGGGTGGACTGGGCCTGAAAGGTGGAAATCAACAGTTGGAACAACCTAGACAAATTCTGGCTTTTCCATATCTGTATTTCCAGTCTGCACACATTTCTAAATCCCTGATGTTTGTGACTTGTTTGTACCAGTTGTGCTAACTGAGTGGATGCGTCTGAACTTCCTTTTGGGAAATATGTTAAAACCAACAGGTCTGACGCCACATGTGTCTTCTTCTCCCCAAACCAGTACCCTCTTCTGGCTTCCTTATTTCTCATGAGAATTAAAACCAGTCTGCCTCTCACCTTCTAGAAATCTTGGAATTCTCTCCTCTTTAAGCTTTCACTAATTTCCCCCCCCCCATCATCATCACTGCCCCTCTCCAGCAGCTCACCTATCACTGCACAAACAGCTCATGACTAGAGTTGCCTGCTTTCTTTCCCTCTGTCCAGTGTCCTTCTCCTTAAGTCTGACCAGGTCTTTGTACCATTGATGAATATTCTGTCATCTTTTATATGGCAACCTTCTGCAACTCACCCTTAACTACCAACTGTAAGATAAGGTCCAGACTGTGCTCTGGATGGAACTGACTTTTCTGGCCTCATTTCTTACACCTGCACACACGAGTGCTCCTGAGCTTCATTGCCCAGACTGCCGTTTCTCAGACAGGTTGGCGCAGACACAACACTAACTGTCCTTCTGTTGCTCATATCACTCTCCACCTCACTTTTGTCTACTCAAATTCTATATAGCCTGGAATATCTACTCAGTATCCTCCTCATCTTGGGAACCTTTCCAATGCAGCCCAAACTTTAGCTCTGTTTCTTAGACTCCTGGATTAGCTGTTGGTTCTCTTTATGGGGCACTTAACCAAGTCTCTCTTGTGATAAAGCTTCTAGTGGTCAATGATTATAAAGTTATGTTGCTGGAAAGCTCTTACTGTTTACTTAGTTTTACTTAGACTCATTTATAATTAAGAGACATGCCAAGGGCAATGGCTAAAGAGTCACAGAGTCTGGGTTGTAGTCACATAACTTTACTCCAGCAGTAATCATTCTGTAGTCATACCTATCTCATTGAATGCTAATCTATGTTGTTATTTAATCATTAAGGAAATTTTTATTTGGCATGAGAGTGGTGTCATCTCCAGTATATACGAGTAGTATTTGTCAAGCCCAAATCACAATTCAGTGTGGCTGGTGGCTAGGGTGGAGGGAGTCTAGACTGCTGTACACAGTCATCGGGAATCCAGGCTTCTTCCATCTTTGGACAGCAATTTCATTGATATGATCTCCAGGGTCTGCAGAATGGAGATTGATATAAAGGAGATTTGTATTGACCAGGCTTGGAAGAGTAAATCGCCTCTTCCACCCATATTAATCAGCCACATGAACTCTACTTTTGGAATTTAACTGAAAGAAATCTGGGAAATTCCAGGAAGGAAACAAAATTAATTTGGTGAGCACATAGCATTTTATTTTGCTATAATAAGCATGTACATAGGTCAGTTCCTTTCTCATTTTTCTTTTACATCTTCATTAGAAACCCATTGTATTCTGACCTACTGTTTTTTGTGTGCACCACTTTCCATATCCAGCTCCTTGAACATAATAATGGCCCCAAGTAATAGTTGTTCACACAATGTCTAAAGATCATATCACACATCATGCTTTACTGGACAATCAAAGAGAGACTGACCTCAAGCGTATGTGTAACTCATTGTGGTCAACAATGGACAGGGATAACTGTCCATGGAATTTTTATTTGGCATGAGAGTGGTATCAGTGCTGTCCAGTGACTGGGATAATTGCTGTTTACTGGATTTAATGGGGATATACAGCTCTCCGGGCCATTGAAGTTTCTCTGTGTATTTCTTAGTTATTCACTGTAAGTATTTCTTAGTTATTCACTGTAAGGATTCTTACTTCAGTGATGGGAACCTTTTGCTTTTCAGAGTACAGTTTGTTAGATGATGACATGTTTGGGTATCGTCAGATACTCTCACTTTCCTTCAGTGGCCCAAACAGTAAATCTTCAAGTAAGCAAATCATTATTGAGCTTCAACTATTTATCATGTGCCAAGATACAAGGATGAATAAACATGCCCCTTGCTTTTGAGAAGCCAAGTTTAATAACATTAATATGGTGCTGAGATCAAAGTTTATTTCAAGTGTTATAATAGATAAGGCAGTTTCCTCAGAGTGACAAGGCAGAAAAGAGTGTAATAAAATTGAATGTGGTAATATAGACTGCCAAATGCTATGTTATATTTTTAATTGAATTGCACAAAAATTTTTCTAAGGGCTGGCTTTTTTTTTTTTTTTTTTTTTGGTTAGCCAAGAGATTGAAAATGAAAGAAGAAATATCTTATGATAATTTACTTTGTTAAAATCAATAAATATAACATTTTGTACCTCATCTGTCTCCCTAAAATCAGATGTGTCCGAAGAACCAGATACAAAACCCTCTCTCAATAGAAGATCAGAAAAAATGGAAGATACCGGAGCAGAAAATGAAATCATTTCTTTGGTTGCACTTGAAAACCTCCAGGAAAATGTGACTGATTTGATGTTAATCTTGTTAGTGGAGAACACGAGTGGTTTGTCCAATGATGACTTTGAAGTGGAAGTAGTTCGCGATTTTGATGTTGCTGTAGTTACCTTTCGAAAATACATAGGTAAGATTGAGTGATGCTTCATTTACTTGCAGTCTTCCTTGTGCACACTGGAATTTGGGACACTCATTGAAGGAATGTCTCTGAAGGTGTGATTCTTTCAGTAGCTAGTAAGAGAAGACTGCTTTTTTATTTTGAAAGAGAAGCAAATTTGTTTTGAAACCAAAATATGCTATGTTTAATAGGTTGAACTATTAGATAGAACTAAAGGCACTAATAAGTGGAAGGGCTGGACTTGAACCCAGGGACCACCCTGCCCCAGCTGGTTCTCTTATCCCCTCTACCATGCTTTCCCTTAGTACCTCCATGGTTGTGCATGCGCAGAGCTCAATAAGGGCTTGGAATACAGAAAATCAAAATGCTAACTCTGCCATTTAACTAATATCTGAGATTGTGCTTTACTTCCTCACTTGTAAAATGGGGGTAATAATACTGACTTAGTCCAGTTTCTGTAAGAATTTAAGGTAGTTTGAAAGCTTTTCACTTAGTACCTGAGATATAGTAAGGATTCAAGAAAGGGAGCTATTCCTATTTCAAATTTATAATTATTTGTTGATATTTGAACTTACTTTTAGTCTTTAATCGAAAATTGTGAGCACACCTTGTGTGCCAGGCATTTGTCTAGGTGCTGAGGGTACAGAGATAATGCTTGAGAGGAGTTCATATGTAAATGAATAAGGTGCAGGTGAAGCTGCTTCCCTTAGCTGGTAACAGGCTGTGGGGAGAGGGCGTACGGGGAACCCAACACGGTGGCTTGTGTTAGCCCTGCCTACTCCTTTCTATGACATTTATACTCCCCCAGCACCAATCAGGTCCCAAGTATACTGTGTTTCATGCCACTGTTGACCCCTCTGCCTGCATGTTTCCTCCCCTCATTACTCATCAATGCCTTTTCATCCTCCAACAGCCAGGTCACTTATTCTGGGAATCTTTGTCAGTTCCCAGTATTAACTTTCCCATCTCATTTGGTTAGACAATTGGCAATTTGTTTTCTTTTAAGATTTCCTGCTTACTGGATGTTGAACTTTGAAGGATGTGTGAGATTTATGTGTGTGTCTCCACATGCTAGCAAGCACAGTGCTGACACACCATGGGCCCACCAGCACGATTTATTAAGTTGAAAAGAGTAGTTGGGCTGAGTCCAGAAGGAGGAATAGAACCAGTATAAACATTTGGAGAAGGTCATGTCAAGCATATGAAATTGTATAAACACAGGCAAAAAAAAAAGAATGGGTTTTCAAAACCGAGTAGTTTTTGTGGCCACATTTAAATTTCAGGGAATACTCAGAAGTATTGATTAAAAATTAGTTTGGGCCAAAAAGCCAAGGGCAGGTAAGCCTAAATAGTATAACTCATGTCTGCAGGAAATAATTAGCCACTGAATGACTTAAGAAAGGAGGAAAATGAGAATACTTGTAGTGAGACCAATCAGATGGCCATATCATAAAGGGTTGGACAGGGCTGTGACTGGAGACAGGGTCACAGTTTTGGGCAATAATCCAAATAAGACATTGACATGGGCCTTGTTCAGAGAATGGCAGTTTTAGGCATAGAAATGTTCTTAGCAATTAAAATCTAGCATCTGAAAAATCCAGTGCTTAGCTCCCCCTTTATTTTTAATAATATTCAGATAATTTCCTTATGTATGCAACAAAATCAGAATTTTCTGATGTGTTTATTCATTCATTCATATATTTGTAGATGTCATGAAATTTGTTGCTGATTGTGCCAAGGTCTCTAAAGTGAAACAACTTAAGCTTTCTCCAAGACCTCTGGAAGTCACAAGAGCAATCAGGGTGGAAAACCTGCCACCTGGTGTTGATGACTATGAATTAAAACTTGTATTTGAAAATCCTGATAATGGAGGAGGAAGAGTTGCCAAAGTTGAATGTTTTCCTGAAGAGAGTTCTGCTCTGATTGAATTTTTGGACAGAAAAGGTAAATATCTGGTAATCTGATTTTATAATCCTTATCTGGCAGAACCTGAACTATTTTAACAGATATTAATAGTTATCAGTTGATGTACAATTTATTTTTTAATTCATGTATTTCATTGAAAATCCAATTTATAATCTTGTTCATGGGATAGGATGCTTGATGAGTCCAGTGAGTCAAACTTTAGAGAATCAATATTAAGTTTGGAAGATGTAAAGAAATTTCCAAGTCTCTACTTATGATGAACCAAAAAATTATACTTGCTCCCTTTGCTCCCAACCTCCAATCTCCTCATATGGTAACCTCAACTCTACAGTCAGATTTCTAGATTTTGTTTTGTTTTGTTTCGATTGTTTTGTTTCTTATATCCCACACATGAGTAAAAACATCTGGTATTTGTCTTTGACCTATTAACTTATTTCTCTTATCATAATAGCCTCTCATTCCATTCATGTTGTCACAAATGGCAAAAGTCACCTTTTTAATAGCTGATTGGTATTCCAATATATATTTCATCATAATACACTTGTCTGTCTTTGGGGACTTAGATTGTTTCCATAGTTTGAGTATTGTAAACAGTGCTGCAATGAACATAGGAGTGCATGTATTCTTCTGAATTAGTGTTTTAATATTCTTTGGGTGGACATCTAGAAGTGGAATTGGTGGATCATATGGTGAATCTATATTTAATATTTTGAGAAAACTTCATATTGTTTTCCATAAGGACTGACCATTCTGCATTCCCACCAACAGTTTGAAAGGATTCCTAGCCCTCCCAGCACCTTCTACCACATCCTCACCAACACATTTTGATGCTAGTCTTTTTGATATAGGTCATTCTCAAAGGTGTGAGTAATATCTCATTGAATTTATATTTGTATTTCCCTGATAATGGTAATGATAGCATTTCCATATGCCTGTTAGCAATCTGTAGTCTTCATTGGAGAAGTGTCATTTTACCTCTTCTCATTTTTTGATTGGGTTGTTTTCTTGATGATGAGTTGTGTGAATTATATGTAGACCTTGGATATTAGCCCCTTTGCCAGATAGACGGTATGCAAATATTTTCTTTCATTCAGCTAGGGTATCTTTTCATTTTAATTATAGTTTCTTTTGCCATGCAGAGGGTTTTTATTTGATGTTACCTCAGTATCTGTTTTGCTTTTGTTTCCCTTAGTGTGTAATCTAGTACCCAAGACATCCCTGAAGCCAATGTCATGGTGTGTTAAGCCTGTGTTTTCATCTATGTGCTTCATCGCTTCAGGCCATATATTTGAACCTTTAATCTATTTTGACTTACTTTTAGTTTGTGGAGTATTATCACTTGTTGTTTGTGTTGATAGAAACTTTTGGATGCCAAGAGTTGTTGTGAGAATTCAATTCTGTGAGGATTATTCTCTGACATTATTCTGTGATGATTATTAGCTATAATAATCAGCAATGATTGTAATAATATTTATTATTGTTAAGCTCCTCCCCATAGAGGCATTAAGGGAATTTAAGTCCTGTATGAAGCCTAAAATGTAAGGCTGTTTAGGAGAAGCAAATAACACGATTTTGACATGAGCTTCATGTTAAGCACCAAAATTTTCCTTCCACTATGCAGACATTATCCCCAGGCTTGTGACTAAACTCATGTCTGTTTCTGAACGGGATGGGGATATGTCAGAGAAATGTAAAATAGAATTAAACTAATATGATTTCAACTTAAAGTGATACAAATGAAATTATTCCAATAAACAAAGAATACCTGTGAAGTCCTTGAAGTTTTTATATGTGTTCATTTATATTTGAGCATAGTATGTTTTTTAATAATGTAATATAGTAGTCCTACAAAAATTAGGATTTATTACTATAGAGTAGGAAGGTATTATATTTTACTCTTGAAACATGACACTGAAATACTTACTTTTATTTCTTTCCTTTAAGTGGTCGACACCATTATGACCAAGAAGCTTGAGCTCAATAAAATGCCGCTCTCCGTGTTCCCATACTACTATTCCTTGGGCACAGCCTTGTACGGAAAGGAGAAGCCTCTGATCAAGCTTCCAGCACCCTTCAGAGAATCCTTGGATCTTCCCTTGTGGAAGTTCTTGTACAAGAACAATCACCTGATCGAGGAGATAAATGATGAAGTGAGACGCTGTCACTGTGAGCTCACCTGGTCCGAACTCAATGGGGAAGTTACCATCCGACCCGCACCCTCCTTACTCAGACAGGGAAGACAGAGAATCAAGAACTGGCAGAAAAATGTTTCCACAGCCTTTGCCGGCATCAGGTCTAAATATAAAATCTCCTCATTTAAAGTGGATCCCATCGTGTGGGACACCGTGAAAAGTGACTTACAAGACAACAGGGTGTTGATTGAGTTTGATACACTGCTGGAGATCGTCACTTTGGTGGGGAAATCAGAGGATGTACAAAAGATCGAGCCACAACTCACAGAATTAATAGAAAGCACCACACAAAGAATTAAAAGGGAACAGCAAAGCCTGAAGGAAAAAGTGTCCCTTTCTCCAGGGAGATTTTCTCTCTTGTGCCACAGTGGTGCACTGGAGTGTTCCCGCTCAGAAGACCCAGAGGTGGAGATAGTCTACGATGAACCCTCTCAGCACATGAGCATCAAAGGGCTTCCTGCAGATGTGTATAAGGTGAAGTGTGAAGTCCAGGAGAAGGTGCACGCCATGGCTCAGAAACACGTTCAGGTTCCCCCTGAGGTTTTCCAGTTTTTACAACAGGTAGACTCTACCGAATTCTCTAAGTCTCTTTTTGTAGCACAGAAAATTCTTGCAATTTATGAACTAAAGGATCCAAGTGTTCTCTTAACCAGCTTTTCTTCTGAAGTCCTATTGGAAGCTGAAAAGCAAATGACCAGTGCCTTAAATTATCAGCGCATAGATGTTGAGGACAAAGATGTTCTCAATGACAAGAAATGGAAAGGACTCACTCGCAGCTTGCTCAGCAAACATAATTCCTCCTCAAAGACTATAATAATCAATGAGTTAACTTCAGATGTCAATGCTGAGGTCATTGTGGCTGGCTGTGTGAGAGAAGTAAAAGAAATTTATAACTTGCTTTTTGACTTTCTGGAAAAACACACAATCATAAAAAGGATGATTGAAATAAAGTCTTCCTTAATTATTGAGTACTTACAGGCAGAAAAGAGGTCATTCTGTCAAAAGATAAAAATTCCAAAAGTGCAGATAGAGTTCCATCTTGAGAAAAACCCAAAAGGTTCAAAAGGAATTTCACTAACTGGTCCAAAGATAGACGTCCGGAAGGGAATAGACATTATCATGAAAGCCAGGGATTCTGTCTGTGTTAAAAGTACCTGCGTTAATCAACCAGGAGCCAGACAGTTATTCCAGAAGAAAAAAGGGTTTTATACACATGAGGTCAAAAAGCAGTTTGGTTGTATTATTAAACTACAGGAGGACGAAGAAAAGGCGGGAGAGGGCACTTACGGGCAGAAACGCCTCTGTGGGGTGGACTTGGCCCCTGGAGTCTCCTTGATTGTGCAGCAGGGCGACCTGACAGGGTTCCCCGTGGAAGTGGTGGTGAATGCAGCCAATGAGGAGCTCCAGCACATCGGGGGCCTTGCTGCTGCTCTTTTAGAAGCAGCAGGCCCTGAGCTCCAAGCCGACTGTGACCAGATAGTGAAGAGAAATGGCAAGGTCCCACCTGGCCACGCCACCATCTCAAAGCCGGGAAAGCTCCCATACAGGCACGTGATCCACGCAGTCGGGCCCCACTGGAGGAGAAATGAGGCCCAGAGGTGTGTGTCCCGGTTGAAGAGAGCTGTGGAAGAAAGTCTTTGTTTGGCTGAAAAACACAAGTGTCAGTCCATCGCCATCCCTGCTATTAGTTCTGGAGTCTTTGGCTTCCCCTTACCCCAGTGTGTGGAGACCATCGTTTCTGCTGTCAAGGGGCATTTCCAACATAAGTCAGATGGATGCACCTTGAAAGAAATCTACCTTGTGGATACAGCTGAGAAGACTGTGGAGGCCTTTGCCAGTGCCGTGAAAACTCTATTTAAAGATGCCCGGCCCGATGCTGCTTCCCTGCCCAGATTGCCAGCAGCCAGCCAGCCCGACTTGAGAGAAGATCATGGGAACGGACAAGTTCTCTTGTCCCCAGAAGGCCTGAGGATCTTGTTGGTGAAAGAAGAGGTGCAGAATGCTGCTGTGAGTGACCCCAGGTTGTCTCCCACACCCTCAGGTTATCTCTACCGCATTTAGTACCTTCTTTTTTTTTTTTTTTTTTAAAGATTTATTTATTTATTCATACAAGCACTGGGTACAGTCAGAAGCACGGGAGGGTGAGAGAATTCTCCAGAGCCAGAGCGGGGAACAGAACAGGCAGACTGACGGAATACTCTGCTGAGGGAAGCAGCAGGCGCAGCAGGAGAGGTCTGCACGCCATGTGGGACACTCGCCACCAGCTGTGGGCAGCTTCTCAGCCCAGCGCTCCACCACTGTGCCACCAGGGAAGGTCCCATTTAGTCCCTTCTTAAAGGAAGATGGGCTCAAGGAGAGAATCCATGCCCAGCCCACGTCCCACCTCAAGACAGGGTCCTTAGAACTTGGCTAATTGCCCAGCCTGTCATTTGTGGGAACTGAGTATGTATTCAGTTCACCTGGTTTCTCATGAGTGTGAAATACACAACAATACCTCATATTTATCTGGCTTCTGGACTAATTCAATGACTTTACACTTACTTGACACATCTAAGGATAATTTCTGGTTAAGTTTGCAGATAACAGATAAGAATACTTAGAGCATAGGATCTGAGCCAGCTGGGGCCCTGAATGTTGGGGAATAGGAGCACCAGCCCCAGTAAGGAGATGTGATGAGGAGAGAGGAAGTGGATCTGGGAAAGATCTGGGTATGATGGAGGGAAATTCTGTTAGGTCAACCAGGGGGTGACATGTTTTAAAAACATATTAATAACCTTTTCACATAGGCTCACTAATCGGACAGCAGCTGTGGCCTCCCCGACTGTGCTGAGTGTTACTTCTTTATTTGGGTGATTGTGGACAGTCCTGGGATACCTGGGAAGGCTATTTGCATACCTTCTTTGGAGAACTGTCTATTCAGATCCTTTGTCTGCTTTCAAATTGGGTTGTCTTTTTATGATTGACTGTGTAAGAGTTCTTTATATGTTCTGGATACAGGATCCTTATCAAATATATATGATTTTAAATGTTTTCTACCATTCTCTAGGGTGCCACCCTTTTTAATATTGCTGTTTTAAGGTATTTTTTATTTTAGTTTCAACTTTTGAAAGAATTTGTTAAAATTAGATTACCACTTGCATAGAGATAAAATATAATCACAAGACAAGTAGCTCACCGTGATCATTTTTTATGTGCCAGAGACTGTGCTGTATGCTTGATACACATTTTCCATGAGAAAGATTGTAGGATTATTATTTTTCCCAATACCCACATGAAGAAGTGGGACTTAGAGGGGATAAAGAATTTGTCCATGTCTCACAGCTCTCAAGTGGTAGATACATGCATTTGCTCAGATACTTAGGCATTGCAACCCTTCCAACTTCTTAGCGCCCACCTTGCTCCTGTTGTCTTCACTAGCCTTGAAGGACCTTCCTCTGGACTCCTCCAGTGGTCCCATACTGTTTATGTATTGTTTTTGGACAGTGTTTTTTGTATTCAAGTTTCTTAAGTGAACAAAGTATTTAATAACACTTTGTCTTAGGTGGCATTTAATCTCTGAGAACTTGACCATCTTCATTGTCCTCTATTGGGCCAGCCCAGTGGGTCAATATAGTAATCCTTGATGAATGCTTTCTGTTAGTATTTGAAACAAATTGTTGGTTTTGTCTTTAAGGTCGATGTTATTGTCAACTCCATTCCCTCAAGTCTTTCACTAAATAATGGACCCCTTTCTCAAGCCCTCTTGGGAAAAGCCGGCCCAAAACTCCAAGAGGAATTGAACGCAGCTGGACAAGGGGTGACTGTGGATGTGGGCACGGTTCTCCTCACCAGTGGCTGCAATCTGCAGTGCCAGCATGTGCTTCACGTGGTGGCTCCAGGGTGGAAAAATAACAGCACATCTGCACACAAGGTGGGATCTGGTTGTACACCCTCCAGGAAGTTGGGGAGCCCTTTCCAGTCTCCTCCAAATGATGGAGACCAAACTGAACCCTGACTCTTTCTCTTCTGTAGTAATGTCACGCTCTCGGCAGCCTCCGTCACCATGGCCATTCCTTGTCCCTGTGTCTGACTTCTCCTGAGGACTAGTTAGTGGCATAAACTGATCACAGTGCTCAGCCATTCTCGGGAGTCAGGGAAGAGACTCTAGTGAGGAATCCAAGGCGAGGGCATGAACCGTTGAAGAGAAGGGAGGGTTAGGACAATAGCTGCTCGGGTTCTTCCCTTCATTGCTGAGTGAGTTGGAGTCTTCTGGGCGGGCTCTCTTTTCTGCCTCTACATGTGACCTTGTCTTTTCCCTTCTGATTAGTTACAGTCAAGTAACTAAATTCTTCTTTGCTCTAACTCCCATTCTATAAAGATGTGTTTTGTGCTTTTCAGATCATGGAAGACTTAATCAGAAAATGTTTGGAGATGGCTGAGAGCCGGTCCTTAAAATCCATTGCATTTCCAGCCATAGGAACAGGAAATTTAGGCTTTCCTAAACCTGTTTTTGCCAAATTAATCATTTCAGAAGTGTTCAAGTTCAGTAGCAACAACCAAGCTACCACCTTACAGGAGGTTCACTTTCTGCTGCACCCAACGGATCTTGGAAATATCCAGGTACAGTCTCTTATTTCTGGTGTTTTGTCAGATGAGCCCTAGTGTCTTCTTGGCTGTTTCTTCACTTATTTCCCATATGAGAGAGTAAAGGAGTAGTGTAGACTAATTGTAGTCTAGTAAACATCAAGCAAATTTATGGTTGTAGAAACACATTTAAATTCTTATTCAAGAAATTTTAACATATATAAAAGTTGACAAAATAGTATAATGAAATATTTTGTACTCACCATTCATCAGTTGCTAGCATTTTGCTAGCATTTAAAAATAAAATATTTCAGATAAAATTCCAGATGCACTTTGTGACCTACAAATTCAAAAGTTCTGGCAGGTTGATAGTGCACAGTTTGCCAGGCTGAATGGCAGGTGCCCGCTAGTTTTCGAGTCAAACCCTCCACCTTTGCTCCTGCAGCTTACCAGCCTGCCCTGCAGGCCTGTGAGCCTGAGACCCTGGCACCATAGTCTCTCCTGGCCCTTCTCCCATCATGTATTAGTCATTTTGTTAGAGGACAGGGTGAGGGGCACCCCCAACCCTCAAACCTGCCCACTCTAAATAGCTTCTACCAATCGCCACATCGAGAAAGAATGTACTCTAGTATGTAAGACCTTCAATGGAAAGGAACTTTAATACAATGAGTGTGCAATACAGAAAAGGGGAAGAAGGTAGTTTCCAAATTTGTCACCTGAAGTTACCCATCCCCTCGTGGGTAAATGCCCAGCCAAACATGATGGGCCCAAAGCAGGGCCTCTGAGGCCTGAAAGCCTGCCACAAGTCTAAAGCTCTTTTTGGTGAGGACCCATCAAAGGGGTAAGAAATAGCCAGACAAGTCTGGGAGGAAAAGAGCAAAATCAAAATCAAGATAGAAACTGCCATTATTAACCTCCCCACTGATCTCTCACCCACATCTGTTCCAACCAGTCCAAGACCAAAAAGCAAGTGCAGCTTCTTCACATGTCTCTCTGCTCCAGGTGCCTCTTCCAGGTCTCCTCCTGTCTCTCTATCCTGCTTCCTTCCTTCCCAGTCTCTTCTCCAGCTTCTCCTCCTCCCTGCTCAGCTCCACCCTTCTTGGGATGGGGCAGGGAACCTGGAAGGTCCCCTTTTTCTGGGGACCACCCTGTTACAATTTCACCAACAGGCTACTTTTTTCCCCCCAACAAAAGTCTCTGTTGCTTGTTTTAAGAGAGAAGAAAGTGATGATTTCGATTGTTACTAACAGTCAAAGAAATGGCTCGTTAATCCTATAATACATGTAACAGCATATAATACATGTAACAGGTTCGTTATAGGTTCGTTAATCCTGTAATACATGCTTCCTGCAAAAAGCATGAACCCCCAACCATTTCTCTCTTGCACTGATAAGAATTTTAAAACTGAAGTGATTAGATCCTTGTTTGTCCTTCTCTTAACAGTATTTTTCACAACTAGCAGGTTATTTGCTCTTACTGGTTATGAAAGTAATGCATGTTCTTTGTAGAGACTTTGAATAATATAAAATATATAACTTCTTTTAGTATTTTTTCATCCAATCTTCTTTTAAACCTGTGTACTTTTTTAAAGTGGGATTATGTAATTTAATATCTTTTTTCATTTAATAGCATAAGTAACTATTTCCCTATTCTATTGAATATTCTTTAAAAATGTTATTTTTAATGACTGGTAAGTATTCCAACATGTGGATATATTAAAATTTATTTAATCATTTTCCTGCTGGAGTTTAAAACTTTTATTTTTTTCTCTATTACAAATAGCACTGTAATTAATGTTCCTGTATTTATATCTTTGTTCACATCTTTGATAACTTTCTTAGGATATATTCGTGAAAGCAGAATTACAGACTTGTATTTCATAATTTTAAATGTCTGTAATGAAAATAAATAATAATTTGAGAATTGATCTATCCAAAATGTGCATACCTGCAGAAGCAAAAACTGATAAGCCATGATCGTTCATCTACTGAGGATTGTAAATCATCGAGATCAAAACTCTCTTTGTATTTCTAGGCATTTTCAGATGAATTTGCTCGAAGGGCTAATGGAAATTTCGACAGTGATGCCATTCTCAAGATTGATGATAAACAAGGTTCAGTACAACTTTTCTTTTTTTTTTTTAAAGGATTCATTTCTTTTTTATTTTAATATTAAATTTTATTTTTATATTCCCCCATACAATTGCAAACGCCCCACTCTGACCCCAATCCTTCCCCTCCCGCCCCCCACCCCCCAAAAAGTGTCTCTGGTTCATAGATTTTTGTTGATTTTGATTTTCACTTTCTTATATTCATTTTCCTGGTCCCTTATTTAAGTTTTCTAGATTCCTGCTATGAGTGAGACCATCTGGTATTTTTCTTTTTCTTTTTGGCTTATTTCGCTGAGCATGATCCCTTCCAGTGCCATCCATGTTGCTGCAAATTGCATGTGTTTATCTTTTTTGAATGCTGAGTAATATTCCATGGTATATATGTACTACATCTTCTTGATCCAGTCATCTATTTTTGGGCATTTGGGTTGTTTCCAAAGCTTAGCTATTGTAAACAGTGCTGCTATAAACATAGGGGTGCAGGTGTTCTTTGGAATTGATGTTTCTGTGTCCTTTGGGTAAATACCTAGGAGTGGAATTGCTGGATCATATGGAAGCTCTATGTTTAGTAGGTCCAGAAATCTCCACACAGCTCTCCATAGTGGTTGGACCAGTTTGCACTCCCACCAACAGTGCACAAGAGTTCCTTTTTCTCCACATCTTCGCCAACATTTGTTGTTGCTAGTTTTTTTAATATGTGCCATTCTCACTGGTGTGAGATGGTATCTCATGGTAGTTTTGATTTGCATTTCCCTGATTACAAGTGATGTTGAACATTTTTTCATATGTCTGTTGGCCATTTGCATTTCCTCTTCAGAGAAGTTTCTTTTTAGCTCTTCTGCCCATTTTTTGACTGGATTATTTTCTTTGTTGTTGCTGAGTCTCATCAGCTCTTTGCAGATTTTTGTGATCAGTCCTTTATCATTAGTGTTGGGTGCAAAAATGTTCTCCCAGTTGGTGGGGTTTCTCTTTGTTTTTGTTATTGTCTCTTTTGCTGTGCAGAAGCTCTTTAATTTGATGTAGTCCCAGCTGTTTATCTTTCTCTTCACTATCACTGCTTTGGGTGATGTGTCTGTAAAGATGTCTTTGATGTGCAAATCCCGTAGTGTTTCGCCTATATTTCCTTCTATGTATTTTATGGTTTCAGGTCTTATGTCTAGTTCTTTAATCCATTTTGAGTTGATTTTTGTGTAAGGTGTGAGGTAGTGGTCAAGCTTCATTCTTTTGCATGTAGCGACCCAGTTTTCCCAGCACCATTTATTGAACAAACTTTCTTTGCTCCAATGCATAGTCTTTGCTCCTTTGTCAAAGATTAGTTGACCATAAATCTGTGGGTTTATTTCTGGATTTTCTATTCGATTCCATTGGTCTGTATGTCTGTTCTTGTTCCAATACCATGCAGTTTTGATGATTATGGCTTTGTAGTATAGTTTGAAGTCTGGGAGTGTGATGCCTCCATTTCCTTCTTTTTTTTTCAGTAGAGCTTTGGCTATTCGGGGTTTTTGGTGATTCCATATGAATTTCATCAATAATTGTTCTATTTCTTTGAAGAATGCCATTGAGATTTTGATTGGAATAGCATTGAATCTGTATATTGCTTTTGGTAGGATGGCCATTTTAATAATGTTTATTCTTCCAATCCATGAGCAGGGGATGTCTTTCCATTTCTTTGTGTCTTCTTCTATTTCTTTTAACAGTGTTTTATAGTTTTCTTTGTATAGGTCCTTTACCTCTTTTGTTAGATTTATTCCCAAATATTTGATTTTTTTTGTTTCGATAATAAAAGGGGTGGTTTTTTTGATTTCTTCTTCTTCAGATTTATTGTTTGTGTATAGGAAGGCTACTGACTTTTGTGTGTTGATTTTGTATCCTGCCACTTTACTGAATTGATTGATGAGTTGAATTAGTTTTTCTGTGGAGATTTTGGGGTTCTCTATGTATATTATCATATCATCTGCAAATAGTGATAGTTTGACTTCTTCTTTTCCTATTTGGATTCCTTGGATGTCTTTCTCTTGTCTTATTGCTCTGGCTAGGACTTCCAGTATTATATTGAAAAGCAGTGGTGAGAGTGGACATCCTTGTCTTGTTCCAGATCTTAATGGAATTGCTTTCAGCTTTTCACCATTGAGAATGATACTGGCTGTTGGCTTGTCATAGATGGCCTTTATGATGTTGAGGTATGTTCCTTGTATCCCAAGAATTTCAAGGGCTTTTATCATGAATGGGTGTTGCACTTTGTCGAAAGCTTTCTCAGCATCTATTGATATTATCATATGGTTTTTATATTTCTTTTTGTTGATGTGTTGGATAACGTTGATTGATTTTCGGATGTTAAACCATCCTTGTGCCCCTGGAATGAATCCAACTTGGTCGTGGTGAATTATCTTATGGATACATTGTTGGATTCTGATAGCTAAAATTTTATTGAGGATTTTTGCATCAGTGTTCATTAGGGAGATTGGCCTATAGTTTTCCTTTTTTGTGTTGTCCTTATTCGGTTTTGGTATTAGTGTAATGTTGGCTTCATAGAACGTGTTTGGTATTGTCCCTTCCTTCTCAATTTTTTGGAAGAGTTTGTGAAGGATAGGCACTAATTCGTCTCTGAATGTTTGGTAGAATTCATTTGTAAATCTATCAGGTCCTGGGCTTTTGTTTTTGGGGAGGTTTTTAATTACCATTTCAATTTCTCTGCTTGTAATTGGTCTAAACTGTTTAGGTGTTCTATTTCTTCTTTATCTAGCTTTGGGTGATTGTAGAGTTGTAGGAATTTGTCCATCTCCTCTAGATTGTTGAACTTGTTTCCATATAACTGTTCATAGTAGTTACTGATTATTCTTTTGATTTCTGCTGTATCCGTTGTGATTTCTCCTCTTTCATTTATGATCCTGTGTATTTGTGCTTTCTCCCTTTTTTCCTTTGTGAGCCTGGCTAGGGGTTTGTCTATTTTATTTATTTTTTCAAAGAACCAGCTCTTGGTTTCATTGATCTTTTGGATTGTTTTTTTAGTTTCAATTTCATTTATTTCTGCTTTGGTTTTTATTATTTCTTTTCTTCTACTGGTTTTGGGGTTTTTTTGTTGTTCTTTTTCTAGTTCTTTGAGCTTCGAGATTAGGTTGTTTCTTTGAGTTCTTTCTTGTTTTAAGGATTCATTTCTTTATGCATACAAGAGCTGAGGTACAGGCCAGAGGGGGGGGGGGGGGTGAGAGGATCCACCAGAGACAGAGTGGGGAGCCGAACAGACAGATCTGCTGATATACACTGCTGAGGGGAGCAGTGGTGAGACAAGAGAGGTCTGCTGCACCATGTGGGCAACTCCCTGGTCAGCCAGGTATCGAACTCATGCTGTAGCAGATAGCTTCACAGTACTGTACTCAACCCCTTGCGCCACTAGGGAGCCCCAAAAGTTTTCCATTAAAACTAGGCAAGTGACCTCTCCTGTCTTGCCCGCTGTCCCTCTCAGAAGTATATTTCAATAGATCCACCTTTTCTGCACTCCAATAAATAAATAAAATAATAATAAATTTAAACATTATTTTTAGTTACTAAATAACTATAGGTGGGAAATGACAGTGATGAATTTTATGGAGAAATCAATTCATGATAAATAAGATTTTCAGTTACATTCTACACATGTGAGCTTGCAATACACTGGTCAAGTTAATGTGATCTGGAGCAAGTGCAGGCAGACCAAGTAGTAGACTCTGTACAGAGGTCCTTCAGTAATGATGAGCCACTGTTGTTCATGTTGTCAAAAATAGACCCTTTGAAGAGACAATATCAACTTAATGCTACAGTCTGATTTGCTATGGCTAGATTAGATTTTAAACTCCTGTTAGAAGTTTACTGAGCCTTCTTGGAATATATATGTCCTTCATCAAATTTGGTAATTTTCAACCATTTCTTCAAATATTTTTGTCTGCACTGGGCTCCCCCTCCTTCTGGTACAAAATAACATGAAGTTAAAGCTTTTCTCCAAATTTTTCCTCTGTATCAGATTCAACTTTTTTTAAATTGATCTCATGTTCACTCACTGTCTACTCCCTGTTGTCTATTGAAAGAATATTTTTTATTTCAGTCTGTATTTTTAATTTTGAAAATGTTCATTTGATCTTACTTTATAATTTATATATCTCTGGAGAGACTCTTGTTTTTTCCGTTCATTCCAAATCATTTTACTTTTCAGATGTGTTTTCCCGATCTCAGGCAGCATAGTTATAGAAGATGCTGTAAGACTTTGTCTCAAAATTCCAACTTCTGGATCACCTTGAGATTAGCATCTATTGATTGCCTTTATCCTTGAGTTGGTCATATTTTCCTCCTCCTTTGTATGTTAAGCTATTTTGGATTATAGGATGAATATTTAAAATATTATTTTATGAAACTTGGGTCCTATTAAAATCCTCTAGAAAACAGTGAATTTTTATTTATTTTAGCAGATTGTAATCAGTCAAGTTCATTCTAAGAGTTCTTTCTCACCTTCTATGTGAGCAGCAGCTCTCATGTCTGTTCAGTTCTCAAAGCATTTGCTCTGCTGCTTGGGTCTTTCTGACCTGTGCAGCTCTGGGGTGAATTTAGAATTTAGTCCAGTTCACATACTGTATAGGGATCCCTATTGCCAGTGACACCTCTCAAGGATTCTTATATGCTATCTGACTTGCAGTAACCCATTTTCTAAGTCATCTGGTCAGAAAGACAGGGCTCCCTCTGAGTTGAAATTATAAGGCATTTAAATTATAAATTATAAGACATTCTGGACAAAATGCCTTTGGGGAAAATGGAGAGAGACGCGAGTGAGGAAAAAAAATAACATGGGGAAAAAAAAGTATTAGGGAACAAAGAGCCTAAAAAAATAAGTAAATAACAGGAATGTTCCCCATTCCCCTCCTGTATACATCTCAGGTCAAAAGAGCTCTTTTTCCTGATTCCCTGGATAGAAATAATAATATTTCTCACCATTTTAGCTCCCTGTGGTGCCACAGGATGTTCTGCAACTGGGGTCACCCTGGGGCAGGGTCTTGATTAAAAAGAAAAAAGTATGAAAAATAATGAGAAATTACTCTCCTGCAATTTAACTTACAAGGACCTGTTTTCTCAATCCTCGGCCACATAACAGATTTTTTGAGTGTTTTGCTGCCTGTACCCATGTATGGATCGCAATAGGGCCATCCTAGGGCCAAAACTGGGAAGGCAAAATGGAAAAATGTCAAAACAAAATTGAACTCCTCTCTTACCCTCCCCCACTCCAGGTTGCTACTTCAAGTTTTGACTCTCTACCCCTAGTCTACGTGCTATTGTATTCTCTTCAGTTACCAACTACTGCCTTTTTTATTCATCCTGTATTTTCGGTTGTAATCAGCGGGAGAGACAAGGCTCTAGTCAGTTGGCTTCACCTTGACCAGTGTCTGAAGTCTACATTTAATATGTATTGCATTTTATCATCTGTTTTCCAAAATGGGCCATTGCTATGCGCAGGGTCAGGGCCAGATTCAAGTCAGAGATCACAGAGAGAGAAGCATGTGGGGTACATGTGTGGAACATGAGACCGGCATCATTCTTGCTGTTGATAGATGATTCCATCTTCTTTTCTTTTCAGGTTTCTACGGGACTGTTTCTAGCCCTAAGCAGGGAGAGTACAAAATGAAGATTGGTCCCATCATGTTCAAGGTGGCCACTGGAGATATTGCAACTCAAAAGGCAGATGTTATTGTAAATTCAACAACAAAAACATTTGATCTCAAATCAGGTACTGTACATGTTGGATTTTTTTTTAAAGATTTATTTTTTTATGCATACAAGAATGGGGGATACAGGCCAGAAGTATGAGGGGTGAGAGGATTCACCACAGACAGAGGGGAACAGAACAGGCAGTCTGAGTGAAATATACTGCTGAGGGGAGCAGCGGGTGAGTCAGGAGATGTCTGCTGCACCATGTGGGTTGCTCCCTGGGCAGGGATCGAACTCGTGCTGCAGATAGCTTCATAGGTTGCGTCTTAACCCCTTGCGCCACATGTTGGATTTTGAGCAGTGTAATCGTCACAGTAAATCCATAAAGGAAAGTTCCTCTAGCCAAATTGATATACAGTTGCTGTAGCTGAGGTGATTTCTACAACCATGGTTTATTAATATTAATTAATAATTTTGAAAGCATTTTGGCATTTCTTATAATTAATGTTAAGTTATGCTTTATTGTTCTTTGTTATCAGAACTACCCAGATTTTATTATCTTTTTGGTATTGGGAAAGCTTAGGAAATGAGGAGGAATGCAAAAACTCTAGCCAAAGGGCATATGCACTGCTTTGTTCATTGTGGCATTATTTACAATAACCAAGTTTTGGAAACAACTTAAGAGCCCAAAGACAGATTGGATTACGAAGATGTGCACAGAGTGAAATATATTTAGCTATAAAAAACTCTTGCTCTTTGCAACACCATGGATGGAACTGGAGGGCATTAAGCTAAGCAAAAATTGTCACAAAGATAGACAATTATCAGATGATACCATTTATATGGGAAACGTAAACAAACAAAACAAAGGGTCAGATAAAGCCTAACCAATTATAGACCCCAGATATCTGACTGTAGAATTGAGGTTACCAGAGGAATAGGGTAATTGAAAACACAGTGGGGAGGGGTCCCAGTGGATGATGGTGGAGGACTTTCAGTGCCTTGCTGGTGGGTTTGGTGTGATGATGTGCACCAGAAGGGAATGATCCTATATCTCTAAATCATAGTGTTTTAAAGCAATGATACCTGAATTTAAAAAAAGCTACAAGAGGAAAAGAAAAGAAAATGAGCTGCCACACTAATCTAATTATAACCTACTGATTTTTTTTAGTCATGCTTGTTCCATCTTGATTTTCTCATGTAGGGGTCTCCAAAGCAATTTTAGAAGGTGCTGGAGAAGATGTAGAAACCCAATGTCGTCTTCAAGGTAAAACACAATGATATTCTCTGTTCCTAATTTGTAAATGGCTAGCTATGGCGACACCAGGGAGAGACATATTGATTTTAAAAGTATACATTTGACCAAGAATTTCAGTTATGGAGAATTAAAAGTGAAAAGTAAAAGGAGGAAGTATGCAAAAGGGATTCATCAAAGAGTATTTCAAGAGTCTTTTAGCTGCATAAAATAATATTTGCCAAACCAGACATGTTGCTTTCTAAATAATCAAAGATGCTTCAGTATCTACTTTTGCAATTTTTTTCATGTGTTTCCCAGGTAAACCGGGCAACAGTGATTACCTAATCACAGAAGGTGGTTCACTGAAATGCAAGAATATTATTCATGTCGTTGGTGGAAATGATGTCAAGACATCCGTTACCCATGTTTTGCAAGAGAGTGAAAAACGGAATTACTCGTCCATTTGCCTCCCAGCCATCGGGACAGGTGTGTAGCCTCTGGCTGTCAAGGCAGAATCCCAAGTCATCTGCTCCCCTATTCAGTACTGTGACTGTGGGGAATGCTCAGTCTGATAAGGACAGTTTTCTTGCCCAAGAAAGTCCCTTAGGGAATAAGCAGGTCTGTGGGTAGTGTAACTAATAGAGAGGAAAAACTGAAGGAAAGTGAAGAATGTTAGACTATTAGAGAGAGATTTGTTCCCTGACATGGAAGGCAATAGAGAGAGGAGGGGAAAGACAGAAAAGAGGAGGGGAATTAAGGAGAGAAGAGAAAGAGAGAGCATCTCTCCTTGTCCATCAGTCCCTTTGTCTCTTTTCAGTCTCCCCCACATCCCCCCTGACTTACCATGAGCTCCCTCCTCTAACCCCCTCCGTGGAGCACACCGAGCGTGCACGTGCTCCTCGCTGCCCCTGACCTGGGAGCACGTCCAGCTCTTCTCGCCTTTTCAGCAGCAGGCTGTGGGGGTTGGCCTTAGGGCCTCTCTGTGTAGAAGCCTCTCAGCCACCAGGACCCACTGGGATCGAATGGAGCAGAAACACGTAACTCTCCAGCTTCCTCTTTTCAGTCTCTTTACTTCCTTCAAGTATTTTGTTTTCCTCAGACTATGCAATGAGTGAGTGATTCTTCATGTATAAAGATGGCTCTTTGGCTTTATCATTACTAAGGTGATGCCCTTTGAACTCTTTCTGCAGGAATCTGAGTCAAGTGCATTAATGAGGAGTTCCTGCTTGGTCTCCCCTAAAGAGCTGGTGGGGAGAGGCAAACCCTCTCGGGCCCCAGGTAGATGAAGCTGACTGGTCCAATGACAGGACACTCAGCACTGGTGGTTGTTGCTCAGGAATCTGAGTTTGAGTGGCTCACATTGGCATTGTAGGTTCTCCAGAAGTTTAGCCTCAATAGACTTAACCATCATGTCACCTTCTGCCCCGTCTAATTCTCTGTCCCATATTTTGATTTCTGTAATTCTCTACAATTCCTCTTATGTTTCCATATGAATTGCTGTATCTACTTGGTTACCCTCTATTTGCAAGGTTATATTTTATAAGTGCCTTAGGTTTTCATTCTTCTTATAGGAACATCCAATTTAGCATATTCGCCAACTTATCATCTATCTATGCATCATCTATCACAGTTATTTTTATGAGCACTCAATAATCACTCATAGTCTGTGTCTCCTGCTTTTTCCTCTTGCATTTGTTTTGCGTAAGTTTTGCTCTTGCATTTCTGCCTTCATTTATTTGAGCCAAGAAGGCAGGAGTTGCCAGTGGAGTCAAGGAAAAAAACAAGAACATGAGGCAATTTTAGTTCTACATGAATATGCACACATCTGCCTATTTCTAGAGTAATATACACCTGTCACTTCTTGCTCTAAGCTGGTTGAATTGCTGGGCTGCACAAATAAATGGAGCTTAGCAGATTCTCCATGACTGCCCTCTTTGCTCTGTCACTCCCTGAGATAGTCCTCAGACTAGTGAATGGTGGAGCTTTCTCCCATAGTGGCATTTCTGAGTTGATTTGGGACTTGGATCAGACAGCATCCGGTAATGAAAGAAGCCCTTTCCCTGTCCTTAAGACACCTGCCTCAGGGCCTCCCTGGTGACGCAAGGGGTTAAGACGCAACCTGTGAAGCTGTCTACAGCCACTGTAGCACAGAGTTCGATCCCCAGCCAGGGAGCTACCCACACCCACGTGGCGCAGCAGACCTCTCCTGACTCACCCACTGATCCCCTCAGCAGTGTATTTCAGTCAATCTGCCTGTTCTGTTCCCCATCTGTCTCTGATGAATCCTCTTACCAACCGCCCCACACATACCTCTGGCCTATACCCAGGTTCTTTTTTTAAAAATTAGGTTAAAAAAAAAAAAGACACCTGCCTCAGCAGAGAGAATGGAGGGTCAGTGAAACCTAAGCAGCTTCAGCCCCACACCAACTGCAAACTCCATTTCACGTCCTCTTCCCCCTAACCTGCCCTTCCTCTGAACTACTGGGTCACGTACAAAGCACCACTCTAGCATTTGACTCCACCCACCTCTACTCCTAGTTCATTAGCTGATTAGTTAACTTGGTTAAATGCTTACTGAGTGCCTGCCCTGTGCCAGGCCCTGTGCTTGGACACCTGGAATAGAAAGATGAGTCAGGAAAGGGTCTGGCCCACTAGGACACCTCACTCCTGTGAGAGACAGACACATACAACACAGTGTGGCCCCTGTTGCCTGTAAGGTGTGCAGGTGGTGGAAGGGGACAGTGGGTTAAGGATAAAGACCAGTTGGTCACTAGGTCCTACTGACATTCGGCCTAAATGCCTCCTCATTCCCAGCACCCTAGTCTTCATTCTGACCTCTTCTCTTTTTATCACTCTTGTCCTTTGCCCAAAAGTTTATTTCACTCTCCTAAGTAGACCTGCACCTTAGTTCTAGGGCTTCCTTCATTTTTCTCTCAAAAACCAGCTCTATTTCCCTGAACACACTGGTGCACATAACACACCCTGCTCTACAGTTCTCTCTGGCATCACCTTTTCCTCAATGTTCCTCCCTTCTCTCATTCTCTTCACACACCACCTCCAATGTGTCCTGAGTTCCTAACTGAGCATCCAGCTTGTAATGGGACACAGTAAATGTGTTTGCATGTGTCTACCACTCCCATTTAAATTCTTCCAGATCTCATGGGGTAACCAAGGAGAATTTCCTCTTTCCCTCATTGTGAGGTTTATCTACAATCCCACAATTGTGGACATAGTCAAGTCAAAGAGTCCAGTCACATTCTTTGTAATAGTGGTGGCACCATAAATAGGGATAATCCAAATGGGCCCCAAGTCTATCACACCATGTTGGTTAGGGTTCTTCACATTGCTTCCTGCCCTATGTGATTTAGCTTCTGTGTGTTTTTCCTGAACTTTTCATGATTTTACTTGACTGTGGGTAAGAGAAACTAGCCATGGAGCATGCTGAGAATAGCAACTGACCTCAGGTGGCAACTTAAAATCTCACTGAGTGTTGGAGGAAAGACTTCCTGGAGGTTCATGAATACCTTGTGTGCAAAGAATATGGATCATTAACAAATCAGTTATAGCTCCTGGTGTCTTCCAAATTATCTTAGTTAAATCAGGTCCACAAAAAACAACATGGAGAATAAGGATACATGAGTAAAATTAAGAGATGACTGAACCAAAATAATGTTCCCTTTAAAGATCATGATGTTTCAACATAAATTAGCATATTTTGTTTATTTTGAGTATAAGTAAGACAAAAATTTATCTGTGCTCTGTAATTCAGAGAAATACAGTGAGCTATCTTCAGTGGAATAGAACAGGTATTAACTTCAGACACCCAAAGTTACTTTTCTGAGTTCTTTGATCATTGTGGGGTCATTTGCCTCCAGACATCCTGGAACAATCATGCCCCATGGCTTTAGGACTTCAAAAGTGTTTTCTATGAAGTGTTAGAAAAGTTCATGTTGTTAAAAATTTTAGGAAGTAGGCATTTATTTTGTGATTACTGGAATCTTTGATTTATTACTAAGCTTTTTCAAGTCTTTCTTATCCAGTCATTTGTGTTATTTGCCTTGCCAGGAAGTGCTAATAAAGACCCAGATAAGGTTGCTGGAGCCATAATGGATGCCATTGAAGACTTCATCCAGAAAGGATCTGTCCAGTCTGTGAAAAAAGTTAAAGTTGTTCTCTTTCTTCCACAATTAATGAATGTGTTTCATGCCAACATGAAAAAAAGAGAAGGATTTCAGTCTCCTCCACAAAAGTCTATGATATCTAAAGTTGCATGTGAGTTGTTCATTTTTACCAAATGCATGATTCTAATATTGATATCACATGAGAAATAGTTAATCTTTCCAAACTATTAGAAATTAAGAAGACCATCTCATTAAAAATTGCATAAAAAGAAAAATATGCCAAGAAATAACTTTAACCTAGGAGGTGAAAGACCTATACACTGAAAAATATTAATGAGTGATGAAAGAAACTGAAAAAAATACATATAAATGGAGAGATATTATAGTGCTCATGGACTGGAAAAATTACTGTTGTTAAAATGTTCATGCCACATAAAACAAACTACAGAATCAATACAATCTCTTTCAAAATTTTAATGTTATTTTCCAAAGAAATAGAACAAACAACCCTAAAATATGTATGCAACCACAAAAGTAACCTAAATAGCAAAAATGACCTTGGAAAGAAAATTAAAACTAGAGGTATTATACTTTCTGATTTCAATTATATTACAAGTAAGACAAACTTGACAACCACATACAAAAAGGTGAAAGTGGACCCCTATTTTACATACAAATGCTCTCAATGTTTTAAAGATTGAATGTAAGATACAGTGAAACTCCCAGATATAAAATAAGGGATAAACTTCTTGACATTGATCTTGGCAATTACTATTTTTCATCTCTACCAAAATCAAAGGCAACAAAAGCAAAAATAAACAAGTAACACCTCATCCAACTAAAAGGCTTATACTGAGAAAAGGAACCCATCAATAAAATGGGAAGACAACCCACAAAATGTGAGAAAATATTTACCAATCATGTCTGACATACATAAATATAGATAATGAGTATATACAAAAATATATAAAGAACTCATACAACTCAATACAAACAATCTGATTGAAAAAATGATCTAAGGATCTGAATAGTCATTTTTCCAAAGAAGACATAGAGATGGCCAACAGGTTACATGGAAAAATATTCAACCACACAGATCCTTAAGGAAATACAAATCAAAACATAATGAGATATGGGCCTCCCCGGTGGCGCAGCGGTTGAGCGCTGGGTTGCGAAGCTGCCCACAGCCTCTGCAGTGCTGGTTCGATCCCTGGCTGCTCCCCGGCCACTGGAGGAGGGTCCCACATGGCGCGCAGACCTCTCCTGCCGCCCGCTGCTCCCCTCAGCAGTGTACTTCGGTCCTTCTGCCTGCTCTGCTCCCTGCTCTGGCTCTGGTGAATTCTCTCACCCTCTGGCGCTTCTGACTGTACCCAGTGTTTGTATAAATAAAATAAATAAATCTTTAAAAAAAACATAATGAGATACATCTCATCCACTATGATATCTATTATTCAACAATCAGAAAAATAAGAAGTGCTGGCAGGGTTGTGGAAAAGAGGAAAACTTGTGCACTGTTGATGGGAATGTAAACTGGCCAACCAGTTTGGAAAACAGTAAGGATGTTCCTCAGAAAATTTAAAATACATCTATGATATGATCCATTTCTGAGTATTTACCCAAAAGAAATGAGATCAATATCCCAAGAAGATGTCTGCATCTGCACATTAATTGCGGTGTGGTTTACAATGCCAAGATGGAGAAAACTGAAGTGTCCATCCATAATGAATGGATAAAGAAAATTTTCATACACACTCACACACACACACACACACACACACACACACACACACAGAGGAATATTATTCAACCACAAAAAAAGAATGTCACTTGTGACATGGATAGGACTTAAGGGCATTATGCTTATTGAAGTAAGTCAAAATAGAGTGACAAATACTGATGATCTTACCTATGTGTAAAATCAAAGAGTAAACTACAAACTCATAGAGAGCAGAGGCAGGGATAGAAGGTGGGCAAAATGGATGAAGGCGGCCAGGGAAAAAAACTTACAGGTAAATAAAAAGTAAGTCTTTGCATATAATGTGCATCCTGGTCACAAAGAAAGAAAGAAAGAACTAATCTTCCTTCTTTTCATTTTTTAGCATTTCTTGGACTTTCAAAGCAGTCGCCCAAAAAAAACAATCCATTGGTTTTGGAAAAGAAAAAAGACTTAGTAATTTTTCAGGCATGTGGTAAAAATGTATTAGATGTGGAACGCAGCCTCTCTTGGATACAGAATATTCTTAAAAAGGACGAAGAGTCTTACACCAGTGCAGATGAGTGTATCAAAGATTTTGATGAGAAGGAGGTCGAGAAATTGAATGAGCTACAGAAGAAACTGAACATTTTTATATCCTTGGACCATAAAAGACCTTTGATTGAGGTTTTGGGAATTGGCAGAGATGTGGCTGAGGCTAGAAATGAAATTGAGGAAATGATCAGGAGAGTAAGATTGGCCAAAGAGAAGGAATCCCAGGCAGATTATATCTATGAATTTATACAATGGCAATATAATGACAATAACACTTACCACAGTTTTGACAAAATGACCAATCTGCAATTAGAGAATGCCCGGAAAAATCGCCAAACGACAACTGAAGTCACAGTTAATCAGCAGATTTACACAGTGAATTTGAAAACAAACACAGCTACAGATGCAAATGGACACAGTATATCTGTTCAGCGCATCAAGAAAGGTGACGGTGAGTTAAACTTTTATTCCTGCTATTTATTATTTTATACCTGCTTTGGACATAATCCTGTTTTATATTTACATCAAAGTTGTTTCAAGTAGATAAAATTCAACCAAACTTTAGTGGATAAAATAGAAAACTTGGTCTGAGCTCACGGAGCATGAGTGAGAAGACATGCTGGGCCCCGAAGGATGTCCATATTGAAGCAATAGTAGCCAAACCTTGCATCGCGAGCCATGCTATAGAATACACACCTTCCAGAGCCAGTTCTGCTGAGGAGGAAAGGGCTGCTTCAGTCACAAGATGGAAAGGCAGTGTTTAAAAAAAGTGATCTGGGATTTTTCTAGAACACGAAGAGGAAGACAGCCTGGTCAGAGTGGGCACTGTGTGTCTGTGACTTAAGAAGCAGAAAAGGATTGGGAGCCTGACTTCTCCCAAGTCACTTCCTCCTCTAAGCTGAACATAAGGATTCTTGACACATCAGGAAGCCAATTCAGATTCTCTGCCTGCACCTGCTTCCTGAGAAGCGATTACTTCTCTCATGTGGGCAGCCCTTCCTGCCTTTGACCCACAAAAGACCCACACGGAAAGCTAATAAACTGGCTTCAGTGACTATCTTCCTTTCTTGGGCTCTCAGCAGCCCTGGGGAAATGACAAATCAGGTGTGGCATTTTGCCTATATAAGTATCATATAAATGTTATATAAGTATGCACTGGAGCTCCTGGTGTGGCCTTTTATTTAGTAGGAGAGGGGAGAGAGCTGTCAGCACACCCATCATATATAAAACCCGCACCCCCCAACTTATAAGGACACTGTGAAGAATGAAAGAACAGATGTGGAGGCCCAAGACATAGTGACCATTAGACATTATGGGGAATAATTTATCATTAAATTACTACAATATGATGGGCTAAAGACTGAACAGACTATGCAGCTGGGTTATCATACACTGATAGTTCTCAAATATGCATGTGATCAAAATTTGTCATGATATGTATCTACATGGGTTCCAGGCCCGTTCCAGAAATTTTCATGCAGCATATCTGTGAGCTTATTGTCTTTTTAAAAAATAAAATTATGGTTGCCTCATATGTAGGTTGGCTTTGGTCCACATTCTAAAAAACATTCTAGAAAGATAAGGAAGACCTGTGAACACAATGAATTAGGAGATTGTGAACAAGAACACAGAGAGAACTCAGGTTTTCAGAGCATACCATGAACATGGACTATGTGGAGGATCTTTCCCGCTGAGGTAGAACTCAATTGTCTACTTTGCAGTTGAGATCCCTGAAAACTGGGCTGACATGAAGCAGCAGGATTTCCTTGTGGTTGATCTACAGCCTAATGATGAAGATTATAAATCTGTGGCAGGAAAGTTTAATCAGACCTGCGCAAACTTCAAGATAGAGAAGGTAAGTCTTCTGCTGACATGGAGTTTCTTAGTGGTGGAAATAAGTGGTATTGTGTTCTTACATAAATACATTTTCATTCACTGCCTATCTTTTTTTTTTGCCCACAATTAGATATATAATGTTACATTTTGAATTCTAGATTAAGCTTATGTCACCTTTATTACTGAAATGTCAGTACTTAGTTTTTTTGTATGTGTCATTTAATACAATATTAGATTACAATATCGTATCAGAATACTAAAGACACTTACTTACTTCGTGAAGCCAGGTAATAAATATTCCAAGGTTTCAATGTTGGGTTTGGTACCTAGCAAATACCATAAACAGACAAGGGCTCCTCAGATACTCTTAGCTACCTCTGCCTACTATCCACAGAGCACCAGTGCCCACTTCCTTAGTAAATCCGATAGCCCTTTCCTTGTTCATCTCATTTAGTTTGGGAGCTCCCATTTTTAATCATTAACATTGTTATTTGAAACTGATTCTCCCTGGACTTCTGTAATGATATTAATTTGAAGCTTTCTTTTCCTTCTTTAACTAATTTTCCTTTCATTGTCAGTGACATCTGTTTATCCTACTTTTACACATAGGATTTTGTCCTACTTTTACACATAGGATTTTGTACTTCTGTCTCTGTATTTCATTGAGGAATGCCTTTTCTTTTTTCTTTTGTAATGACATTAGTAATGAATCAAATATTTTACCCTTCTTAGCTTCAGCTATCACTTCAATGTTGATAGCGCCCAAGTCAGTATCACCAACCCTGATCTCTGATTCAAGGTCTCAAACATAATCCTTGTGATATAAAATATCTCCATTTAAATATCCATCTGTTAAATCAATTTCCTTAAAAACTAATTTACCATCTCTGAGTATTATCTTTCTCCTTCCCTTTTCTGCCTTTTGGTCCACCAGTTTTTGATTCAAGTTAAATCATTGAATACCTTCATCCATAAAAATAAACTTACCAATAAATCCTGTGTTTTGTTTCTTTGCAGATTGCCTCTTACTCTCTGTTTGCACTGCCACCTCTCTATTTATTTATTTATGTAGTTACACATATACTAGTTCAGCAAATATTTGAAGTATCTGTAAGGATTATATATCATAGCTTCAGATAAATAATGAAAAAAAATGTACGAAAAGAGGAGGAGGACAGAGAAAATAAGACAATACAGAAGTAGTGTTAGTTCACATAAATACATAACATGAGATCCTAGGTAGTTATGAGAGTAGGACCCAAATTTGCCTGTGCTTACTAGCAGAAAAAGAGAAGGGAATGCCTAACTACAAGATTCATAATGTCCACAAGTCAAAAAACAAACCATTTGTACAAGAGACACAGAACTTTCACAACACTGAGACTTGTTCCTAATGGATTTCTCCTGTGATCAAATACTGGAGGGTATTATCAAAATCATCCTCATGATAAATTCAATACAAAATTTATTATCACTTTTTAAAAAAAAAATTCAATATAATCCAGTTGAGCAAATCAATTCTCTGAAGAACTAGGACATTAAGATTCAGGTATGTAGCTCTTTGATTTCTTGCTTCTGAGGTAACAAATTTCACTCAAATACCAATCATAGTCATCTGGTAGACATGTTGTGTTGAGATGTGAGGTCCAGAGTGATCAGGACTGTCTGACCAGCAATGTCTACAGTGGGCCCTGGACACTTACCATGCATTGGCAACCTTGACCAGAGAAATGATTTCCCTACTTTTTAATAATGGAAGACTTTTTCCAAGTGAAATTTTATGTGAAATCCCAGTGTATGACACTGATCAATGCAGAGTAAGATGTAATTAAGACACCTCTGTTGAGATCCCTAGTGGTATGAAAACTGGCATGAAAATGGGTGATTTGTCATCATCCATGACTATTAGAACTGTGACTAAGATTTTGAACACTCAAAAACTTCCACTTTAATTCAATACTTTAGACATATTTATTTTTCTCCCTTATTCAGTTTTTGATGAAGTGTTTGAGTGTAAGTTGTGCACATTTTGATATACCTAAATATTTTAGCACATGTCCTGTAGAAACAAAGTGTTATCTTTTAAATAACACTACCATTATTTCATTATACATTAATGTCAATTCATTAATATATAGTATAGAATTCATGTTCATATTTCCCCAGTTGTTCAAGACAGAATTCTTGTGTTTTGGCTTACCCCACCCATATCTGGTTACAAAGTACATTTGGTCAATATGTCTGTCTCTTCTATTCTACAACAATACTCCTGCATTTCTGAACATTATTTTTTATGATATTAAATGTTTAAAGTGTCACTTTCTGGTTCTGTATTGTCAAGATGTTTTAAAGACCCTTCCCCCTCAAGCCAGTTTTTTTAATTGTCTGGTTCTTCTCAGTGGACGCAAGTCTCCAGCCCTAGAGGCCACATTCCAGAATCTGGTCAAAGCACGGCCACGTTAATCTGAAACCAACCCCCTCCCACCAAGATTCATGCTCCCTCTTCCAACTGGCCAGAGATGGATTTACATCCATTAATTTTGCTTCTTGTCTTCTTTCTCGTGCTGCTCACTCTGTTCAAGCATAGGTAGGTAAGCCAGATTTTCAGAAAGAGAAAGGAGGGGAGATGGAGAGCGACAGTGTGAGGTAGACAGCTGCGGGAGCAGTGAAGAGAGTGTAGGTAAAAAGCAGGCGATGGAGAAACTTGGTTGGCCAAGTTCATATGATCAATAGACCCTAACCACTGCTCACTCTCCTGTGGTGTATGAAGGATGTTAAAAATAAAATCAGGGCCTCCCCGGTGGCGCAGCGGTTGAGCGCTGGGTTGCGAAACTGCGCGCGGCCTCTGCGGCGCCGGTTCGATCCCCGGCTGCTCCCCGGCCACCGGAGGAGGGTCCCACATGGCGCGCAGACCTCTCCTGCCGCCCGCTGCTCCCCTCAGCAGTGTACTTCGGTCCTTCTGCCTGCTCTGCTCCCCGCTCTGGCTCTGGTGAATTCTCTCACCCTCCCGCGCTTCTGACTGTACCCAGTGCATGTATAAACAAAAAACAAACAAAACAAAACCAGCAAACAAATAAATAAAGCATGCCTCTATTAAAAAAAAAAAAAAATAAAATAAAATCAACAATCTTCCCAAGACACATTTTTGTGAAACACTGGATCCAACAAGATTTCTGAATGCACAATGCTGCCACCTGACAGTGATTTTGCTGTTTATTGTAATTTTTGTTTATAAAAATAGTGGTTGTGTTTCATTGGCTGTATCTTGCCGAGTGCTGTGGACATTAGCAGAATATTTTTCCCGAACCATTTGCAGATTCAGAGAATCCAGAATGCAGACCTCTGGAATAGTTACCAGGCAAAGAAGAAAACCATGGATGCCAAGAACAGCCAGGGCAACAACGAGAAGCTGCTCTTCCATGGGACAGATGCCTACTCAGTGCCACATGTCAACCGCAATGGCTTTAACCGCAGTTATGCTGGGAAGAATGGTAAGGAGGCATGACATCTGGTGCTCCAACTGGAGGGTTGGGCATGAGACCCCAAGCAGGCCAGGACCTGGTATTCCCTTGTGGCCCCAGTGCCACCAAAGTTTCACGGTCAGTCCCAAATGAGACCCATAATGTCTGGGTGGAAGAATTATTTTTAAAAATTTGAAACACACCCTGAAAATATAAAGAGGTTTAGACAGAAGGACTAAACATTATTTGACATATTGAATCAACACACCAATTTGTAGACTAAAATGTTTTGTTTTCTCTTCACAGCTGTGGCATATGGAAAGGGAACCTATTTTGCTGTCAATGCCAATTATTCTGCCCAGGACACATACTCCAAACCAGATGCAAATGGGAAAAAGCATATGTATTATGTACGAGTGCTTACTGGACTCAGTGCACCTGGAAATCAGACATTAATTGTACCTCCTGCCAAGGACCCCGTAAAAAATCCTTTTGACCTGTATGACACTGTCACAGATAATGTGTCAAATCCCTCTTTGTTTGTGGTATTTTACGACTACCAGGCTTACCCAGAGTACCTCATTACTTTTAGACGATGACCTTTTAGAATCCTTTGCAGAAGGGATTATTCATCTACAGCTCTCTAGGTTAAAACAGGTTTCAGCTTTTTTTCTCCCTTAACAGCTTTTTTGAATATTAAAGAGTGCTTGTTCCTGATATCATACTTTTTCAGGTTATATTTCACAATGGATGAACCTCTCTGGAAAGAAGTAAATTTGAGAATTTAAGTCAGATGATTTAGTTACACACACATACCTATGATAAAACATAATTTATAAATTAAGCACTGTGAGAGATTAACAACAAAAATAAAATAGTTCAATTATAGCAATACACTGTAATAACATTTTTTGAATGTAGGCTCTTTTTTTCTCTCAAATATCATATTGTAGGTAATATGTTTGGACTGCAGTTAACCATGGGTAACTGAACCTATAGAATGCAAAACTAAGTGTAAGAGAGAGAACTGTATTCTTAAAGCCGGGTGGCAAAGCAATGCATTTTCAGCTGCTGCTGAGATACAGCTGGCATCATGTCATTGCCATTGGCAACAGTGTTAGGAACAGGTGGGCTGCTGTTTTACTGGGTGCTGTTTTACTGATTGGGGTCTGACTCATTTTTTATCCCTGAACTTAGACCCTCTGGTCAATGGTTGCTTAATAAATGCTTCACAAACCAAATAAGAATGAAAGAGCCTAGTCAGGATACTACCCAAAGAAGGGACAATCTCTTCAACATCCTTGGCTTATCAGCACTTTCCCTTACACTGAACAGACTCCTTGGCAAAAAACTTCCTTCTTCATGAACTAGGGCACGACATGTGAGCCAGGCCCAGTCAGGGTTCTGGGACAGGAGTGCAGCTGTGTCCTGCACGGTCCAGGCCTTAGAGGAGACTGTGAGTAGCCCAGTGTGTCCACAAAGTTGTGTAGCACAGCCACACTGCCTGGATTGGTGCTTTAATTGTCAAGTCCAACTCATTGTTTTAGTTCTGCCCAATGAAATCCATGCGACGAAGCCTCGTAAATCCTCAGTGTGAAACCCTTCTACTGTGTAAAGATTAAATAAATTCCAAGGTTATTAAATAGCACATGCTCCTTGGCAGTCTATCTTTTGATGATTTCAAAGTCCTATGCATGAATAAACCAAAAGTACTAAGCAGCCATATTGCTACTTTTGCTAACCCAGTATCTATTTGGTAGTGAAGGAAAGTTTATTTTTTAACTTCTCCATGTAAATACCAGATTCAATCACTATTGAACACCTTGATTGTACCAAATAGTATAATCGGTGTTTTCACACTCAGTATTCTATTGCCCTAAATAATCTTTTGATGTAATATTATATCTCTATTTAAAATTGGGGAAACTTATGCTCAGAATGCACAAAGCTTCTTTCGTGCACCCCTTTGGCAAGTAGCCAGGATCTCTTGCTGTGTCTTAATCTGTATCTTTATAAAATCAGGAAAATATTTTCCATCACCCACTTCCATATCATAAGATCCAATCACAATATTATCTTATCTATTCCCAGGTCTATGTATGTCAGGATCTAAATAGGATCTTGCAATAAGCAGAGTCAAGAAGGATTACATTTGCCTGGAGGTGGCTCAGGATTTCCTAAGGAAGGTTGAATAGAGCAGATGGCGAGTATCTGAAGTTTTGAATCTTCAGACTTAGGAAACTAGAGATATTTGGTTTGAACCAGGTGGAGCAAGGAGATGGGGAAAGAGTTGTTTTTAGGAGAACTGGGCACTGCATTACTGCTGCATGAGTGAGCTAACAGAAAAAGCAAAGATTGTCCATCTGGGTTGACCCTCCCCAGTGAAGCAGAACATTACAATAAATAATAAAATGTTGTGCTTAAGCTATTGCATTTTGGAATGGTTTGTTATATAACAGCAAATAACTGAAAGATCCTGGAAGGGAAATTTGCAATATATAAAGAAACTGCCTATGTATTTACTCTTTAACTATCATTCCTTACTTCTAGGAACATACTCTCAACAAAGACAAAACCAAACATGTACAAGGTTACCCATTAGGGCCTTATTTGTAATAAAATGTAGTAAAATGTTTGATTTTACTACACTACCCCAATGGCAAGCATAAAAGATTAGTTAAATAAGCCCTGATAAATTCATAAAACAGTTGAGTAGAGAATGAAGTGAATCTCTGTGTTCTGATATGGAGTAACTGAGAGGATATATTAAGTGCAAAATGCAACATATAATAATGTGTCCATTTGTGCATGGAGAGAAATAGTTTATAGTCCACATAATTCACTCTGTATATACTATCTTGTATATAAAAGTATGTTATGTTTTGTATAAAAATAAAAAAAGTCACATGCACACATATACTTAGTTTTGGAAAAAGAAACACCAGAATAATATTCCAGAAACTAAGGACATGCTCACCTGGTTACTGACAGAAATGGGTGGAGGGATTGTCTGAATATACATTTTTATATGCTTTTAATTTTTTAACCATGTTAAAGCTTTACATTCTCAAAAATAAGATCAACAATGCACAACTGAGGCTTTCAGTATTTGAAAACTTATTATCCAGTTCAGCTAAGATATGTGACTGATAAATAACTGAAGTTCTTACATATATCTTCATTACTTCATTTCCAACTCATTTGCTAATGTAAACAAAAATCTCAAGAACATATCAGAACTACACTCATTCATTAATAGCAAGTTAGCTATGAGAAAGTTGGGCAAAGGTCTTTGAAACATTCCCATTGTATCTTTTATTTGCAAATTAAGTACAAACTTTATAGCAGTAAAATGTATAATAAAAACATATGCAAACTTTTTTTTTTTTTCAGAGAGCTGGCTGTTTTTGTACTTATCAGCACATCACTGGTGGAGATATGTATGGTGTAAAACCTGTCTTTTTTAATGTGATCTAGATTATATTCAATAAGAATTAATGCTTAACTTGGACATATGCACATACATCTGATTGTCAGTGTTTACTTACAAGATCTTTACACTGTTGACTCTTTACCTCCCACCACACTAGAAAGATGAAGTCTACTCCAGACTCTTCTGCAGAAGCCTCCCTCCACTTCCCACTCAACTGTTGGTTTGAGTGATAGAAGGCTTGGTATTACATGCTAAAGGGTATGAGTTCCCCTCCAAGGTTACCCATCATCCTGAAACCTCAGGTTACATGTCATTTCTCTATATCCTCTTTGAGCCCCCATACCTGGGCCAGGAGCACCTCTTAGTTTATTCTAGGAGCACCTGTATATTCCTTTCAAGAGCACTTACTCCGCTGTCATGATGCCTGTGTTCCCACAGCTCCATCTTGAGTGCATGACACCTAATAAACATTCCTCAGGAAAACTTTGAATGTCCTGTTTCCCCCACATTTCTAGATTATATAATATTGGCTGACCAGGAAACAAAATGCAAAGGATGGAAAGCAAGGAGGAATTCTGATAGTTGACTGTTGAAATTCTCAAATGGACCCCAAACATTCTAAAGACTGAGTATGTTATAGGACAGGGAGAGGGGCAGCCCAAACCCCGCAAACCTGCCTATTCTAAATGGGTTCTGCCATCCGCCGCATCAACACAAAACATATGAGACTTTAATGGGAAGGAACTTTAATAAAACTAGGAAACAATACAGGTAAGGCAAAGAGTCTAGTTTCTAAATGAAGCACCCAAAGTTACCCGTCCCCTCGTGGGTAAAAGTCCATCCATATGGGATTGGCCCAGAACAAGGCCCCAAAGCCTGCCACAAGTCTAAAGCATCTTCCTGTGGGGACCCACAGAAAAGGGTCAGAAACAACCAGACAAGCCCGGAAGGAAAAGAGCAAAATCAACATCAAGATAAAAGCTGCCACTGTTACCTCATCCACATCTGTGTCAACCAGTCCACAACCAAAGGCAAGTGCACTGTCTTCACATGTCTCTCTGCTCTGTGTGTCTTCTCCAGGTCTCCTTCTGGCTCTCCCTCCGGCTTCCTTCTTTCCTCTGTCCCTTCTCCAGCTTCTTCTCTTCTCTTTAGCTCCACCCTCCTTTGGGTGGGGCAGGGAACCTGGAACTTCCCCCTTTCCTGGGGACCACCCTGTTATAAGCCTGCAGCAAAGGTGACAATGTCCTTGTGCCTGTGCAAAGTCTAGTGACCCAATGCTGCTGCATTTATCTGTGACTTGAGTGAAAGTCAGAAAGAACCCTGAACTTGGGCACCCTTTTACACAGATGGAGGGAGGTCAAGATGCCCACAGTGGCGTGTTCAGTCTTTGCTGTGGACTAGAGAGGAAGGTGAGGGATTGGGGGTAACTAGCCAATCATAGGGCAGCTGTTTATAGACAAAAGTAGACACTGTCGGGGTAACATTTAATAAGGTTAAAAACTCCACTCCTTGTCCAGCAGACAAATTTAGAAGCTTGAATAGAGGACATCCATACGGTTGCTATGGAACCAGGGGGTAAGACTCATCACCTTGACCATGAATGCAGAAGCACAGCCCAGACACGTCCCAGCAGATAACTGGTACAAACTGGGCACCCACGTTAAAAATAAAACAAAGAATAAAAGAGCCTCAAGTCTTCCCTTCCCTGCAGGTCTCTCCTGTCCCGTACCTGCTCCCTTGCAGGATTTTCAATAAATCCATCTTTTCTGTTCTTCACTCTGTCTCTGGGGAATTCTTTCCTCCCATGCTTCTGGCTCACTTCAATATTTCTCCCTACTACAGAAACTAAAGGTAGAAAAATTTCTGGGAAATGAAAGTGAAAGGCACCAAGTGAATCGCCTGGCCTTAGGGTGGGGCTGGCAGAGCCGGACCTGCATGCTCAGCAGAAGAATGGCTGCATCGGTTTCCTTTCCGCTGCTGATAGAGGGGTCCTGGGGCCTGGACCCCCCCAAGAACTTGAGCACCAGGTTGCAGGTGTACTTCCAGAGCCAGAAACGGTCGGGAGGCGGGGAATGCGAAGTCTGCCAGGAGGCTGGGAGCCCACCTCGCTTCTTGGTGTACTTCTCCCAGGAGGATGGTGAGGGGCACCGGGGGTGTGTCTGGAAGGGACAACTGGAGAAATTTACAGGGGACGCTTGGGGCTGCGGCAGCCTCTAGAGAATCGTAGGCCAGCGGTGGGCGGTGGGCGGGGAGGACCTGGGGGTGGCGGGGAGGGTGGCAAACGAAAAGGACCCAGGGCGGCGCAGCGCCGTGTTTGCTTTGCCCCGGGCGGTGCTGCGGCTGGTCTTGCCCCGCGCTTCCCATAGCTCCTCCGGCTAGGCTTGGAGGTGGCGGCAGAACCCCCGAGTGAATTAATTCAACAACGTGGTAAAACAGAAAAGTAGTGACTGATAACTGATTTACCCACATAATTTGTCAAGGCAACACATTGCCTTTGAAGCAGAGCTGCAGTCCTTTGTGGTTTTTCTCTTACTAATTTTTTTTTTTTTTTTTTGTGGGACCTTCACTGTTGGCCGGGGCTCGAACTGGCGCTGCAAAGGCTGCGGGGAGCCTCGCAACCCAGCGCTCAACCGCTGCGCCACCAAGGGAGACCCTATCTTGTTAAATTTTGAGGGGATTGGGGCAGAGTAAGCTCTGAGCCCGTGGGTGGGGCTCATAGCCATTCTATTGAAAAAGGAAAACTTTCCTAACTCCACCTCCTGCCTTCCTCAAAGGGGGGTTTGTGGGAAGCTGGGGAAGAGCAGAACTCGCCTTTGACCTCAGAGAAAATGCACGCAGGTGGGAAGCTCTTTTCTTGGTTTTTGGGTTGCACCTTTGTTGCAGAGCAACCCCGATACAAAACAGGGTGCCTGACTGTGGGTCCTCACCCGCGCGCTTAAAAGGACTTATCAGTGCTCTACTGCAGGCACACGCGAAAGGTTAATAAAAGGTTTATTTACAAGGGAAGGGGAAATGAGAAAATGTACAGCTCTGGAAAAAAAGTGGGAGACAAAGTTTTAAATGAGTCCTACCCGATCCGCCAATCAGGAATCCCAAAATGGCGTTCTCAGAGTTGGCCGCCAGCCAGGAGCCGTAAAGCCAGGAGGCGAGCGAGAGCGAGCCAAAAAGAGCCCAAGGCCCACGTGTTTGGTTTTTATATCCAACCTGGCTGCCCAACTCCACCCTCAGGTGCCAGCCACCCTCCCTTGGTGGTGATGGGATTTGTCTTTCCCAATGTCTTGATGGCTTTAGTCTGGAGTGGGGGTGGGGTCCACAAAGCCTGTATGGGATTAGCTCAGGACATCCTTTCCCCCTAACACCTTGGTCTCTGCTCTGCGGTCTCTGCCGCCAGCACACTACTCTTAACTCTCTCTTTTCTCATTCTTTCGTGCTTGGGTGAGCACTCACAAATAGGATCAACCCCCTCCCCCTCCCCGCCCGCCATTTGCCCGGAAAAGTAGCAACATTTCTAGAACTCCAGAGTTTTATGGGAACGAACACAAGGAGAGAGAAAAGATTCCAGGGACTCAAAGAAAAACATCTAAGCCTGGGGGTGAATTCAGTTCCTGATGGGCAAGATCCTGGGGATGACCCTTCAGGCCCGAGAGCGCTGCGTGCTTGCAGAATCTGGAGACTTCCTCAGGGAACGAGCCCCAAGTTTGGACCCCAGCAGTTTTGTTGATTAGCAGCTCTCCGCTTATCTCTGCATTGGCAAGGTCTGCAGACTGGACAGCAGGAACATGTGGGATCTGGAAAGGATTATCATATATAAAGAGGGGGTGGGGAGTGCTTCTATTGAGAAAAATACTCTGCTGATGTCCACAGCACTCAGCAAGATACAGCCAATGAAACACAACTGTTAGGGGAAAAAGGATGTCCCGTTCAATATCGGGGCTGCCCTATAACACAACCACTATTTTTATAAACAAAAATTACAATAAACAGCAAAATCACTGTCAGGTGGCAGCATTGTGCATTCAGAAATCTTGTTGGATCCAGTGTTTCACAAAAATATATCTTGGGAAGATTGTTGATTTTGTTGTAGAGCAACCCCGATACAAAACGGGGTGCCTGACTGTGGGTCCTCACCCGCGCGCTTAAAAGGACTTATCAGTGCTCTACTGCAGGCACACGTGAAAGGTTAATAAAAGGTTTATTTACAAGGGAAAGGGAAATGAGGAAATGTACAGCTCTGGGAGAAAAGTGGGAGACAAAGTTTTAAATGAGTCCTACCCGATCCGCCGATCAGGAATCCCAAAATGGCGCTCTGAGAGCTGGCCGCCAGCCAGGAGCGGTGAAGCCAGGAGGCGAGCGATCGCGAGCCAGAGAGCGAGCAAGGCCCACGTGTTTGGTTTTTATATCCAACCTGGCTGCCCAACTCCACCCTCAGGTCCCAGCCACCCTCCCCTTGGTGGTGATGGGATTTGTCTTTCCCAATGTCCTGATGGCTTTAGTCTGGAGTGGGGGTGGAGTCCACAAAGCCTGTATGAGATTATCTCAGGACATCCTTTCCCCCTAACAATTTTATTTTGAACATCCTTCATGCCCCACAGGAGAGTGAGCAGTGGTTAGGGTCTATTGATCATATGAACTTGCCCAATCAAGTATCTCCAGCTCCATGATTCCAACCAGGAAGGTGGGATATAGTGGGAAGAGAGATCAGGGTGAGCCTGGGGGCGAAGGGGTGAAATTCACCAGATGCAGTGGGGAAAAAAAAATGTAGATTTATGGAAATACACTGCTAAGAGAAGTGGCAGAACCTCCGTGAGCCCAGAAAAACACTAGGCTTTCTTTTGTCATTTACTGGAATGTGTGGGGTGTCAGCATTGACCTTTGATATCGAATGCAGACCCACCTGGCCCAGCTCCCAGCTTCTGCTTTCATTGTCAAGGTAATGGGTAGGGCCCATTTCCCTTAGCAACTTTATCTCTTCCCTTTATCTAGTCAAGCCTCTCAAACTTGCCTGCTGGGCAAGGAGTGGGGGCTTAGTTTTTAACCTTAGTAATGTTACCCCACACTACACAAGAAAAAAATTGAAATGTTACGGGGTTTTTACCAAATATTTGAGGAAATTAGAAAAATTCAAGATCCAGTCCATGTTCATAGGAGTATAATAGAACTCAACAGAATTAGTATCTATTATAATAGCTACAAAGGTGCAAAGTTAATTATTTTCTCTACAATTATCCCCTTTCCTAAGATAATCATGGTAGAATTCATTGTTTAGAAAATAAGTCTAATTTCAATGTGTTCTTTAATTGTCTAAGAACAGCAAGATAAACCATGTAGCCTCTTAAATCTGCTGGCTATTAGACAGATTTTACCTATAGTAACTAAACAAATACTGGGGGAACATTAAATCCTGAATGAACTCCACCCATGATGTTTTACGGACTCTACCCCCACCTCCATGCCAAAGAGATCCCAGGCACCCAGGATTGTAAATCCCATTAATGCCTTGAATGGGCTATGACTCTTGACTTCCTGAAGGAGGGTTGCTGGGAACTAAAGGTGGAGTTAAGCCACCATGCTTGTGTTATCGATTTTTGGAGTCTGTGGGTTTGGAGGGCAGGGTCCTTGGGTTCACTCTGGGAAAGGTTTCACCAGAGCTCCCAGAGATGAGGTTAGAAATCCAGGAGGGCTAATGGGGGCAGTAAATTTTAAGAGAACTTGCACAGGGGAGGTAAAGGAGAAACTCTAAGATGAGAGCTAGGAAAATGGGCACATCTGCCTGCAGGAGTATAGCCACTAGGAGAAAGAACCAATCACAAAGTAGGATTGTTAGGGGGGAAAAGCATGTCCTAAAGCTAATTCCATACAGGCTTTGTGGACTCCACCCCCACCCCAGGCCAAAGCCAAAGATACTGGGAACTCCAAATCCCATCACCACCAAAGGGAAGGTGGCTGGGACCTGAGGGTGGGGTTAAGCAGCCAGGTTGATATAAGGCAGACTTGTGGGCTTTGGAGGGGTCCCGCATTTTGGCTCTCTGCCAGCTCGCAGCATCCGCCAGCTCTGAGAGTGCCTTTGGGTTTCCTGGTCGGCGGATTGGGTAGGACGCATTAAAGACTTTATTTCCCTATTTTCTCCCTGAGTTGTACATTTTCTTTATTTCCTTTTCCCTTGTAGATAAACCTTTTATTAACCTTTTGTGTGTGCCTGTAGCGGAGTATTAATAAGTCCCTTCTAAGCGCGCGGGTGAGGACCCACAGCCAGGCAACCCGCTCAATATCGGGGCTGCCCTATAACAGCATGATCACATTTTAGAATAGAAAGAAAAGGTTTAAATATCCCCTAGACACAGGCCCAGATGGCTTCTTTTACACCTCCTTGGCGCTGCTGCCTTGGAGTTTTGCTTCTGTTCTTTTTTCTCTAAATAAAGACTTGCTTCTCTTTGCTTATTTATCTGAGGCTTTGTCTACAAATAACTTTGTGAATGAAGATTAGTTGACAATTGTGTTTTTTTCTTCTCATATTTCAGTTCAACAAAGAGTACTGCAGAGAGAGGACCACAAGTTAGTATGGTCACAAAAAGGAACATTCAACTTGACTGTCAAGATGCCCACAGCCCCAGATAAAGGCCATGTTTTTCAGGGGGAAGTTCCAAAAAGAGTAAGTAAGGTGTGACTAAAAGAGAAGTAAGGTGTTCTGCCTATGTGTGTGGGATGGGATCCCAGGGCAGAAAATAGCGGGAAGTATGAATCAAACTGGAGAGAGAAAAGTAACTTACAAGATAGAGGGGATGATGTTGGTGAAGCGTAGCATGGAATAATGAAGGAGAAGGCACTTTTTATTCGATTTTTGACACTTTCAGAAAAGCCAAGATTTGGAGGTTACAATAATGTTGGTTGGGGTCTGTCTTGGGTGCTTTATAACCTGGAACTTAGTTACTTTGCTTTGTTTTGACATTGTTTTGAGGGCACTGTGATCCATACTGCATGTCCTGAGTATGTAATGTCCTCAGCTGTAATGGTGTCCCCATGTGGGGTGGTTGGGGGTGAGGATGAAACGGGACAACTCCTGTCACGCAGGAGGCGCAGTGCTTGCTCACAGTGACCACTCAGGGAATGTTAAGTGCAGAAACGAGCATAAGCTAAATTGTTACTCTGATCTAGATCTTACCTCACACCCCAAATGCTGGTTCATTGGGGTTTCTATTATTTGCGACTTGTTTGTACCAGTTGTGCTGACTGAGCGGATGCGCCGAACGCCCGAGGTACCCCAGCAGCATCACCTCAGCCTCTCATTGTCTTCTCTCTAAGCCCTATGTCTCCAGCCACTCCCAGAGGTACTTTGTCAATGCAAAGAAATGATTGCTAATTCATTCATGCTACTTTATTGTTTGGGTTTCAGGAATCCAAGACCAAAGTCCATGTCAGAGAACCAGGTAATGTCTCCCTCCTGAGGCAGCTTTGCTTTCTTTTAAAAGGGCATAGCCATGGCCAGTACTCTCTTCTTGACTTTATAAGGTAGAGTTTGATGTCTTTGCCATTGACTCTTTATGCACTCCTGGTTCTTATAATTACTTTTTTCACTGTCAGGCGCAGTCCACTGCAGCCTGGCCTGCCAGGATTGGCTCAGGACTCACATCCCTGGTGAAGGTGTGGGCCTATCCTGTCCTTTCCTTGCTCTGCTAAGTGCTTGCCCATCTTTGTGCTCTGGGTTTCATCTCTGCCCAGTGTATCACGGTGCAGCATCTGCTCTCCTCATGCTTGAGTTATGGGATTTTTAAGGATCTACATTTCATCCTCATTTTGCTCGATTTGGAAAACTGTCTACAACATTCTGATTTATTTTAAGAGTCCTAACCGTAGGGCGATTTTCAGGATTTAGTGTGGAAAAACTTTAAACAGAGGGCCTCCTCTTCCTCTCTGAAAGGGGGCCAACTAAAGTATCTTGTTTGAGACCACCCAACTTCCTATCCGATTGCTATCACTGGAACTGGGTCAATTTAGAAAGGTTAGTAAATGGTTCCAAAATTTCCAGGACAATGAGAAGCCTATTGTTGTGGGGTTGGATGGCTGTTCGAGAATATATTTGAGGTTTTAAGCAAATCTGAGATGGTGCTAACAAAGCAGTTAAAATAGAGTTAGAATAAAATCTAGGAAAAGCGAAGAAACACAGACTTGATTAAATTCTAGACATGGGGGCCTCCCCTGGTGGCGCAGGTGGTTGAGCGCAGCACTGTGAAGCTGTCCGCAGCCTCTGCAACTCTGGTTGGATCCCGGCCGGCCAGCAAGCGTCCCACATGGCGCCACAGACCTTTCCTGTCTCACCTGCTACTCTCCTCAGCAGTGTGTGTCAGTCAGTCTGCCTGTTCTGTTCCCTGCTCTGTCTCTGGTGAGTCCTCTCACACTCCCGCAAATCTGGCCTGTACCCCGTTCTATAAATAAATAAATAAATCTTTAAAAATAAATACATAAATAAATAAATTCTAGACTTGGGAAATGACACAGATACAAATATACAAATACAAAATACTTAAATGTAATATTTTATTTTTATTAACTTAAGCAAAAGGTCTTCTGAGGTCTGTTTTTATTTATTTGAGTTAGCCAAAAGATTAAAAGGGAAAGAAGACATTGTCTTGTGGTCATTTATATTGTTAAAACCATGGTAGGTAAATTATAACATTTGGCAAATTATTTTTTATTGTCAGAAGAACTGGATACAAAACCCTCTCTAAACAGAAGATCAGAAGAAATGGAAGATATCCGAGCAGAACACGAAAGCATTTCTTCTTTGGTTGCACTTGAAAATCTCAAGGAAAATGTGACTGAGTTGATGTTAATCTTGTTAGTGGAGAACACAAGTGGTTTGTCCAGTGATGACTTTGAAGTGGAAATAATTCGAGATTTTGATGTTGCCGTAGTTACCTTTCAAAAACACATAGGTAAGATTAAGTGATGCTTTGTTTGCCTGCAGTCTTCCTTGTATACACTTTGGGATTTGGGAGACTTGTTGAAGGAATATCTCTGAAAGTTTGACTCTAATAGTTGTTGACCGGAGACTCGTGAAAGAGAAGCAAATTTGTTTTTGTTTTTTTAAAGATTTATTTATTTTTATGCAAGAGCTGGGGTACAGGGCAGAGGCGTGGGAGGGTGAGAGGATTCACCAGAGACAGAGCAGGGAGCAGAACAGGCAGATGGACTGAAATACACTGCTGAGGGGAGCAGCAGGTGTGACAGGAGAGGTCTGTAGCACCATGTGGGATTCTCGCCAGCTGTCTGGGAATCGAACCTGCGCTGCGGAGGCTTCGGACAGCTTCACAGTGCAGCGCTCAATCTGCTGTGCCACTGGGGAGGCCTGAGAAGCAAATTTGTTTTGTAAAGAAAACCTGGCATGTTTAATAGATTGAACTTTATTGTATGAGCATCTGTGTGTGCATGTGATAGAGAAAGAGACAACAGCTGAGAAAGACAGAAACAGACAGAAAAAGAGAACACATCCAAACAAATCTGAAGTCTAAGGTTATTAACTTGGTTCAAAGCCGAGGAGTCAGCATTTTCACAGGTGTTACCTCACTTGGAGAAGTAAATATCGAACTGTGTTTTCAAACCATCCTCTGTCTTACTGGATGTAATAATAAAAATACTACTGGGAAGTAATAATAATAATAGCACAAACATTCATATGGTGTTCTCATGTGCCATTCAAAGCTCCTTGCATGTATTTATTTTTCCTTTCAACAACTTTGGAGGATAGTAGTATTATCCCTCATTTTAAAATGGAGGAGAAGAGGCACTAATAAGTGGAAGGGCTGGACTTGAACCCAAGGACCCCTTGCTCCAGTTGGTTCTCTTATCCCCTCTACTGTGCTTTCCCTTAGTACTTCTGAGGTCATGCATGCACAGAGATGAGTAAGAGCTTAGAATACAGAAAACGAGTGCTCTTAAGGTCACTGTCTGGAGTCTGTGGACAGTCCCTGAGATTGGAAGAGCTGTCTCCAGAAAGACGAAGACATTTTCCAGTTCCGAGTCTTGCTGTCCCAAGGCCATGGCAGTGGACTGGTTAGTGAAGGCCACAATCATAGAATCAAAATGCTAACTCTGCCATTTAACTAATATCTGAGCTTGTGCTTTACTTTCCTCACTTGTAAAATGAGGAAATAATAGGTAATAATACTTACCTAGCCCAGTTTCTGTAAGAATTAAATGAGGTGGTTTGAAAGCTCTTCACCTAGTACCTGAGACATAGTAAGGATTCAAGAAAGGGAGCTATTCCTATTTCAAATTTATGATTATTAATATTTGAACCTGCTTTTGATCTTTAATCAAAAATCGTGAGCACCTCTTGTGTGCCAGGCACTTGTCTAGGTGCTGAGGTTACAGAGATGATAAATTCCTGTTCCTGAGGAGCTCACATGTAAGGTGCAGGAGGAGCGGCTTCCCTTAGCAGGGAACAGGCTGTGGGGAGAGGGAGTACGGGGAACCCAACACGGTGGCTTAGTTTAGCCCTGCCTACTCCCTTCTATGACATTTATATTCCCCCAGCACCAATCAGGCCCCAAATACACTGTGTTTCATGCCACTGTTGTGCCCTCTGCCTGCATGTTTCCTCTCCTCATTACTGTTCAATGCCTCTTCATCCTCCAACAGCCAGGTCACTTACTCTGGGAATCCTTGATAATCCAGTTCCCAGTATTAACCTTCCCTCCTCATTTGGTTCTGCAACAGGCAATTTGTTTCATTTTAAGATTTCCTGCTTCTTGGATGATGAACTTACAAGGATGTGTTATGTTTATTTTTGTATTTTCAACTCCTAACAAGAACACTTCTGGGATATCATAGGTCCACTATCCATTTTTATCAATTTGAAAGATTTTTCTGAGTCCTGAGGAGGAATAGGAAGAAGGTGAAAAAAAAATATCATACGTGATATTTAGAAATTAGTTTGGAGTCAAATAGCCAAGAGGACTGTAAGCCTAGGTAGTGATTATAAACTCTTTTCTGCTGGGAGCAGGGAGCCACTGAATGACTTGAGAAAGGAGGGAGATGAGAATACTTGTAGTGAGAGCACAGGGGTGGGATATCTAGGAAGGTTGGAGAGGGCTGTGACTGGAGACAGGGACACAGTTAAGGGCATTAATCCAGTTATGACATTGCATGGGCTTCAGGGAGAGACTGGCAAGAGTAGGCCTCTAAATTCTCACATAGTCACTAAAATCATGCATCCAGATACGAAGTTCTTGGCTTCTTTACCTTAATTAATATGCAATCCATTTCTTCTGGGTAACAAAAAATCAGAATTTTGTGATACTCATTGATTCAATTAATTACTTTGTTTTGTAGATGTCATGAAATTTGTTGCTGATTGTGCCAAGAACCAGACCACGAGACAACTTCAGCTCTTTCCAAGACTACTTGAAGTGACAAAAACAATAAGAGTAGAAAACCTGCCTCCTGATGTTGATGACTATGATTTAAATTGTTTATTCAAAAATCCTCGTAATGGAGGGGGAAGAGTTGCCAGAGTTGAATGTTTTCCTGAAGAGAATTCAGCTCTGATTGAATTTTTTGACAGAAAAGGTAAATATCTAGTAGCCTGATTTTCAATACTCATCTGGCATAATACCTGCTAATCTAAAATTTTAGCAAATCATAACAGTTGTAAGTTGATGTCAATGTATTTATTTTTTTTTCTTCATTGGAAATCTGACTAGTAATACTGGTCATCTTGGAGATGATGTGTAGTGAGTCCAGTTATTCAAATTTTGCAGAAGAATTGTCAAGTTTTTGAAAGCTGTAAGTGTAGGCATGCAAATTCTCACATAGCCATTAAAATCTTCATTAAGATTAAAGTTAATTAAAATTAATATTAATTAAAATCTTAATTAAATCTCATAATACATGAAAAACGTGTAGTTCTTAGAATCTTTGAAATGCTATTTTTTAAACAAAGTTGATCTGTTTTTTCTATTTCAATATTATTATTTATATCATTATTATTATTTACATCGTTTTTCATTTTTGTACAGTGTATGCTTTCTCCTCTCAGATGTAGTCCCTATAAAATTCCCACCACCAGTTCACCTGTGAACCATCGCCATAGTCCCCTCTGCTCATGATCTGTGTTTTAGCAGTACACTTGTAGACATTCCCAAATTCAATTCCAAGGATAGGTAAGCAAACAGTTCCTGTAAAGAATTATTACTTCCCTAATTGATACTGATCAAGGGTTCTCTGCCTGACACACAGAAGCCAATTACTATGTCATTACCATGGCACCAACCTTTGAGAGAACAAAGAGTTAATTTAATTTTTTAATTACAAGATTGACCAGCAAGGGGCAGGGGGTATGGCTCAAATCTGTCTCTCCAATAGTGGGACTAGGACTGGTTTTATAGAAATGGAAGGAAGAAAGGGGGGAAAGTTAGAAAAGTAAAGGTTATGGGCTTGGCAAAATCTGGTTGGATAGTTACAAATTGGTCCATTCATAGAAGGTTTCCTGGATTCTCAGTAATTTTGCTAATGGACCCCTACTTCTAAATGTGGTCTGGGCAGCTACTGACAGATCCCTCACCTTTAAACAGGGTCTGCAGTGAACCCTTTTTCTGTTTCCGTGGCTCATATCAGCTTATTTCCAGCTGACATGGGATTTAGCATAAGATCACTTGCTACTATGCCTGCTCATCTTATATGATTCAAATGGGCATCATGATTTGCTGTCTCTAACAAGTGAAAAAGTAGTTAAACAGGCATAATTATTTTGGGAGATCAGCCATGATTTCAGTTCCCCTTTGAATTTGTTCATTCCTCAATCTTGAGCAATTGGGGCACTATCCACTGTGACTGCTTCCTACTGCTTAGTGACACAGGGTAAGTTCAGGGTCTAAGGAATGAAATTGTTTTTTATTTAGTTGTAATTGTTCACATGAGTCTGGTGGAGGGTATTGATGCATTTAATTGATAAGTCCTGAAAAACAATATTGAATGAGTAAAAGGAGAAGCATGAAGCCATCTATAAAGATAGATAAAGATAATTTAAAAGAAGAGTCACATGCATAATCCTAGATTTATTAAAATCATTAAGATTAGGACCAGTTGTGGTAACTATCCGAAACCTGGATTGGGGAAAGAAGCCAACAAGACAAATCAAGGAAATTATTTAATATCCAGGGTGAAAGTCCAGATGGCTTGCCTTTAAGGGACCTGGATAATGCTAATATTTTGGTGACTTGTAATTCCACTTGTTGAGAAATATTGACATATACAACAGCTAGTCTCTACGGAATTCATATGCCTCCTTGAAAGACTAAACCAGACCAGGAATTTCTTAAAGTACCTCAATGGCTATCCTTTACTACTGTCCTTACTTCGTGGGTCTCAAACCCAAGTTTTTCCTAGAACTCTAATCTAGGACTGGAACTCTAATCCTCCATGGTCCCTCTTAGAGTTGGACTTGAACCCACAACCCTTGGGAGACCCATTGGTAAGATAAAGTACAAGTGCATACAATCAAGTCACTTCTGTTTTCAGAACTTTTTTCCCTTCAAAGTGAAAATCATGCCAAAGAAACCTGGAGCACTAACACTGGCTGGAGAGAAGGGACTGAGCACTCAGTCCATAGGTTTCTAGACAAGTCAGTTTAAGTGGCCACACGGGTCGGATTTGTAATGGGATCTGCAAACTGCTGAGAATATGATGCATTCAGCATGCAGTCAAGGGACCTCAGTCCTACCCCAAGAGTCTCGTTTGGGTTGCCAGGTTAATTCCAAGCAAGGGCTCACAACCCAACACACATTAAGCCAATGACTCTGGCATTGGCTTTTGAGGAGGGGAAAAAAGAGGTTTGTTTTGGTTTGTTTGTGTTTTGTTTGATTTTTTTGCAAGGCCAGTCATCAAGGAGACAGGAGGCCTGGCTCAAATCTGCCTCTCTAGTATTGGGCTAGGACTGGATTCATAGAGACAGAAAAAAGGGGGAATGTTAGGAAAGTAAAGGTTATGGACTTGGCAAAATCTGATTGGATAGTTACAAATTGGTCCATATGTAGAAGATGTTTCTAGATTCTTGTTTATAGATTCCCTCTCCCTGCGCCCCCTTTAAACGTGCTCAGGTACTGAGACTTTTAAATGGAATCCAGGCTAAGCGTTTTTTCCTCTCTGTCTACATCAGAGGGCCTCTTTTAGCTGACTGAGGATTTGACTTAGAGTCCATTGCAGGCTCAAGTTAAGTGACTCACAGAAGGGATTCACACTCTGTTGTCTCTGTAAGAGAAAATGAAAAAAGGAGTTGAACTTGAGAAGAACTTTGGGGGATTGGCCATGATTTCACTTTGCCTGTTAATGTCATCATACAGCGGTTAATAGGGGCACTTTCATACAGTCAGCGGATGTCCACTGGATAGTTCTTGTGACGCTGTGGAAACCATGTCCTGTTTAACCTTAGGGAAGCAGTGCTGAGGGTTTTGTAGACACAGAATGCCAGTTCTCTGAGGTATGTGCAAAATCAGTTTGGAGATTGCACTGATTTTCAGAGGTGAAGTCTGAGGAGTAGGAATTAGGGAATCAGGCTTCTTAGGGAAAGAAGGGACGGGGGAGCATGAGGCAGGAACTTGTGGTATGCCACCCACTTAAGATAGTTTCATGGGGATACTTGAAAGAAGCTCCCTTTACTTTTATGAATTGGAGGAATGAAGGTGAATTTAGGATTTGGATTGAAATGGGATGAAATATCTTGTGAAATTCCTTAAGTAAAGGGGAAAAAGAGGACTTCTATATATGTTCTTTAATCTACCTCAGCCTGGTCTTGGACCCAGGGAGAGAGCTAGCACAGCTCCCCAACTGAGAAGTTAACCCCAAAGCCTGTGGTGGGAGTTGGCAGCTTCAGAGTTTTCAAACATGTTGAGGACATGAGCCAGTTGGGTATGTCCTCAGAATGTATATTTTATGTGTATACAACAGATAATAGGACTATTTAATCAGTATTTATTTTGCAGGGTGCTCTCCAAGTTTTCCCTCCAACCTGCTCTTTTTCCACCCTCTGGCCATGATGACTTCCCATCCATCTTTGCACTTACTCAATCCTCCATAACCCGAATACACTGATTGTCTTTCTATCTCTGTTCCTTGTAGTACTTACCATTTTTACTTCTATCACTTTGCAGAGCACTGTAAAGTGCCTCTCAGACACTGCTTTAGGGGCATTGTTATTATTTTAAACTCCTTTGAGGCATGAGGCAACTGAGGCACAGAGAAGTTAAATAAGTTGACTAAAGTTATACAACTTGTAATGACAGAGCCAGAATTTCAACCTGTATAGTTTCTAAGCCCTTAACTTTCATTTTTCCACAAACTCCTGTAGGCATGTCACATTAATTTTTCTTAATTATTATTTACAACTTACATTGATTAACAGTAATGATAAAAATTACATATAAAACTGGATTGAAAATTATTTATCAAGGCTGTAATTTTTATATATATTATTTGAGAGGAATAAGTTAGGCACTTTTCTCTGAAATTATTTGGTTCAATTTCACAAAATCAGATTGACATAACTCTCAGGAAGGGTATTCTTTAAGATTACCTATTGTATGTAAGGTCTTTTGCTGTGTTTTCTGGTACAGTATCTCCTAATAACCTGTTCTTTTTTTTTTTTTTAAGATTTATTTATTTATGATTACAAGAACTGGGGTACAGGCCAGAGGTGTGGGAGATGAGAGGATTCACCAGAGACAGAGTGGGGAGCAGAACAGGCAGATTGACTGAAGTACACTGCTGAGGGGAGCAGCGGGGGAGTCAGGAGAGGTCTGCTGTGCCATGTGGGTCAGCTCCCTGCCCAGGAATCAACCTTGCGCTGCAGAGGCTGCAGATAGCTTCACAGTGCTGCGCTCGACCCCTTGTGCCACCAGGGAGGCCCATAACCTGTTCTTTCTTTACAGTTGAGAGAATAGAATAGAAAAATTAAAGCACATTAAGGCGTCATCTGTGATGGTTTTGGAGTCAGATAAACCCATGTTCAAATCCTAGTTTTGGTGCTTATTACCTTTGTGATCTTGAGCAAGTAACTTTTTAACTCACCAAAGGCTCTGTTTTCTCAAAAATTTCTCACAAAATAGGACTTGTGTTACTACCTACCTCAGATAAATGTTATGAAGATGAAATGAAATTGGCAGGTGGTATGTGCTCAGCACATGTTAGTGACCAGTGGCACCTCCCATGCTCAGAGCTTATCCAAGGACATGGCCTGCAGTTGAAGCTATGTGTTCAGGTCTCTGAAGAACACAGTCTTTTCATTAAGCTCTAGGAACCAGTCCTGCACAAGATGAAGTTATTTTTCAGCAGCTTTCTACAAGAATGCTCTTTTAATCCTGGAAGTTCTAGAAGTTTATCTAATTCGTTTTCTCTTGACCCCTGGTAACTTTCTAAATTAAAGGGATTAAAGGAAAGAGAGGAGTATCCTTTCACACACACACAATCAGCACCAAGGACTGTCACTATAAAAGTGAGAGGGATATTATGTCTGGGACAGGGGAGATGCAGGACTTAGGAATCAGTCTCCTGGACTGCATTCTGAAGTGACTTTGAGAATGCTCTTGGTTTGGAACCTCTGCTGAAGGAGTAAGAACATGGCTAAGACAGACACTGGTTTGAATAGTAGTTCAGATATTTATAGTGTTGTGACCCATTTGAGTTGTCTAACTTTTCCTAGCCTTAGTTTTATCATTTACAAAGAGCAATGATATGATAGTGTCTCTACCACCAAGGTTTGCTGTGAGAAGTCAATGAATTAATATATGTAAAGCACTTAGAATAGTGCATGACACATTACTCTTCTGCAGTATTTTTATTCTCCTTCCCATTGATGCATTAAGAGAATCTAAGTTAGGAATGAATCCAAAAATGGTGGACTGTGGAAGAAGAACCACATAACATGAATTTTAGAACAGCTTCATCTTGAGCAATAAAATATTCTTTACACTGGGGCAAACATTCTCCCAGGGCATGTGACTAAGTTCATAGATTGTGGTTATCTATCAGAGTTATCAGATCATAAACTAGAATTTACATAATAGAATACCAGTGTAGAGTAACTGGCAAGAAGTAGTTACTCCATTGAGCAAGGGATACCGGTGCAGCATTTTACTTATCCATTTATATTTGAGCACCTTGAGGGTAGTGTTGCTTTTAATAAATGTAACATTAAAGTCCTACAGAGATTGGGATTTATTACCGTAGAGTAGAAAAGTGTTATTTTTTCTTATTGAAACATGACACTGAAATACTTAGTTTTATTTCTTTCCGCTAAGTGGTCGACACCATTATGACCAAGAAGCTTGAGCTCAATAAAATGCCGCTCTCCGTGTTCCCATACTACTCCTCCTTGGGCACAGCCTTGTACGGAAAGGAGAAGCCTCTGATCAAGCTTCCAGCACCCTTCAGAGAATCCTTGGACCTTCCCTTGTGGAAGTTCTTGCACAAGAACAATCACCTGATCCAGGAGATAAATGATGAAGTGAGACGCTGTCACTGTGAGCTCACATGGTCCGAACTCAATGGGGAAGTTACCATCCGACCCGCACCCTCCTTACTCAGACAGGGAAGACAGAGAATCAAGAGCTGGCAGAAAAATGCTTCCACAGCCTTTGCCAGCATCAGGTCTAAATATAAAGTCTCCTCATTTAAAGTGGATCCCATCGTGTGGGACACCGTGAAAAGTGACTTACAAGACAACAGGGTGTTGATTGAGTTTGATACACTGCTGGAGATCGTCACTTTGGTGGGGAAATCAGAGGATGTACAAAAGATCGAGCCACAACTCACAGAATTAATAGAAAGCACCACACAAAGAATTAAAAGGGAACAGCAAAGCCTGAAGGAAAAAGTGTCCCTTTCTCCAGGGAGATTTTCTCTCTTGTGCCACAGTGGTGCACTGGAACGTTTCCGCTCAGAAGACCCAGAGGTGGAGATTGTCTATCATAAAGCCTCTCGGCAAATGGGCATCAGAGGGCTCCCCGCAGATGTGTATAAGGTGAAGTGTGAAGTCCAGGAGAAGGTGCACGCCATGGCTCAGAAACACGTGCAGGTTCCCCCTGAGGTTTTCCAGTTTTTACAACAGGTAGACGCTGCCGAATTCTCTAAGTCTCTTTTTATAGCACAGAAAATTCTTGCAATTTATGAGCTAAAGGATCCAAGTGTTCTCTTAACCAGCTGTTCTCCTGAAGTCCTATTAGAAGCTGAAAAGCAGATGACCAGTGCCTTAAATTATCAGCGCATAGATGTTGAGAACAGACACGTTCTCAATGGCAAGAAATGGAAAGGACTCACTCGCAGCTTGCTCAACAAACATAATTCCTCCTCAATGACTGTAATAATCAATGAGTTAACTTCAGATGTCAACTCTGAGGTCATTGTGGCCGGCTGTGTGAGAGAAGTAAAAGAAATTTATCACTTGCTTTTTGACTTTCTGGACAAGCACATGGTCATAGAGAGGATGATTGAAGTAAAGCCTTCCTTAGTGAATGATTTCTTAAGGAAAGAAAAGAAACCATTATGGCAAAAGATAAAGAAAACAAATCTGCAGGTAGTTTTTAATCCTGAGAACAAACAAAATGGCATTTCACTAACTGGTCCAAGGATAGAAGTCCTGAACGGAATGACCCTCATCAAGAAAGCCCGGGATTCTCTCTGTGTTAAAAGCATCCATATTGATCAGCCAGGAGTCAGACAGTTATTCCAGGAGAGAGGAGCGTTTTATAGAAGTGAAGTCAAAAGGCTGTTTGGTTGTTTTATTGAAGTACAGGAGAACAAAGAAAAAGCGGGAGAGGGCACTGACGGGAAGAAATGCCTCTGTCGGGTGGACTTGGCCCCTGGAGTCTCCTTGATTGTGCAGCAGGGCGACCTGACAGGGTTCCCCGTGGAAGTGGTGGTGAATGCAGCCAATGAAGAGCTCCAGCACATCGGGGGCCTTGCTGCTGCTCTTTTAGAAGCAGCAGGCCCTGAGCTCCAAGCCGACTGTGACCAGATAGTGAAGAGAAATGGCAAGGTCCCACCTGGCCACGCCACCATCTCAAAGCCGGGAAAGCTCCCATACAGGTGCGTGATCCACGCAGTCGGGCCCCACTGGAAGAGAAATGAGGCCCAGAGGTGTGTGTCCCGGTTGAAGAGAGCTGTGGAAGAAAGTCTTTGTTTGGCTGAAAAACACAAGTGTCAGTCCATCGCCATCCCTGCTATTAGTTCTGGAGTCTTTGGCTTTCCCTTACCTGAGTGTGTGGAGACCATCGTTTCTGCTGTCAAGGGGCATTTCCAACATAAGTCAGATGGATGCACCTTGAAAGAAATCTACCTTGTGGATACAGCTGAGAAGACTGTGGAGGCCTTTGCCAGTGCCGTGAAAACTCTATTTAAAGATGCCCGGCCCGATGCTGCTTCCCTGCCCAGATTGCCAGCAGCCAGCCAGCCCGACTTGAGAGAAGATCATGGGAACGGACAAGTTCTCTTGTCCTCAGAAGGCCTGAGGCTCTTGTTGGTGAAAGGAGAGGTGCAGAGTGCTGCGGTGAGTGACCCAATTCACACCCCTTCAGCTGCCTCACCTTTGTAAGATACATGTTTTATAAGTATTTTTACCTATTTGAGATCATCTGTCTTTTTAATTCAAGTTATTTGTTTAAGACATTGTCTTTTAAATCAAAATACTGAAAGAGACTTAAAATTAGAGTTCTGATTGCAGAGAGCTTAAATAAAACCTTAAGTATATAAGGTCACGTTGATTATTGATTATGAGCCAGACATTATTGAAAATGCTTGACATGCATTTCTCCTTTCATGCTGTATATCCTACAATCATTATTTCTCTTAATCACAGGCTAAGGCATAAGAGTTAAAGGAGTGAAATAATTTGCCAAAGTCCTGCAGGTAAAAAATGGTATAGTCATGATTGGAATTTATTTGGGCAATGAACTATTGCATTATATTCAAATATTTAAAATATTATATTCAAATATTAAAAATAATTTGCTCATTAGAAAATTAAAATAATTAAGCAAAAGAAAATCTTTTAAGGAAGAGTCAGTAACTGGAATGAGTTCTGAGGCCAGTCCTCCTTGAACACTGAGCCCAGTTCTCCCTACCACTAGAAACATTCTAGGTTGTGTTGTCGAAACAGGTCTACCAATCTGCTGACAGCTCACAACCTACATGCTTATGTTGATGCTCTTCCTTGACCCTAGTGACTTCCCGGTTTCTCTACCTGCTGCAATCCTTCCAACTTCTCAGCGCCCACCTTGCCCCTGTTGTCTTCACCAGCCTTGAAGGACCTTCCTCTGGACTCCTCCAGTGGTCCCATACTGTTTATGTATTGCTTTTGGACAATTCTCTTTTGTCCTGCAGTTTCTTAAGTGAACAAAGTATCTAATAACATTGTGTTAGGTGGCATTCAATCTCTGAAAACTTGACCATCTTAGTTGTCCCCTATGGGGCCAGCCCAGTGGGTCAATATAGTAATCCTTGATGAATGCTTTCTGTTAGTATTTGAAACATATTGTTGGTTTTGTCTTTAAGGTCGATGTTATTGTCAACTCTGTTCCCTCGAGCCTTTCACTAAATAGAGGACCCCTTTCTCAAGCCCTCTTGGGAAAAGCTGGGCCAAAACTCCAGAAGGAATTGAACGCAGCTGGACAAGGGGTGGCTGTGGACGTGGGCACAGTTCTCCTCACCAGTGGCTGCAATCTGCAGTGCCAGCATGTGCTTCACGTGGTGGCTCCAGGGTGGAAAAATAACAGCACATCTGCACACAAGGTGGGATCTGGTTGTACACCCTCCAGGAAGTTGGGGAGCCCTTTCCACTCTCCTCCAAATGATGGAGACCAAACTGAACCCTGACTCTTTCTCTCCGGTAGTAATGTCACGCTCTCGGCAGCCTCCGTCACCGTGGCCACTCCTTGTCCCTGTGTCTGACTTCTCCTGAGGACTAGTTAGTGGCATAAACTGATCACAGTGCTCAGCCATTCTCAGGAGTCAGGGAAGAGACTCTAGTGAGGAATCCAAGGCGAGGGCATGAACCATTGAAGAGAAGGGAGGGTTAGGACAGTAGCTGCTCGGGTTCTTCCCTTCATTGCTGAGTTGGAGTCTTCTGGGCGGGCTCTCTCTTTTCTGCCTACGTGTGACCCTGTCTTTTCCCTTCTGATTACTCTTAGCTTCTGTTGAAAATGAAAGAGAGCCGGCAGCACAATCAAGTTACCAAATTCTTCTTTGTTCTAACTCCCATTCTATAAAGATGTGTTTTGTGCTTTTCAGATCATGGAAGACTTAATCAGAAAATGTTTGGAGATCACCGAGAGCCATTCCTTAAAATCCATTGCATTTCCAGCCATAGGAACAGGAAATTTAGGCTTTCCTAAACCTGTTTTTGCCAAATTAATCATTTCAGAAGTGTTCAAATTCAGTAGCAACAACCAAGCTACCACCTTACAGGAGGTTCACTTTCTGCTGCACCCACAGGATCTTGGAAACATCCAGGTACAGTCTCTTATTTCTAGTGTTTCGTCAGCTGAGCCCTGTGTCTTGGCTGTTTCTTCATTTATTTCCCATATAAGAGAGTAAAGGAATAGTGTAGACTAATTGTAGCCTGGCAAACTCCAAGCAAATATATGGCTGTAGAATCAGATTTAAATTTTTATTTAGGAAATTTTGAATATATATAAAAGTTGACAAAAAGTATAATGAAACCCCATGTGCCCATCATTCATCTTCACAATTATCAACATATGCCAGTGTGATTCACCTCTCTCTCTATTTGTTTCCCATCTCTCCCAAAATACTCTTTTGAAGCAAATCCCAGACATGTATTTTACCCATAACACATTCAGTTATTTTAGCCAGTAAGATTCTTGTTGAAAAGATCCATAACCACTATATGTACACAAAATAAACATTCTTCTATTTCATTGATAATGAAGTGAATGATCAAAGTTCCAACTCCTCTAAAATGTTTTATTTTATTTTCATAGCTTTTTAAAAAAATTTATTATTATTTTTAAAGATTTATTTATTTAATGCATACAAGAACTGGGGTAAAGATGTGGGGGCCAGAGGTGTAGGGGTTGAGAGGATTCACCAGAGACAGAGTGGGGAACAGATCAGGCAGATTGACTGAAATATACTGCTTAGGGGAGCAGCGGGCAAGACAGGAGACTTCTGCTGCACCATGTGGGTATCTTATTGACTGGGGATCGAACTTGTGCTGCAGTGGCTGCAGATAGCTTCATAGATTGTGTCTTAACCCCTTGTGCCACCAGGGAGGCCCCATAGCTTGTTTTTTTGAGACTCCAAATAATGCCACATATTGCAATGGATTTGACGTATGCCTTAACCTTCTTTTAATCTGTAGAACTTCATCCCATATCAATATAAAAATTGTAATGCTTAATACAAAAGCACATTTGTGGTACTATAGGAATGTCAGGATGAGATTCAACTCAAGGTTGTGTTTAAAATAATCTCAGCATACTCCATGTGTGTAGAGAATAGGGAGCAGAAATTCCAGATTCATCTTTAGCTCTAGAGAGTTCATCAAACAGTTCACATTTGCTGAACATCAGCTATCAATGAGGTATTGGACTTGGATTACGGAAGAAAAAGAAGCATCAATAAGAAGCCATTTTCCCTGGCCTCCAAGTTCTCAAAGTCCAGTAGAATAGATGACATCAAATATTTGAAAAGTTCCATAATAGTGTAAGAATTAGAGTAAGGCTACCAACCCAAGTGATGTTTATGGATATTGGAACATCTGAGTTTTTATTTTCACTTATTTTTTTTCTTAGACCTGGACATAACCTATAAGTATTTCTTCCAAAGGGAAGCAAACAACTCTAAACTAAGTTCTAATCAGGCAGCTAAACCATCTGAGTAAAACATGTTGACATGCATATTAAATTAATACCTGGTCAATAGCACTTTTTAAATTATGTCCTATGAGTTATAGTGCACAAGGTGATGTGGATCATGCACTGAGTATGTAATATATAATACTGCTATCATTCATATTTATTTTAAGATCTAGGATTTATGTTCATAAAACTGAGTTAGGGACATGAGTGGCTGAGAGTTTTTCAATGAATAGCTCCATGACTTGGGAAGTGACTCATGTGTTATATACCTGTGCCTTCAAATCTGCCTATTTCCTTGCAACCCCAACACTTAGTTTTCTTGGCTGAAGACTCAGAGTACTCTGCAAGTATTCTTCAAAATGAGTAGTCTATACAGACACCTTGTATAACATTGGAAAGAGTATTGATTCTCCATATATGGCTGTGACACTTTTTCTCAAGAACTTTAAAGACAGCTAAATTTTGTTGTATTTTCACAAAATCACTAAAACATACTGAGATGTTGGTAGGTAGAAATTGTAAAAGAGGTTCCAAAACAGCAATCTGTAGTCTGAACATGGCCTCGAAAAGATGCTCTATCAGGCTATTTTTGTTAAGTTGGAATAAATTGTTAGCATTTAAGTATAAAACATTTCGCATAAAACTCTAAGTGCGCACTTTGACCTAAAAATTCAAAAGTTCTGGCAGGCTGTTAGTGGGCAGTTTCCTGGAGCTGAGTGTCAGGTGCCCTCTAGTTCTCAGAGTCAAATCACCCACCTTTACACTTGCGGCTTACCTGCCTGCCCCGCAGGCCTGTGAGCCTGAGACGCTGGTGCCATAGTCTCTCCTGGCCCTTCTCTCATCATATCACGGTCTATTAGCCAAGTGCTTATTTTTTTCCCCAACAAAATGCTCTGTTACTTGTTTTCAAGGAAGAAGAAATTACTGATTTTGGGTGTCACTACCAGTCAAACAATTGAAATTCTGTATTTCATTAGGAGAGTACATATACCAGTATCTTGCTTGAAACAGTAATTCCCAAGCACTCATCTTCTGGGACAAATAAGAAGCTGAAGTGTTTGGGTCCTAGTGATTGTATTTTTCTTAACATGGTGTTTTGTTGTTTTTTACAACTGGCATATTATTTGTATTTAATGATTATGAAAATACCTGTTAATTGTAGAGACTTTCAATATAAGGTATGATTAAAGGTATAATAAATACAACTGAAGGTTATTATTGCCAGTCTTCTTTTGCATCTATGTATTTTTAAAGTGTTATTATGTAGCATAATTTAATGTATTTTTCATTCAATGGAATTAATGATTATTTCGCTATTAGCTATTTTTTAAAAATGCTTTTTTATTCGTTCCTAAATATTCTAACATGGATATACTAAAATTTATTTAATCATTTCTGTTAGATTTTAAAACTCATTTTTTCTCTATTATAAGTACTATTGTAATGAATAACCTTGTATTTATATCTTTGACCACATCTTTGATAACTTTCATAGGATATATTTGTAGAAATAGTGTTATGTGTGTTATTTTCATAGTTTTTTAATCTGGTATGAAATAAAACAATGCTTTGAAAATTATTCTCTTCTAAATGTGAATGCCTACAGGATTAGAAGCCCCAATAAACCAAGTTTATTCATTTAATGAGGATTGTAGTGGTCAAAAGTTTCTTTCTGTTTCCAGGCATTTTCAGAAGAATTTTTCCACAGGACTAATGGAAATGTCACAGGTGACAAAATTCCCCAGGCTGAAGATACACAAGGTTCAGTAAAGCTCTTAAATTGAGAAATCGTTTTTATTTGCTAAATAACTATTCAATGAGAGGCGAAAGATGGTAATGATGAGTTTTATGAAAAAATGACTCTGTGATAAACTATTAGATTATATTCTGTACAACCGAGTGTGCAAGACACTGCCCTTGATAATGTGATCTGGAGCTGAATAGTGGGAAGGTCAAATTATAGAATCTGTACAGGAGTCTTTAAGTAGCAAGGAGCTACTATTTAAGTTTAAAAATGTCCTTCTGTTCTTATTCTATAATTTATATATCTTTGAAAAGCTCCTATCTTTCTAGTCATTACAAATCATTTGATGTTTCAGATGTGTTTATCTTGACCTCAGGCAGCATAGTTATAAAAGATGCTGTGAAGTCTTTGTCTCATAATTTCAACTTCTGGATCACCTTGAGATTAGCATCTACTGATTGTCTTTATCCTCGAAAATTGGTCACATGTTCCTGGTTCTTTGCATGACAAATAATTCTGGATTATAGGATGGGCGTGCCAAATGTTATGTACGTTGAGGTGTGTTAAAATCCTCTAGAAATTGGTAATGTTTTATTCGTTTGAGCAATCAGTTGGTCAAGTTCATTCTAAAAGTTCTATCTCAACTTCTGTGTGAGCAGCAGCTCATGTCTGTTCAGTTCACAAAGTGTGCTTTGATGCTTGGGTCTCCCCCTCCTGTGCAGTTCTGGAGTGAATTCAGGATATGTTCCAGTTCACAAACCAAGAGTGGGAGAGGGAGAGAAAGAGGGAGAGGGAGGGGAGAGGGAGAGAAGTATTAGGGAACAATGAGCTTAAGGAAGTAGATAAACTAATAGCAGCGATGTCCCTCCTCCCCCAACACACCCTTGTATACTTTTTCCAAGTCAAAAGACCTCTTTTTCTTGATTCTCTGGATAGAAATAAGAATATTTTTCAGCATTTTAACTCCCTGTTGTATCACAGGGAGTTCTGCAACTGGGATCACCTTGGGACAGGGTCTTGATTAAAAACAAAAAAAGTATGAAAAATAATGAGAAATTATTCTCTTGCTCTTTAGCTCACAGGAACCCCTTTTCTCAATCCTCTGACCACAGGACAGAATTTGAGTGTTTTTGCTGCATGTGCCCATGTGTGGGTCTCAATAGGGCCACACTAGGGCCAAAGCTGGGAGAGAAAGGAGAAAAATGTCAAGACAAACAAAATTGAAACTCCCCTCTGTACAGTTACTTTTTCAGCTTTTGACTTCCTTCCCCGATTTGCCCACTCTTAAGTATTTTTCACCTCAGTGGCACTGTGTATTTATCTCAGATTTTCAGTTGTAATCAGTGGGAGAGACAGGCCCTGGTGGGCTAAGGTCACCTTGGCCAGCACCTGAAGAGCATACTTGATATGCATTACATTTTTAATAATCCTTTACCTAAAACACACCTAGGTTCAGGGTCTGGGTCAAGTTAAAGAGCTCACAGAGATGGAAGAAGCATGAAAGGTACATGTGTGGCATGAGACCAGTGCCGTTCTTGCTCTTGGCAATTTGGTCACTGATTCCATCTTCTTTTCAGGCTTCCATGGGACTGTTTCTAGCCCTAACCCACAAGTGCACAAAATGAAGATCGGTCCCATCACGTTCCAGGTGGCCACTGGAGATATCACTAAAGAAGAGGCAGACGTGATTGTAAATTCAACATCAAACACTTTTGATTTCACAGCAGGTACTCTACATTTGGGATTTTGGCTTATGTAATAGTCTCAGTAGATCCCATGAAGGAATTCTTCTAGTCAATTGTTATTCTATGAATTTCTTCATGTCATCAGAATTACAATAGTTAGAGGATTTCTTTGATTATAATGAAAGTATTTATATAAGGAGGAAGTTATTCAAATGTAATATTTTTTTATTATTCATATGTAACCATCTTGATTTTCTTATATAGGGGTTTCAAAAGCAGTTTTAGAAGGTGCTGGACAAAATGTGAAAATGGAATGCTCTTACCAAGGTAGTCACAATGCTATCTTTGATCCTAGATTGTATGTAGATGACTGAACATGGGCGGCTTTAGAGATAACGGGGGAAGACTTGCTATCGGGATGACAAATATTAATCCCAAAATCATACATTTTACTAAAAATTCCAACCATAGACAGTTGGAGGTCAGAGTAAAAGGAGAAGGAAGATTCATTAAAGACAAGTATTACAGTCCTTATTTGCCAAACTAGACGTTTTTCTTTCTAAAAAGTGTGTACAGAGTCTAATTTTGCATCTTTTTCATGTGTTTCCCAGCTAAGCAAGGCAACCGTGATTATATAATCACAGGAGGTGGTTTACTGAAGTGCAAGAATATTATTCATGTCGTTGGTGGAAATGATGTCAAGACATCTGTTACCCATATTTTGCAAGAGAGTGAAAAACGGTATTATTCATCCATTTGCCTCCCAGCCATCGGGACAGGTGTGTAGCCTCTGGCTGTCAAGGCAAAAGCTGAAGCCCCTGTTTTTCTTTATATTTAGTGCTAATTGTTAATTACTTAATGGTGAATCTGAGGAAAGACAGCTTCCTTACTCCAAGAAAGCACTTGAAGGCATGAACAAAGCCAATTTGTGGCTTCAGGAAAAAAGTGATGAAACTGAAGAGAGAGTGGGAATACTGGAGAGACACTTGCTTCCTAATAGGGATGGGGAGAGAATGGGAAGAAGGAGGAACTGAGGAAAAAGGAAGGAAGAGGGTGGGAGGAGACAGAGAGGGAAGAAAAGTGGTGGGGACAACGGAGAGAAGAGAAAGAGAGAGCATCTCTCCTTGTCCATCAATCCCTTTGTCTCTTTTCAGTCTCCCCCACATCCCCCCTGACTTAATATGAGCTCCTTCCTCTAAGCCCCTCTGTGGAGCACACTGAGCGTGGACGTGCTCCTCGCTGCCCCTGACTTGGGAGCATGTCCAGCTCTTCTCGCCTCTTCAGCAGCAGGCTGTGGGGGTTGGCCTTAGGGCCTCTCTGTGCAGAAGCCTCGCAGCCACCAGGACCCACTGGGATCGAATGAGGCAGAAACACGTAACTCTCCAGCTTCCTTTTTTCAGTCTCTTTACTTCCTTCAAGTTTCTTGTTTTCCTCAGACTATAGAATGAGTGAGTGATTCTTTGTGTATAAAGATGGCTCTTTGGCTTTATCATTACTAAGGTGATGCCCCTTGAACTCTTTTCCCAGGAATCTGAGTCAAGTGCATTGATGAGCTCTCCCCTAAAGAGCTGGTGGGGAGAGGCAAACCCTTTCGGGCCTGAGGTAGATGGAGCTGACTGGTCCAATGATAGAATACTCAGCATTGGGCTGATGGTTCTGTTCCTCAGGAATCTGAGTTTGAGTGTCTCACACTGGCTTTCTAGGCTCTCCAGAATTTTAGCCTCAATAGACTTAACCATCAGATCACCTTCTGCCGCTTCTAATCCTCCGTGCCATTGTTCTTTATCCTATTTCTTAATTTCTGCAGCTCTCTGTCATTCCCGTGAAGTGTTCACACATGGAATATTATGCCTACTTTATTACTTTTCTATTTTTAAAAGCAAAGTTTATAGTCCCTTTATATCTTCATTCCTCTTATAGTGATGTTCAATTCCAGCAGATTAGTCAACATGTTCTCTGTCTGTCTACCTATCAGTTATCTATCTACTATTGATCTTCTATGGATAGCCACTAATGAGTCCTAGTGTCTGTTTCCTGCTTTTTCCTCAAAGTTCTGGTCTTACATTTATACCTATATTTTGTTTGAGCCACAAAAGCAGGCAGCCTAGAGGTGGCACATACCTTCCATGGGAGTAAACAGCAGGGTCAAGGAAAAAACAAGAACATGAGGCAGTTTTAGTTTAGTTTAGTTCTAGTTCAGATGCACACATCTGCCTATTTCTGGATAATACAAACCTGTCACTTCTTCCTCTGACCTGGTTGAATTGCTGGGCTGCACAAATAAATGGAGCTTAGCGGATTCTCCATGATTGCCTTCTTTGCTCTGTCACTCCCTGAGATGGTCCTCAGACTAGTAGATGGTAGTTTTCTCCCTTACTGGTGTTTCTGAGTTGCATTGGGACTTTGACCAGACACCTTCTGGCAATAAAAGAAGCCTTTCCCTGTCCTTAAGACACCTGCCTCAGCAGAGAGAATGGGGAGTCAGCATAACCTAAGCGCCTTCAGCTCCACACCAACTGCAAACTCCAGTTCACGTCCTCTTCCCACTAACCCGCCCTTCCTCTGAACTACTGGGTCACGTACAAAGCCCCACTCTAGCATTTGACTCCACCCACCTCTACTCCTAGGTTCAGTAGCTGATTAGTTAGCTTGCTGTCCTGTGCCAGGCCCTGTGCTTGGACACCTGGGATAGAAAGATGAGTCAGGAAAGGGACTGGTCCGCTAGGACACCTCACTCCTGTGAGAGACAGACACAAACATGCAACACAGTGTGACCCATGTTGCCCATGAAGTGTGCAGGTGGTGGAAGGGGACAATGGGTTGAGGATAAACCCAGTTGGTCACTAGGTCCTGCTGAATTATGGCCTAAATATCTCCTCACTCCCAGCACCCACCTCTTCATTCTGACCTCTTTGTTTAGCTCTTGTCCTTTGACCAAAGGTTTATTTCATTCTCCTAACTATAACTGCACCTTGATTCTAGGGCTTTCTTCACTTTTCTCTCAAAAAACAGCTCTATTTCTCTGCACACACTGGTACACATACCAAACCCTGCTCCACAGTTCTCTATGGCATCACCTTTTCCTCTATGTTCCTTCCTTTTCTCAGTCTCCCCATACACCACATCCGGTGTGTCCTGAGTTTCTAACTGAGCATCCAGCCTGCAATAGGACACAGTAAATTTGTATGAATGTGTCTGCCACTCCATTAAAATTCTTCCAAATCTCATGGAGTAACCAAGGAGAATTTCCTCTTTCCCTCATCATGAGGTTTATCTACAGTCCCACAATTGTCAATGTTGTCAAGTCAAAGAGGTCCAGCCTCATTCTCTGCAATAGTGGGGGCGCTATAAATAGAAATAATCTAAGAGGGCTCCAAGTCTATCACACCATGTTGATTAGGGTTCTTCACATTGCCTCCAGCCCATGACTTAGCCAGGCTGTTCATTTGGTGCTTCTGTGTGTCTTCCTGGGACTTTTCATGATTTTACCTGACTGTGGGTGAGAGAAACTAGCCATGGAGCATGCTGAGAATAGGAACTGACCTCAGGTGGCAATATGATCCTCCATAGTTGGTTAAAATGTCATTGAGTGTTCGAGGAAAGACTTCCTGGAGGTTCATGGATATCTTGTGTAGAAAGAATGATAGATTATAATAATTGACAAAATTAGTTTGGTTTGAATCAGATCCTTAAAGACTTTGGGAGAATAGGATACATGCATAAAGAAAGTGATGACTGAGCCAAAAAAAATCACTGTTCTCTTTAAAGAGCATGATGTTGCAATATAAAATAGCATGTGTTTTTCATGGATATTCTGAGGACAGTTCTGATACAAAGACTGCCTATGGTGTGTATTTCAGAGGAATGCAGAATAGGATCAGTGTATTAGAGGAGGTAGGAACACCAGACACCAAAAGTTAGTATACTGGGTCCTTTGATCATTGAGGAGCTACTGGAATCCTGGAACAAAAACACCCCATTACATATAGTACATTGGAAAGCATTTACTGATACTGTGTTAGAAAAGTCTGTCATGATGGAAGTGTTGGGAAATGGACCCTTATCTGTGAGAACTAGAACCCCAAAGTTATTCCTTAGCCTTTTCTGGATGGAGTCCCCCACCCCCATCATTTGTATTATTTACCTTCCCAGGAAGTGCTAATCAAGATCCAGATAAGGTTGCTGGAGCCATCATAGATGCCATTGAAGGTTTTGTCCAGAAAGGATCTATTCAGTCTGTGAAAAAAGTTAAAGTTGTTCTCTTTGTACCTCAGTTATTGGATGTGTTTTATACGAACATGAAGAAAAGAGAAAGATTTCAGCCTTCTCCCCAACAGTCTGTGATGTCTTATATTGCACGTGAGTTGTTTTTACCAGATGCACATTTCTAATTTTTTGGTCATGTGAGAATTTGGGTTCATTTATAAATTAAATATGGAACTACCATGTGGCTCAGCTACTCCACTTCTTGGTATTTGTCTGAAGGAAATGAGATCATGATCCCAAGAAGATATAAGCCCCTCCCCCCACTGTCATTACAGCATTACTTATCAAAGCAAATTTGTGGCAACAACCTACGTTTCCACTGACAAATTAATGGATAAGAGAGATGTGGCTTACATGTATTATGGAATATTACTCAGTTATAAAAAAGGAAATCCTGGTATATGCCACAACAATGTATGGGCCCAGAAGGTTTTATGCTAAGTAAAATAAGTCAAGCAAAGAAAGACAGATACTGTGTGATATCACTTCTATATGGAGTTAATAAAAAACGAACACATAGAACAGATTGGTGGTTGCCAGAGGTATCTGGGTATCTTAGGAATGCAAAGGAGGTGGAGGTAGGCAAAAGAAGTGAAAATGGTCAGAAGGTACCAAGTTCTACTTAAAGTTTCTGGGGATGTAAAGTACAGGTTTGTAAAAAAAAATAAGAAGCAATAATCTTTCTTTCTTTTGTCTTTTAGCATTTTTGGCTCCCTTCTTTTTTTATTATTTAGTACTTTTGGCTATTGTCTTTCCTTTTTTAGCATTTTTGGCTCCTTTCACTCTTTTGTTTTTAATATTTTTGGCTATTTCCCTGTTTTATTTAATATTTTTGGGTTCCTCGCAACAGTCTCCAAAAGAGAACAATCAAAATTCTCCAAAAGAGAACAATCAAAGTTCTCCAAAAGAGAACAATCCTTCAGTTTTGAAAAAGAAAACAGAGTCAGTAATTTTTCAGGTGTGTGGTGAAAATGTAAAGTGTGTGGAAAACGCCCTCTCCTGGATACAGGATCTGGTTGAAAAGGAACAGTGCTGTTTCACCAGTAAAGATGAATGTATCAAAGACTTTGATGAAAAGGAGGTCCAGAAATTGAATGAGCTACAGAAGAAATTAAACATTACTATATCCTTGGACCATAAAAAACCTTTGATTGAGGTTTCGGGAATTAGCAGAGATGTGACTGAGGCTAGAAATGAAATTGAGGAAATGATCCAGAGAGTAAGATTGGCCAAAGAACAGGAATCCCGGGCAGATTATACCAGTGAATTTATAGAATGGCGATATAACAATAACCACACGTTCCATAGTTTTGACAAAATAACCATTCTGCAATTGGAGGATGCAAGGAGAACAAAGAGAAGGACAATAGATGTCAAAATTAATCACCAGACCTACACAGTGGACTTGAAAACATACACTGCTACTAATGCAAAGGGACATAATTTACCTGTTCAGCGCCTCAAAAAATCTGAAGGTAAGTTAAAGTTTCATGCCTGTAATCCATCATTTTACATCAGTTTTGAGCTTAATACAATTTTGTACAAATTTCAAACTCCTATTCAAGTAGATAAAATTCAGACAACCCTTAAAGGGTAAAATAGGAAACTTGGTCTGAGCTCGCAGAACTTGTTAATGTCCATATTGATTCAACAGTAGCCAACCCTTGCCTCTATTCCCATGCTATAGACAACAAATTTCCCAGAGCTGGTTCTGCTGAGGAGGAAAGGTCAGCTTCAGTCACAAGATGGAAAGGCAGTGTTTAAGGAAAAGTAGTCGGGGATTTTTCTAGAATCCAAAGGGGAAGACAGCCTGGTCAGAGTGGGTACTGTGTGTCTGTGACTAAGAAGCAGGAAAGGATTGGGAGCCTGACTTCTCCCAAGTCACTTCCTCCTCTAAGCTGAACATAAGTATTCCTGACACATGGGGAAGTGAATTCAGATTCTCTAACTGTACTTGCTTCCTAGAAGCGATTACTTCTCTTATGTCGGCAGTCATTTCTGCCTTTGAACCACATAAGACCCACACAGAAAACTAGTAAACTGTCTTAAGTAACTACCTTTCTCTCTTGTGAGGTCAGTGTGAACGACTTCCTGAGACTCTTAGCACCCCTGGGGAAATGACCAGTCAGTTGTGGCCTTTTATTTAGAAGGAGATGGGGAGAGAGCTGTCAGCACACCCATCACATATAAAACCTGCTATCCCCTGCCCCCAACTTTTATGGATGCTGTGAAGAATGAAGGAACAGATGTGGAGGGCCCATGACCAGAGTCCATGTAATTGAAAAGACATAGTGACTGTTGGACACTCTCGGGAATAATTTATTATTAAATTGCTAAATTATGATGAACTAAATACTGAACAGGCTATGCAGTTGGGTTATGATACACTGATAGTTCTCAAATCTGCATGTTATCAAAACTTATTAAGATGACACACATTGGCAAGGAGCGAACTGCGGATAGCTTCATAGGTTGCATCTTAACCGTTGGTTTTTTTTTTTTTTAAACAAGATTATGGTTGCCTCAGATATAGGTTGTCTTTGGTCCATATTTTTAAAAACAATCTAGAAAATAAGGAAGACCTTGAATAAAATTAAGAGATTGTGAACAAGAACACAGAGAGCACTCAGTTTTTCAGAGCATACTAGGAACGTGGACTATATAGAGGATCTTCCCCTATTGAGGTAGAACTCAATTGTCTACTTTGCAGTTGAGATCCCTGCTTATTGGACTGACATGAGGCAGCAGAGCATCTGTGTGGTTGGTCTATACCCTGGCAATCCTGACTATAACTCAGTGGCAAGCAAGTTTTATCAGACCTGTGCAAACTTCAGGATAGAGAAGGTAAGTCTTCTGACATGTGGTTTCTTAGTGGTGGAAATAAATAGTATTGTGATCTTATGTAAGTACATTTTCACTCACTTCCTATCATAATTTTTTTACTGAGAATTAGATATTTAATGTTAATTAGATTTTTAGATCCTGGATTCAATTTATGTCAGCATAATTATTAAGATTTCAGGATGGAGGTTTTTTGTGTAAGTTAATACAGTATTAGGTATAATATCAGAATACAGAATACAGCAGTGTATTTCGTCAGTCTGCCTGTTCTGTTCCCCACTCTGGCTCTGGTGAATTCTCTCACCCTCCCACACTTCTGACTGTACCCAGTGCTTATATAAATAAATGAATATATATTTTTTAAAAAGGATTCTAAAAAAAAAAAATTACAGTGATATTGCCTCAAAGTTGTATTTGGTACCCAGTAAACACCCGAAGAGACACATGGAGGCTCAGGAGATCAGGATTATGTGCTTCTGCCCACCACCCACTAATGATAGTGCCAGCTTCCTTGTAAAATCCAATAGCCTCACTTTTGGCATCTTCCACTTTTAAACATGAATAGTGTACTTAGAAATTTTGTTCTCCCTTGACTTCTACAGCAATAATTTGATACTTTCTTTTCCTTTTTACTAATATTCCTTTTTCATTATTACTGGTATCTGTTTCTCCCCCAAACTTCTAATCCTAACTTTACACACAGGAGTGTGGACTTCTGTCTCTACTTTATCGGGAATGGTTCTATCCTTCTTGGCTTCAATGCTGACAGTTCCCTAATCATTGTCACGAATCTGGAGCTCCGACTCAGGCTCTGGAACATAATCCCAGTGACCTAAAACAATCTTCACTCAAATATCAGTTTGTTAAATCAGTTTGCTTAAAATCTATTTCGTCATCTCCAGATATTATCTTTCCCCTTCTGTCCTCATTTCTATTCTTAATTCCACCACTTTCTGATAAAGCCAGATCTTTTAGTATCTTCCCATTACCCATAATAATAAGTTTGCCACCAGTCCTGCATTTTTTTCTTTGCAAATTAACTCATCCTATTTGCATTGTCACCTCACTGATTATTCATGTAGTTACACACTTAATAATTCAATAAATATATGAAGTATCCTATGAAGGTATATCTCATACTCAAATAAAAAAATGACAAGTAGACAGAGAAAAAGAAGTATAGGGATAAAATAATATACAGTCAATCTTAGCTCCTGTAAGTACATAACATGAGGTCCTAGAAAATTACATTGGACCACAAAATCTTGTCCCTGAGCTTTTTAGTGGATGAAGCAAAGAAGGAAATCCCCAATCACAAGATTGATAAAGTCCACAAATTAAAAAGCAAGCAATTTGATCAAGAGATTAACAGCTTCTTAAAGCATTAAAAATGACTCCTAAGAGATAACTCCTGTGAATCAATACTAGAGAATAAAATCAAAATCACCCTCACAATAAATTCCATACCAAATTATATACCACAGTTGTTGTTTTTTTGAACTTCTTTCCTAAAAGATTTTTATTTATTTATGCATATAAGAACTGGGGTACAGATCAGAGGTTCAGGGGTGAGAGGATTCACCAGAGACAGAGTGGGGAGCAGAACAGGCAGATTAACTGAAATACACTGCTGAGGGGAACAGCGGGCGATTCAGGAGAGGTCTGCTGCGCAATGTGGTAGCTCCCTGGCTGGTTGGGATCAAACTCGTGCTATAGAGGCTGCGGATACAGATAGCTTGATAGTGCTGTGTCTAACCTCTTGCGCCACCAGGGAGGCCCGTTTATTTTTGCTTGTTTTTTTTTTTAATTTTTTAATGTTATCCAGTGGAGCAAAACTATTCTCAGAAAAGCTAAGGCAATTTATCTTGGATCAGCAGCGTGTTATTTGGGAGACCACATCACCATTGCCGAAGTAAGAAAGACCAAAGTTCCATTCTGGAAATTGCATCCAACTCAAAGTCCATGGTTTTTGAGTGATTTGCAGTGCATTCCAACAGACTCAGAAGTGGCTCTGAGTTGTCTAATGACATATGAAAAATCATTTTTTCTACATTCTATGTCATATCAAATAATGAAGATTAGTTAGAAAACAGAAGTCACTTGTCCACAGCAATAGTGAAATACTGAAGCTATCATCTGACTGCTAATGAATAGACATTCTTTGAAGTTCAGGAACCCCTGACAACCAGACTGCTGTGGCTGGCTCGCAACAGGTGGCGCCCAAACAGGGACCTGACGGAAGCATCTGGAGCTCAAGATCATTGTATTATTTGATACTTTGAAGATCAATTTTTGGATCTGTGTTTCACTGAGGACCCAGGAAGTTACTCAAGTTGCTTCTACAACAATGGAAAAAGCATTATGATGGCATAAATATTGGGGAGTATAAGAATAGAAAAGAGAGGCCATTAAAGAGAGCCCCGCCCCCCAGGAGGAGACCAGCACCAGCACACAGCCCCGGCCGCCCGGCTGCTTGAAACTGACAGATGACTCCTGGAAGAACCAGAGGGGAACAGAGAAGCCCACCCAAGATGCCGGCCAGTCCCAACAACACAGTGTCCCAACGCATACGGCAAATTAGAAAACAGACAGTAGAGAGGAGAAGAACCACACGCAACCTAGCAACTCTCCAGAGAAAAAGCACACCACAAAAAGAAAGCCAGCCCCCAGATTGCAAAGACAATAACTTGGAAGAATTTCTGAGCCTTCCAGAAAGAGAATTTAAAATTGCCGTGATTAAAAAACTGACAGAAGTCATAAAGGAAAACAATGATAAGGGAAAAATAATCAACGATCAGAAGAATGCAATTGAGTACCTAGAGAGGGAAAACAATGGTCAGAAGAAAGAAATTGAGTCCCTAAAGAGGGAAGTAAAAGAAATGCAGGAGATCAAAGAATTAATGGAAGAACTAAAGAATTCTGGGAAAAGCAATGAAAGCAGAATAGATGAAATGGAAGAACGAATAAGTAATCTTGAAGACACAGAAATAAAAAGAACCAAAACAGAAAAGGAAAGAGAAGTACGAAGGAAAAAGAACGAAGAAAGACTTCGGGAACTATCTGACTCCATGAGGAAAGGAAATATAAGAGTTATAGGAATACCAGAAGGAGAGGAGAGAGATGTAGGAACAGAGAAAATATTCAAAGAGATAATTGAAGAGAACTTCCCAAATGTGAAGAAGGAGCTGAAAATTGATATACAAGAAGCAAGAAGAACACCAAACTTCCACGACGAAAGGAAAAATACAGCAAGACACATAATAGTAAAGCTCCCAAGAATCCAGGACAAGGAAAAAATAATGAAGCTGGCAAGAGGGAAGAAACAGATAACATTCAAAGGAAAACCAATCAGGCTGACATCAGACTTCTCCGAAGAAACACTACGGGCAAGGAGAGAGTGGAGGGACATAGTCAACAGACTCCAAGAAAACAGATGCCAACCAAGAATACTCTATCCCGCAAAGCTCTCCTTACTCTTTGAAGAAAGAATATGGACCTTCCCAGACAAACAGAAACTCCAGAATTTCATTGCAACTAAACCCCCACTCCAAAAAATACTACAAGGAGTCCTAAAGCCAGAACCTCAGAGGGACGAATAACAATGAAAGAAGGCCAAAAAAAAAAAAAAAAGTTATTAAAAGAATAAATAAATAAAATCAAAGGAAAGACAAACACAATGGCAAATACAGATGTTAACATATCAATATTAACTCTAAATGTAAATGGACTAAACTCTTCAATAAAAAGACACAGAGTGGCAGCCTGGATTAAGAAACAAAACCCAACCTTTTGCTGTCTCCAGGAAACACATTTAGCTACAAAAGATAAAAATAGGCTCAAAGTTAAAGGATGGAAAACAATCCTACAAGCAAATGGACCAAAAAAGAAAGCAGGAACAGCTATACTTATATCAGATAAAAGAGATTTCAAACTCAAAAAGATAAAAAGAGACCCCAATGGTCACTACATTATGATCAAGGGGACAATACTTCAAGAAGAAATAACACTCATTAACATATACTCACCAAACGAAGGAGCACCAAAATATATCAGACAACTGTTGTCCTCTCTGAAAACAGACATCAGAGAAAACACATACGTAGTGGGAGACTTCAACACACCACTATCAACAATGGATAGATCAACAAGACAAAAAATAAGTAAAGAAACCAAAGCTCTAAATAAGGACCTAGAGCAATTAGGCTTAACAGACATCTATAGAACACTAAACCCCAAAAAAACGGAGTACACATTTTTCTCAAGCGCACACGGATCATTCTCCAGGATCGATCACATACTGGGGCACAAGACAAACATCAACAGATACACCAAGATTGAAATCATATCAACCATCTTTTCTGACCATGAAGGCATCAAACTAGAAATAAACCATAAAAAGAAGGCAAGGAACTTTCCTACCTCATGGAGATTAAAAACCACACTACTGGAAGACCATTGGACTAATGAGGAGATCAAAGAAGAAATTAAAAAATTTTTTGAATTGAACGACAAGGAGGACACTAATATCCTAAATGTATGGGATGCAGCAAAAGCAGTAATAAGAGGAAAATATATAGCAATAGAAGCTCACATCAAGAAACAAGAAAGAACGCAAAGAAACAACCTCATCTCGAAGCTCAAAGATCTAGAAAAAGAACAACAAAAAAACCCCAAAACCAGTAGAAGAAAAGAAATAATAAAAACCAAAGCAGAAATAAATGAAATTGAAACTAAAAAAACAATCCAAAAGATCAATGAAACCAAGAGCTGGTTTTTTGAAAAAATCAATAAAATAGACAAACCCCTAGCCAGGCTCACAAAGGAAAAAAGGGAGAAAGCACAAATAAACAGGATCATCAATGAAAGAGGAGAAATCACAACGGACACAGCAGAAATCAAAAGAATAATCAGTAACTACTATGAACAGTTATATGGAAACAAGTTTAACAATCTAGAGGAGATGGACAAATTCCTACAACTCTACAATCACCCAAAGCTAGATAAAGAAGAAATAGAACACCTAAACAGACCAATTACAATTAGCGAAATTGAAATGGTAATCAAAAACCTCCCCAAAAACAAAAGCCCAGGACCTGATGGATTTACAAATGAATTCTACCAAACATTCAGAGACGAATTAGTGCCTATCCTTCACAAACTCTTCCAAAAAATTGAGAAGGAAGGGACAATACCAAACACGTTTTATGAAGCCAACATTACACTAATACCAAAACCGAACAAGGACAACACAAAAAAGGAAAACTACAGGCCAATCTCCCTAATGAACACTGATGCAAAAATCCTCAATAAAATTTTAGCTATCAGAATCCAACAATGTATCCATAAGATAATTCACCACGACCAAGTTGGATTCATTCCAGGGGCACAAGGATGGTTTAACATCCGAAAATCAATCAACGTTATCCAACACATCAACAAAAAGAAATATAAAAACCATATGATAATATCAATAGATGCTGAGAAAGCTTTCGACAAAGTGCAACACCCATTCATGATAAAAGCCCTTGAAATTCTGGGGACACAAGGAACATACCTCAACATCATAAAGGCCATCTATGACAAGCCAACAGCCAGTATCATTCTCAATGGTGAAAAGCTGAAAGCAATTCCATTAAGATCTGGAACAAGACAAGGATGTCCACTCTCACCATTGCTTTTCAATATAATACTGGAAGTCCTAGCCAGGGCAATAAGACAAGAGAAAGACATCCAAGGAATCCAAATAGGAAAAGAAGAAGTCAAACTATCACTATTTGCAGACGATATGATATTATACATAGAGAACCCCAAAAACTCCACAGAAAAGCTAATTCAACTCATCAATCAGTTCAGTAAAGTGGCAGGATACAAAATCAACACGCAAAAGTCAGTAGCCTTCCTATACACAAACAATAAATCTGAAGAAGAAGAAATCAAAAAGACCATCCCTTTTGTTATTGAAACAAAAAAAATCAAATATTTGGGAATAAATCTAACAAAAGAGGTAAAGGACCTATACAAAGAAAACTATAAAACACTGTTAAAAGAAATAGAAGAAGACACAAAGAAATGGAGAGACATCCCCTGCTCATGGATTGGAAGAATAAACATTATTAAAATGGCCATCCTACCAAAAGCAATATACAGATTCAATGCTATTCCAATCAAAATTTCAATGTCATTCTTCAAAGAAATAGAACAATTATTGGTGAAATTCATATGGAATCACCAAAAACCCCGAATAGCCAAAGCTCTCCTGAAAAAAAAAGAAGGGAATGGAGGCATCAGACTCCCAGACTTCAAACTATACTACAAAGCCATAATCATCAAAACTGCATGGTATTGGAACAAGAACAGACATACAGACCAATGGAATCGAATAGAAAATCCAGAAATAAACCCACAGATTTATGGTCAACTAATCTTTGACAAAGGAGCAAAGAATATGCATTGGAGCAAAGAAAGTTTGTTCAATAAATGGTGCTGGGAAAACTGGGTCGCTACATGCAAAAGAATGAAGCTTGACCACCACCTCACACCATACACAAAAATCAACTCAAAATGGATTAAAGAACTAGACATAAGACCTGAAACCATAAATATATAGAAGGAAATATAGGCGAAACACTACGTGATTTGCACATCAAAGACATCTTTACAGACACATCACCCAAAGCAGTGATAGTGAAGGCAAAGATAAACAGCTGGGACTACATCAAATTAAAGAGCTTTTGCACAGCAAAAGAGACAATAACAAAAACAAAGAGAAACCCCACCAACTGGGAGAACATTTTTGCACCCAACACTAATGATAAAGGACTGATCACAAAAATATGCAAAGAGCTGATGAGACTCAACAACAACAAAGAAAATAATCCAGTCAAAAAATGGGCAGAAGAGCTTAAAAGAAACTTCTCTGAAGAGGAAATGCAAATGGCCAACAGGCATATGAAAAAATGTTCAACATCACTTGTCATCAGGGAAATGCAAATCAAAACTACCATGAGATACCATCTTACACCAGTGAGAATGGCACATATTAAAAAAACTAGCAACAACAAATGTTGGCGAGGGTGTGGAGAAAAAGGAACTCTTCTGCACTGTTGGTGGAGTGCAAACTGGTCCAACCACTGTGGAAAGCTGTATGGAGATTTCTGGACCTACTAAACATAGAGCTTCCATATGATCCAGCAATTCCACTCCTAGCTATTTACCCAAAGGACACAGAAACATCAATTCCAAAGAACACCTGCACCCCTATGTTTATAGCAGCACTGTTTACAATAGCTAAGCTTTGGAAACAACCCAAATGCCCAAAAATAGATGACTGGATCAAGAAGATGTGGTACATATATACCATGGAATATTACTCAGCATTCAAAAAAGATAAACACATGCAATTTGCAGCAACATGGATGGCGCTGGAAGGGATCATGCTCAGCGAAATAAGCCAAAAAGAAAAAGAAAAATACCGGATGGTCTCACTCATAGCAGGAATCTAGAAAACTTAAATAAGGGACCAGGAAAATGAATAACTATAAGAAAGTGAAAATCAAAATCAACAAAAAACTATGAACCAGAGACACTTTTAGGGGGGCGGGGGTGGGAGGGGAGGGATTGGGGTCAGAATGGGGGGGCTGTAATTGTATGGGGAATATAACAATAAAATTTAAAAAAAAAAAAAGAAAAGCTAAGGCAATTTGATTCAGATCTGTAGCTCTTTGATGCTTACATCCCAGTGTATGACACTGATAAAAGCAGAGCTGGGTTGTACTTAAGGCACCTCTATGAGGTTTCTAGTGGTGTGAAAACATTGGCATGAAAAAATGGGTGATTTTTAGGTGACCCATTTGTCACCTAAAAGTCCGTGACTTTTAGGACTTGTGACTAAGATTTGGAACACTGAAAAACGTTCATTTTGATTCAACACTGTAGCCACATTTATTTTTCTCCCGCATTCAGTTTTTGAGGAAGTGTTTGCAAGTAAGTTGCAGATATTATGACACCCCAAGATATTTTAGTACATGTCTCATAGAAACAAATTCTGTTAAATAACATTACCATTATCTTTTATTATAAAATTAAAATTAACTTATTAATATCTAATATAGAATTCATGTTCAAATTTGCCCAATTGTTCACCACAGAAGTCTTAGAATTTTTTCTCCCCTCCCGCCATCCTATGCCTAAAACTAGATTGAAGGACCAAAATTGGTTCTAATTTCCTTTATCTGTTCTGATCTTGAACAGCCCTAGGTATTTGAGGTTATTTTTCATGATATTGGATGTTCTAGCCAGTTTGTAGAATGTGCCAAATTTTGGTTCAGTCTTGCCTAGATTTTTTTAAGACACCCAGAACCAGTTTTTTAAATGGATTCTAGATTTGTCTGGTTCTTATCAGTGGACGTAAGTCTCCACCACAGCCCTGAAAGCCACATTCCAGAATCTGGTCAAAGCACGGCCACATTGATCTGAAACCAACCCCCTCCCACCAGGATTCAAGCTCCCTCTTCCAACTGGCCAGAGATGGATTTACATCCATTAATTTTGCTTTGTGCCTTCTTTCTAGTGCTTCTCACTCTGTTCAAGCATAGGTAGGTAAGCCAGATTTTCAGAAAGAGAAAAGAGGGAGATGGAGAGCGACAGTGTGAGGTAGACAGCTGCGGGAGCAGTGAAGAGAGTGTAGGTCAAAAGCAGGAGCTGGGGAGACTTGGTTGGTCCAGTTCTTATGATTAACAGTTAGGGACCTAACCACTGCTCACTCTCCTCTGGTGCATGAAGGATGTTCAAAATAAAATCAGCAGCCTTCCCAAGACATTTTTTGTGAAACACTGGATTGAACAAGATTTCTAAATGCACAATGCTGCCACCTGACAGTGATTTTGCTATTTATTTTAATTTTTGTTTATGAAAAATAGTGGTGTTTAATTGGCTGTATCTTGCTGAGTGCTCTTGATGCTAGTAGAGTATTTTTCCTGATTCATTTGCAGATTGAGAGAATCCAGAATCCAGACCTCTGGAATAGCTATCAGACGAAGAAGAAAACCATGGATGCCAAGAACAACCATGTCATTAACGAGAGGCTGCTCTTCCATGGGACAGATGCCCACTCAATGCCTCATGTCAATCGCAACGGCTTTAACCGCAGTTATGCTGGGAAGAACGGTAAGGAGCCATGACATCTGGTGCTCCATCTGAGGGGTTGGGCATGAGACCCCAAGCTGACTTGGTGTTCCCTTGTGGCTGTGACTCTGGTGCTACCAAAGTTTCAGGGTCAGACTTACTAAAGGGGAATGATGATTTTGGGATGGAAGAATGATTTAAAAAAATTAGAAACATAAGCAAAAATATTAAGAGGTTTTTAAATAGAAGAGCTACCCAGTATTTTAACATTATTTGACATATCAACATACCAATTTATAGGCTAAAGTGGAATCCTTAAAAATGTTTTGTTTTCTCTTCACAGCTGTGTTATATGGAAAAGGAACCTATTTTGCTGTCAATGCCAGTTATTCTGCCAATGATACATACTCCAAACCAGATGCAAATGGGAAAAAGTATATGTATTATGTGCGAGTGCTTACTGGACTCAGCGCACCTGGAAATCAGTCATTAATTGTACCTCCTCCCAAGGATCCCCGAAATCCTACTGACCTGTATGACACTGTCACAGATAATGTGTCAAATCCCACTTTGTTTGTGGTATTTTATGACTACCAGGCTTACCCAGAGTACCTCATCACTTTTAGCAAATAGCATCTGAGCTTCCTTTGTGGAAGACATTACGCATCCTTATCTATCCAATTGTAAAAAAAAAAAAAAAAGTTGTAGCCTTTTGTTTTCTCTTAACAACTTACTCATTTCCTACTTTCTTCCTTCTGGCTTTGGTTTCCATTGAGATTGTCTTCATTGGCAGCAACGTGGGCTAAGAGGCGGAGCAGTGCCCCAGGGAGTCAGTGCACAGTGCACTCAGAAGGTAGAAGTCTGCAGGAGGATGAAGGTGTCTTTTCTGGGCTCTGGGGTGATGCCTGCACTTCAAGTTGAGGAGGTTGAAGGTGCCACAGTTGCTGCTGCATTAACACAGACTTCTTGAAATGTTTCTTGCAGTCACTGTTTGTCTTGTAGGTGGTTTGCAAAGACCCCTAACTGCTCAGGGTGGCTTCCCTGACACTGACATCTGAACTGATTGACAATGAGAAAAAAATAAAATGGAGAGGGTGCCCCCTGTTGGTGCAGGGGTTAAAGACAGCGCTATCAAGCTATTGCCAGTCACTGCAGCAAGAGTTCGATTCCCTGGCTGGCCAGGGAGGTGATCCACAAGGTGCAGCAGACCTCTCCTGTCTCACTTGCTGCTCCTCTCAGCACTGTGTTTCAGTAGATCTGCCTGTTCTGCTCCCCACCACCCTGTGGCGTGTCTCTGAATGCTCTCACCCCCCCGCCCCCATACCTCTGGGCTGTTCTTATATGTAAAAATAAATAAAATCTTTTAAAAAAAATTAAAATTATACTTTGCAACCTTATTGATATAAGCATGACTAATCATGGCTGGACCATTTTAAAATGAAAAAAATCATTCTTATGTACCCTTAAATAAAATGGCCACCTTGTCTGCTGAATAGCCTGCTGATGCTTGTGATTCCAGGTGTGACACTGAGCAGTATCTTGAATCTCTCTGACCTCGGGTGGGGCAGTGCATTTGTTTCATAATTAATTTCACTCCCTCAGGCATGCCCACCTGAGAACTGCAGTCTGAAATGAGAGCCAGAACTTTTGGTGGCTGAGAGCCTCTCCTTTCACCATCTCCCTTCCTCTCACGCACCTGTTTGGCAGGTAGCCAGGAATCTCTTGCTGTGTCTTAATCTCTATCTTTATAATATGAAATTATGTCCCATCATCCATTTACACTTAGAATATGTTCATAATTATGTCCAAATATGTCTAAATATGTTTGGACAAATTATGGACAAATATGTCCAAATTCAATGCTTTGTCTCAGAATGAGTTCAAACTCCAACCTACACTAAGAAATACATTTTATAAACATATAGAAGAAAACATAGGCAAAACACCCCATGACATATATCTCAGAAGCATCTTTAAAGACTCATCCCCCAAAGCAAAGAAAGTGAAGGAAAAGATAAACAGCTGAGATTACATCAAACTAAAAAGTTTCTGTACAGCAAAAGAGACAATAACCAAAACAAAGACACCCTATGGAATAGGAGAAGATATTTGCACTCTCTGAAACTGATAACAGTCTGATTTCAAAGATCTGCAAAAAGCTCACAACAAAAACAAAGCAAACAATCCAGTCAAAAAATGGGCAGAACTAAAAAGACACTTTTCCAACGTGGAAAGGCAAATGGCCAACAGGTATATGGAAAATGCTCATCTCTTATAATCAGGGAAATGCAAATCAAAAGTGCAATGAGATACCACCTCACACCAGTGAGAATAGCCCATTTTTAAAAAAATGGCAACAATAAATGCTAGCAAGGATGTGGAGAAAAAGGATCCCTCTTACACTGTTGATGGGAAAGTAAAATGTTCTAACCACTATGGAAAGTTGTGTGGAGAACCATCAAACTACTAAAAATGGAGCTACCATATGCCTAAGAATCTACCCAAGGTCACAAAAACATTAATTTGAAAGGAAACCTGCATTCCTATACTTAATGTAGCACTATTTACAATAGGTAAGATATGGAAACAACCTAAATGCCCAAAAACAGATACCTGGATGAAAAAATCGTGGTATATATACACAATGGAATGCTATACAACAGTAAAAAAAGATGTACTCATGCCATTCACAGCAACATGGATGGAATAGGCAGGGATTATGCTCAGTGAAATAAGCCAGAAGGAAAAAGAAAAATATTGCATGGTTTCATTTATAGAAGAAATATAGGGGAACCAAATAAGGGTTCTGGAAAGATAAATAAAACTAGCAGGCAAACTATAAATTGGAGATATCCAGCAGGTGAAGGGGAGGAAGAGGGATCAAAACAGGGAAGGAAGAGCACAAGGGACTATGGTGATGGTTCATGGGTGTCTTGGTGGTGGCAATTTTATGGGGATTACACCAGAAAGGAGAAATCAAGCTTACACAAAAATGGACAATGATATAAAATTATATAATTAAAAAAATACATTTTACACCTGGTCTAGTACCCACACAAATGTAACTTAAAAATTTATGAAATATACTTACCTTTAAAAAAATGTATCTTCCTGGGCCTCCTTGGTGGTGCAAGGGATTGAGCACAGTGCTGTGAAGCTGTTCACAGCCTCTGTAGCACAAGTTCGATCCCCAGACGGGAGCTACCCACATGGCGCAGCAGACCTCTCCTGACTTGCCCGCTGTTCCCCTCAGCATTGTACTTCGGTCTATGTGCTTGTTCTGTTCCCCACTCTGTCTCTGGTGGATCCTCTCACCTCCCACACCTCTGGCCTGTACTCCAGTTCTCATATGCATAAATAAATAAAGTTTTAAAAATAAATGTTTTAAAAATGTATCTTCCTGTAAAATTTCACAAAATAATATTTGCACTTACAATTGAATTCTCTGAAATCACCTATTCTGAACCATTTTAAAAAGTTAATGACTTTTTCCTATTTTGGTATATAACACTATTGTTTTAGAAGTACAGGTTTTCTCCACTTCAAATATATGCTACTACACCAACACCTACAATCAAACTCAACTACACTCCATTAGAGTCCCTCACCCTTTGCTTTGTTTCCATCCCACCCTCTAGTAACCTTTTTTTGGTTTTGTTTTGTTTTCTATTACATTTTTTTAAAATGTTATCCTTTGCACTATTCAGATCTTATGACTAATGGGTCACGACCTGCAATTTGAAAATCGATGGTCAAAGGAGCAGCAAACATATGAAAGAAATACCGGTATCTGTAATAGGGATATACTGACTAGGGATAGCAGACATCTTAGCCTTGGCTACAACATCTACTGCCCCTATGTATTTGACGGAGTATTACTAACAAAATCTTTTTATAATCTTCTCAAATATTTAATGAGCATATACCACATCTTAAGCACTGATAAATGTATGAATACAGTTACATTCTGGTTGGGAGGGAGAATCATCAAGTAGATAAGTACATGTATAGTGGTCAGATGGTGATAGGTGTGACAGAAGGGGTTTTTTCCAGAACCTTATTTTTCTGGGCATGTTTACATAATACTTTCTTTCCTCTCCCAAGGGAGACACGGATTTTCTTTGGATTTATTAATAACCTCTGTCTGAAGGCTGAGAAGGATGGGGCCAGTAATCAATTCATCTTGCAAGGTAAACTTGGGAAATTTTTGGTCAAGTATTTATCTCATGAATGGTTATTCAGAGGTAATAGGCTTTTATAATTTCTAAATTCTTACACAGTAGTAATAATAAGCTCCCTCAGATCATCTTACAAATGTAAGGAGAGTGAGATTGATTTCACTAAACCAAGATTTTAGTCAGTTTCAGGAATCAGTATCATCTGTTCCTTTTTATTCCCAGGACTGGTGTCAGAGGTCCCAGTTCCTTCCATAAGGAGGACACTTATTGGGTCTCATCCTTTTCCTGTCAGTACTCTGCTGTAGATGACATGAGTTAACCAGTGAAAATCGTGCAGGTATCAAAAGTATGATCACTTCAGATGGGGGTTAGGATCCACCCAGTGGAGATAATAGGTAAAGGGTGGCTAACTTTTTCTGTAAGGAAATAGTGAATATTTCTGACTTTATAGCTATGCAGTTTCTGTTATTACTCTGCCACTGTAACCCTAATGCCACCACAGACAGCAAGTAAAAAAAAATGGCAGGGCTGTGTTCCAATAAAACTTTATTAACCAAAACAAGCAGAAGGCAGACCTCTGCTTGATGTTGATGGCAAGATTACCTCCTGTTGAGAACACTTGGGGGTTGACATTTAATAGGCTAAAAGGATGGCATGGGAGCCGGAAAGGTAAAGTCTTTGAAGAAAGAAGGCCTACAAACAACCAAGAGCCAATTAGCCAAAGGGCAAAGAACATGAAAGAAAGTAGGAAGTACAGAAACTTAGTTTATTAAGTATGAAAATTAAACTTTTGCTTTTCCATCTTTTTTCTTTTTTAAAACATACTATCTAAAATGTTTTTTAAATACTGTTTAAGAAGTCATTTTCTTTAGAATCACAAACTTCTTCCTTGTATCAAAAGTTGTGCCACTATCCTAGTTACTTTTGGATTCACTAAACAGTCCAGCAAGTCATCTGTGGAAATGAATTTTTGACAAGGGGCTGATGCACTATTTGAAGAAGTTTGTTCCATAACTGCATCTTCACTTTTGCTCATCATTCGTTGCCTCTTAGTGTGATGTAATTTTCTAGAATGTTCTCCATCTTGGCCAACAAAGTCTTTACCACCACTTTCAAATATGTCTTCTTCTTCTGAAGGTGGTTCTTCAGAACTTGGTATTACAGGAACAAGATCAGGGCCAAAGGGACCTGCTGCCTCCTGTTCTGTTGTTCCCAGGGTTAAGTGGCTACCTGTTTCTTCCACTTCCACGTGGTTGTGCACATTTAATTCTTGCTCTCTCACATACTCTCTACTTGTTCTTGGTGCTTGGATTTCTGACACCTTAGATACTGTGCAATGATCCAAAAAGGCAGAAACAGCTCCATTTAAGTAACGACAATTGACTTCATGAGATGTTTCTTCACCCTAAGAGGGGAGAAATCCTTTAGAATGGTTATACGCACTTATACAAATTAGAAAAATAATGTTGTAGTCAGGGTTGCTTAACCATAGAAAATGAACCGCAGAATGACAACCAGAAGCAGCCTACCTCTGTTGGGTTTAACCAAGCTCTGGTATTGTGGGCATCCTCTGCCGTTTTCAGGGCACACACAAGCATACGGGTGATTGCCTCTTCCACACGGGCCAGGTGGTCCTCTTCCTATGATTGAAAAAAAAAAGAACGACATTTTTTTCATTGGTCTATCTCATGGATTAAAACAGAAAGTAGAATCTCTCTTATGTATTCTATTCTCTCATTAATATAAGCTTTTTACAAAAGAAATGTTATTGGCAGACCACATATTTTACGTATTTACTATCAATCTGGTATTTAGAAAAACTGTAGGATATTTCATCACCCAAATTCAAGTACATTGCCTATCTATAAGACATAGGCCTTATGAGGTTTTTCTAATCTTTTCCATTCCTTGGCATGTTTAAAGTTTAAAAAGAGGGCCTCTTTGGTGGCGCAAGGGGTTAAGCACCACACTATGAAGCAATCCACAGCCTCTGCAGCATGAGTTTGATCTCTGGCCGGCTAGGGAGAAACCCATAAGGCGAGGCAGACCTCTCCTATCTCGCCAACTGCTCCCCTCAGCAGTGTATTTCAGTCAATTTGCCTGTTCTGTTCCCCACTCTGTCTCTGGTGGATCCTCTCACCTCCCCCGCATCTCTGGCCTGTACCCCAGCTCTTGTATGCATAAATAAATAAATCTTTAAAATAATAAAGTTCAAAAAGAATAGTATCACATACAGAGGAATAATCCATATAGTGTCTGATATAACTATTTGAGGAATGGGAAAAAATATAATTAAGCATGCTTGATCACAAGAGTAAGATGGCTAAACATCTAAACATTTTTTTTTTAAGATACAGTGAGTATAAACTATGGCATTAAGGAAAAATTACATTAAAATCAACAACTTTGCACATCAAAAGGCATCATAAAGGAAAAAAACAGACCAGATGTCTTCAACATATGTAATGACAATACATTAATATCCAGAATATCTGCACAAAGACAAACGACCCGATTTTTAAATGGGCAAAAGACATGAAAACATTAAAAAAAATTATAATCATACACACAAATAAATGTAAGAAAGATGCTTAACCTCATTATTAATCAATTAAGTACAAATCAAGAAGCTCTGGTTATCTTAACACATCTTAAACACTGATGGTGGAAGGATAAACTCAGAGCCATTTGGAAAACATGCTGGCATTATTTATAAACTTAAGTACTGTATACCCTACAGAGCAGCATTCTACTCCTACATATATATCGTCTCTAGAGAAACATTTGCACATATGTACAAGAATATTCTATTTTTAAAAGCAAAAAACTGAGAACAACCCAATTATCCATCAACAGAACAATGAACTAATAAGCTGTGGTATATTAACATATGAGAATATTACACCACAGCAAAAATGAATGAATAGCTACTTATGACAACATAGACAAATGTTAGAATCATAAAATTAAATTGAAAAAAGCATATCTCTATGATGAGACACCACTTCACATTAGGAAGGCAATAATCAAGATGACAGATTGTGTTGGTGGGGATGTGGAGAGATGGGAATCTTTATATATTGCTGTGAGAATATAAATGGTACTGCTGCTTTTTCAAACAGACTGGCAGTGTCTCTAAGGATTAAACATGTGATGGTTAATTTTATGAATCAACCTGGTTAGGCTATAATGTCCACTTGTTTACTAGTCTCATGTTGCTGTGAAGATATTTTGCAGATGTATTATCAATCAAGTGAATTTAAGTAAAGGAGGTTATCTTCAATAATGTGGTTGGACCTCATCCAATCAGTTGGAAGCCTTCAGAGAAAAAAAATCTATGAAATTCTGCCTTGAGATTGTAACAGAAACCCTGGGTGAGTTTCCTGTCTGCCAACCTGTTTTATAATTTTAGACTCCAGATAGCAACTTCAACTTGTCTCCTTTCCAGCTTACTGGGCTGCCTGATCCAGTAATTCCACAAAAATGTCTATGTTAACATTAACAGCATTATTCACAACAGTCAATGGTAGACACAAGCCAAATGTCCATCAACTTAGAGTGGAAAGACAATGTGGTATATCTATACAATGGAATATTTTTCAATCATAAAAAAAAATAAAGTGCTGATACATGTTACTACATGGATGATCTTGAAAACATTATGTGAGTCAAAGACGTCATCCACAAGACCACATATTAAATAATTCCAAAACTGGTAAATCTATAGAGACAGAAAACAGATTAGCAATTGCCTATGGCAGGAAAGTAAAAAGGGGGAGTAACTATTAATAGATATGGGGTTCCTTTTTTATGGCAATGAAAATATCCCAAAATTGATTGGTTGCACAATTCTTTGAGTATACAAAAACTATTATTTGAAATTGGTGATTTTGTATGGTATGGATTCAATCTCATTAAAGATATTATTTTTTAAAGCCTCAGAAAACTACATTAAATATGATTTTATTTTATTAAGCTTAAAATATGTAAAATAGTAAGTTTTTTTAGGGATATGTAAATATGTGATGACTTGTTTAAGCAAGAGAAAGAAGCTTCTGAAGGAGACAGATGGGGGTAGAACGGGAAGGAACACAACACAGATCCAAGTTAAAACTTTCCAGGTTTTAGATTAGGTGGTACGTTCATTGGTATTCATTATATTATTAATCGTATACATCTTACAAATATGTTATATTCTTTTATGAGTATAAATACAATAAAAGACAAAGGAAAAATTATGAGAAGAAAGCTTTTAAAAATCAATATATATTAGACATAAAATATATAAGTAAATGTACATTTATTTATATATATATTTACAAAAAAGACTGACTGGAATTAACTAGAAATGAATACAAATAGATTGCTCTAGGGGATAGGAGGAACTAAGTAGAGGAACAAAGATAAAAGAAGGACTTCTCTGAGTTTACCTTTTAGTACAGCTTTGAAAATTTAAATGTTTTACATATTCAAAATTAACATAAAGAAAAAAGAGCATTTCAAAATAAGGCAATATGGAATGTTGGTTAGAATTAATCACCAAGTTTCACAGAGAGTTTTCTGCATCTTAAGAGCAAAGATTACATTTATTTCTTTAAAAAAATGGTACCAGTTCAATCCATGAGTTTACACTGACAGTGACAGGATCAATGGATTCCACGTAATGCCACCAGTGTCTGGGAACAAAGAGGACCTGAAAACCAGATAAAAAATGATTAGGAAAAGGACATTTCATTTTTCTGTCAGAATCACACCTCATTAAAGCTTCTTGGAGAAAAGGAATATAAATGAATTTTTGGTAATATTAATGTATGAAAGAGAAACAAGAAAAACCCACATTAATTAATCATTTTTTTGATGTAATATTGGTATACAACCTGTGTCTGTTTGGGAGGTATAGGTCCCCATCTATTCAAATTTGTCACTCACTGCCAAAGCACCAATAACCCTCCTTTTGTCTATTGGAACCCCTCCACCTTTTGCTGCCAAACCTGCTCCCTCTATAGTAACCTCAGCTCTGCAGTCAGATTCCAAGAGTCTGGTTTGGTTTGGATTTATCTGTTCCTTTACATTCCACATGAATGTAGTCATTCAGTATTTGTCTTTCTCCTTCTGATTTATTTCACTTACATAATCCCCTCCAGTTCCACCCATATTGTCATAAAAGGCAAGATTTCATCATACGTATTATGTATGATATATATTCATTAAATATACGATACATATATACACATACCACATCTTAATTCACTCATCTGTCGTTGGGCACATAAACTGTCCCTGTAACTCAGCTATCATAAATAGTGCTGCAGTGAACATAGGAATGCATATATATCTTTAGTGTTTTTATATTTTTCAGACAGATACCTAGGACTGACACTGCTCGATCATACAATAAATCTTTAATATTCTGAGGAACCTCCATATGGCTGGACCAGTCTACATTCTCATGAACAGTGTGCCAGCGTTCCTTTTTCTCTTGCCAGAACTTGTTGTTGCTGGTCTTGTTGACATGGGCCATCTTACAGGTGTGAGGTGATGTTTCACTATGGTTTTGATTTGCATTTCCCTGGTAAGTGATAGAGCAGTTTTTCATGTGCTAGTCATCTGTATGTCACTGGAGAGGTGTCTGTTTAGCCCTTCTGCACAATTTTTGATTGGATTGTATTCTTTTTGCTGCGTTGTATGAGTTTTTTGTAGATCCTGGATATATTAGCTTCTTTTCAGATATATGGTGTGCAAATATATTTTCTTATTTAGTAAGGTGTCTTTTTATCTTAGTAATAGTTTCTTTTGCTGTACAGACACTTTTTAGTTTGATGTTGTCTCACTGTGTTTGCTTTTATTTCCTTGCTGTTATATATATATAGTTGAATACCCAAAGAAATCATGAAGCCAATGTTATAAAGTGTTTTGCCTGTTTTTTTTTTAAATGTATTTCATGGCTCCAGGTCTTACAATCAAGCCTTTAATCCACTTTGACTTAATTTCTGTGTATGGTATAAGACAGAAGTCTAGTTTCATTCTTTTTCATGTGGCTATCCAATTTTCCCAATACCATTTGTTGCACAGACTTTCCTTTCTCCATCCTTTGTTTCTGGTTCCTTTGTTGTAAATGAAATGTCCATGTGCGTGTGGGTTTCTTTTTGGGCTTGCAATTCTATGCCATTGGTCTGTGTGTCTCTCTTTATTCCAATATCATAGTGGTTTGACTAAAATAGCTTTTAGCTATAGCATAGTTTGAAACCTGGGAGTGTGATGCTTCCGTTCTTTTTTGGGTGATGGCTGCTTTAGCTATTTGGGGTTTTTTTGTTTCCTACAAATTTCAGTAATGTTTTTCTATTTCCTTGAAGAATGTCATGGAAATTTTGATAGGGATTGCACTGAATCTGTATAATATTTTGGATAAGGCATGGCTAATTCGAATGGAATTATCTTTCCATTTCTCTGTATCTTTTATTTCTTTTAACAATGTCTTGTAGTTATACAGGTCTCTCACCAACTCAGTTACCAAGTTTATTCCTAGGTTCTTAATTCTTTTAGATGTGATTGCAAATGGGATTGTCTTATTGATTTCTTTCTCTTTTAGTCACTATTTGCACATAGACATGCAACACATTTTTGTATTTTGACTTTGTAGATTGCTACTTGACTGCATTAAATTATTGTTTCCAACATATTTCAGTGAAGTCTTTAGGTTTACTATGTATATTATCATGCTATCTGCAAATAGTTATAGTTTTATTTCTTCTCTTCTAAGTTGGATTCCTTTTACTTCTTTCTCTTATCTACTTGCCTTAGGCAGGACTTCCAAAAGTATACTGAATAGTAGTGATGAGAATAAAGTCATTTTTTTTACTGGCAAGTCCTCATGTTCTACAAAACCTTTTCCAACATTTGTAGATATTACCAGCTTTTCCAGCCTCATTTCTCCTTAACCCTGAATCTTCTCTGTCTGCAACAAAATCTTAGGAAAAGATGGTAAAATTCTAGTTTTCTCTCTGTTTTAGCACAAAAAAGTTTATGCACTTTGAGAAAGGGCATAGGACAGAGTTTCTGTCTTCTCACAGACTAAAATCTAGCCAATCCAAAAATAATGGGTAAAAGGTGACATTATATAAATGGTAAATCCAAGAGGTAGCTATTGAGTCCAGAGAACTTTAAAGGTGGGAGAATGGGCATGAGCCATGGGGGTGAAGGGAAAAATGGATGGAGGAAATGTGATTTGAACATGAATAGAAAAGCATTTAGAGGGCCTCCCTGGTGGTGCAAGGGGTTAAGCACCACACTACGAAGCAATCTGCAGCCTCTGCAGCACGAGTTCGATCCCCGGCCAGCCAGAGAGAAACCTACATGGTGCAGCAGACCTATCCTGTCTCGCCCGCTCCTCCCCTCTGCAGTGTATTTCAGTCAGTCTGCCTGTTCTGTTCCCCACTCTGTCTCTGGTGAATCCTCTCACCCCCACACATCTCTGGCCTGTACCCCAGTTCTTGTATGCATAGATGGATAGATCTTTAAAAAAAAAAAAAAAAGCATTTAGAGAAAAGAATGAGCACATGGTATGAGGGAGAAATGGCACAGGCAATGTAGGTCAGTTTTACCACTAAAGAAGGAATAATGGAAAATAAGGTGGGAAAATGAGGATATGGCCAGTGCTGGCCCTAAATTCAAATGAAAGAATCTGGATTTTATCCCGTAGGAATTGCATTACAAGTTACTGTGAAAGTTTGAGTAGACAGTGGTTAAAATAGTAACATTGTGGGAGAATCTGGGAAGGATAGGAAATTATTGCAATGGTCCACCTAATAAGTGAAAACAAAATAGGCAGGTAGAATAACAGAAGCAATAGGCAGAGACACTTAGGGCTGCGTTTGTCCAGATTCAGTGTGCTCAGTGTGAAATTTCCTAAAGAAGGTTGGGAACAGATGGCACTTGCTATGTGCAGGGTTAAACTGGAAGATGGAAAGAGCATTCTTTTTAGGAGAACTGAGTGCTGAATTTAGTCCTTAGGAGGTCATGAATGTCTTTCCACAGAACATACTTTCAGTAAACTAGTAAAACAGAGCCCATCAGTTTATGGTAGATTAGGGATGAGCAGACTGCTAGCAAAACTGACACAATAGATAGAACCACTCATTCAAAAGTGGCTATTTAGGGGTCCTCCCTGGTGGCGCAACGGGGTAAGACACATCCCATGAAGCTGTCGGCAGCCTCTGCAGCTCCAGTTCAATCCCCAGCCAGGGAGGAGACCCACATGGCACAGTAGACCTCTCCTGACTCGCCTGCTCCTCCCCTCAGCAGTGTATGTCGGTCAATCTGCCTGTTCTGTTCCCCACTCTGTCTCTGGTGAATCCTCTCACCCTCCACACCTCTGGCCTATACTCCAGTTCTTATATGCATAAATAAAAAAATCTTTTTAAAAAAGTGGCTATTTAAATAGGATTTCACAGCCACTAGAAGGTTATAGAATTATAATGATAATAATAATAAAAGAAAATAACTAGTGTTGGTGAGGATGTGAAAAAAGTTGCTCGTGGGAATGTAAAATGGTACAGTTGCTGTGGAAAAGTTTGTGAATTCCTCAAAAGATTAAACCTAATTACCATATGACCAGCAATTCCACTCTTAGTACCCCAGAAAACTGAAAATGTTCGTAACAAAAACTTTAACATGAATGCGTACAGCAAGCAGCATGGTTTGTAATAGACAAAATGTGGAAATAACCCAAATGCCCATCATCTGATCAACTGACAAATATAAACTCATAGAATGGAATGTATTCAGTCATAAAGGGAATGTAGCACTGATAACATTCTACTGCATGGATGAGCCTTGAACACATGCCATGTGAAAGAAGTCAGCCACGATGGGTGACACATACAATTGTACTTGTGTGAAACATCCAGAGGGGCTAATCTATAAAGAAAACTGCATTATTGTCAGAAGCTGGGGCAGTGAGGGGAATGGAAAATGACTGCAGGAAATTGAGGCCACTTGGTGAAATCAAAGTGTCGGATCTGGAGTACTGGAGTGTGAAGGCCAGTGACAAGGAAGCAACAGAAGGAAAATAGGCAGGGAAGAGGGATAATGGAGGGAATATGAACATCTTTCACATTGTTAATCAAACATTGGGCAGCAAATGCCCATTTTGCAAAGGTGATTCTCTTCACTAGGTAGCAGCACTAAGCACAATATCTTTGGGAATATTTCTGAGGCAGTCTGTTACAAAAGCTACATTTCATCTTGCTTCAAGGCAAATCATTATTCATTCACTTGGCTTCACCTGACCCCCTATCTGGATGAATTCCAATCTTGTATTCATTTATCTAGGTTCTAGCTGAACAGACAGTAATTGTAAAAAAGTGCTCCAGAAGTACTCAGGTATCCATGCTTTGGCACTTTCTCTTAACCTGAATAAAAATGACATTGTGAGCAGTTCTGTTCCTCCACGCTCCATTTGCCAGTTTACCAGTAGGTGGAGCTCTGTTCCTTCCTTCCATTTCCTTTGCAAGACCTGTGAGCAGAGGATTATGTGTCTAAAGCCAGTAGCTGGAGAAACTTCCTCCCAATAGAAAAGCAAGAGGGAGGGGATACCATTCTCATTTGTGTTGGGCTGGGGAAGAACAAGTTATAAGGACTTGAGAGAAGGTTACCTGTCCTGGGTACAGTGTGACAGTATGTCTTCGGGCTTTCCGGAATTGAGGAAAACGTTTTAAATCAGGATTGGCAACATTAACTTTACTGAACACACTGGATTCTTCATAAGGGATTCTAGTTGGGTACAGGAGAGGAGTATCCTGGGGAGGGAAGAGATGCCATCTTTTCCTAATTAAAAAAAGATACAAGTTAATAATTTCAACTTGAGACAAAACAGGTAAGACAGCAGCAGCTAAGTATTCATTTTATTCAATTTCATTCAGTCCTTAAAAGGAGTATGGAGCAATCCCAGTGGCCACCTGTCCCATCTCTCACTCAGTGCTGGAATCTCCTCTGCAGACACCTGGTGGAGGCAGGACAGCAACTAGCAGATTTCATGATGGCCAAGGCAGCCCCTTATCACTGGAACACAATCTAATATGTAACATCTTTCTTATCTCAGAACAATGTCCAAATGGTTCCTATCCCTCATTCCAAAGCTATCCAAAGTAACCTCCACACTCTCATGTTTCCATGAGTTGAAAGAATAGAGAACAAGCACCATTTGCCTGGTCTAAGACCCTCAGGCTCCACCCTGCCTTTCCAGCTTAATCCCTCTGCCTCCAATGCACGAATTCAACTGGACAATTCACAGGGTCCTCTGCCTACCCCAGGCTTTCCCAGGACTGTGTTCATGCTGCTCCCTCTGCCTCTCCCATCTGTGTCTTTTGAACACTTTCCTTTCCTTCAGAGGACAGCTGGGCTGTTCCCTGAAATTTTCCCTGATCTTTCCCACAGGAATGTTACTTCTACTTTTCAGTCCCACGACCCTGTGAAGTTCTGCTCAAGTGTATGTCTATTCTGCCTTATATCACAGTTCTCTGTGAGCTTGTGTACACCCCAACTGCACCCCAACTCTCTTAGAGCAGGAAGGTGTTTTACTCACTTACCTTTTTTGCTAGTGCAGCACACATATCTGTACAGCAGGATACTCAATAGATATTTACAAGTTATTTTTTTTTTACTACAGAGTTAGTAACGAAGTCAGAAAAATGTTTTATTACAGAGTAACAATAAAGCTACATTAATTTTATTTCCTAGAAACAATGTAGGTATCCTGGTAATGTGTATTTAACTAGAATTTCTTTAGCTTGCTTTCCAATTCAGAACACATGGAAAGTGACTACTTAAAATGATACCCTCCCTTACCAAGTTTAAGGTTCAGATAATAAACTCTACCAGGGCAGGACCAATGCATATTTGACTCACTAGTTCATCCACAGTGTATCAAAATGCACTGTAGACAGTCTAGGCTTTTTAGTAAAGACTTAGAGTCAACTCAAAAAAATTAAGGAGTCAACTGCCTTATTCCATCTTGTAGTTTTCAAGGCTCTTTACATATGAATTCGATTCACATGTGATTATTCCCTATTTCTCTTGGCTCCAGTGATTTTTGTGTGTTTCTAAAGAGTCAGGCAGCCTGCAAACAGCCATTTCTGCTTTTCCTTCTGAGCTGCCCTTGTGAGTATCCTAAATGGCCAGGTTAGGTGTTTGGGCATCATTACTTAGGGGAAAATAAGGCTACACATACAACATTTTAATTATATCCTCCAAGTGGCAGAAACATTTACACATAACTCCTGGGATCAGAATCTATCAAAACTACCTGACTTTGCACTTAAAAATAAGCGACCACAGATGGGAGAAAAAAAGTGCAGCGTGTGTACAGCTAGACACAAACTAAAGTCTAGTGAAAGAGGCCACAAATACCATCTAGTCTAGTAATCCTCACACCAGTCTCCCTGCATCTTCCTCAGGGGCCTGAGGATAGTAGCAAAGCCTCCTCCTTTCAACAAATTACTCTGCTCCTATTTACTTAGGTTTGTGGAAAGGGTGTTTCTATTTTTATTTTTTTTAATTTTTTTTAAATTTAAATAATAAATTTTATTTTTATATTCCCCCATACAATTGCAAACGCCCCACTCTGACCCCAATCCCTCCCCTCCCGCCCCCCACCCCCAAAAAGTGTCTCTGGTTCATAGTTTTTTGTTGATTTTGATTTTCACTTTCTTATATTCATTTTCCTGGTCCCTTATTTAAGTTTTCTAGATTCCTGCTATGAGTGAGACCATCCGGTATTTTTCTTTTTCTTTTTGGCTTATTTCGCTGAGCATGATCCCTTCCAACGCCATCCATGTTGCTGCAAATTGCATGTGTTTATCTTTTTTGAATGCTGAGTAATATTCCATGGTGTATATGTACCACATCTTCTTGATCCAGTCATCTATTTTTGGGCATTTGGGCTGTTTCCAAAGCTTAGCTATTGTAAATAGTGCTGCTATAAACATAGGGGTGCAGGTGTTCTTTGGAATTGATGTTTCTGTGTCCTTTGGGTAAATACCTAGGAGTGGAAATGCTGGATCGTATGGAAGCTCTATGTTTAGTAGGTCCAGAAATCTCCACACAGCTCTCCATAGTGGTTGGACCAGTTTGCACTCCCACCAACAGTGCAGAAGAGTTCCTTTTTCTCCACACCCTCGCCAACATTTGTTGTTGCTAGTTTTTTTAATATGTGCCATTCTCACTGGTGTGAGATGGTATCTCATGGTGTTTCTATTTTTAGACAAATACTTGAATGACACAGAATCTTATGTCAAAGAGGTAAGCAGAGAGCTGTCTATCTCAACTGGGAGTAGAATGCTATAGTTTGAGGATCAGTTTTCTGAAGGCAGTAGTGATAATGCTCAGAGACCAACACGGAAACGACCATTTAAACTATTCCCTTCTTAATGCTGTACACCAGATGCCTATGTAACGTTAGGAACCAATGTTACTTCAATACAAAAAATTTAAATAATAAACAAACTGTTCCCCTCACTGAACCAGAGGTTAAGAGATCTCTCTGGTCACGAGGCAGGATGCAGCAGAGGCTAAACCTTGGAGTCCTGCCATCTATCTGATACTCATTTCTCTAGCAGCACATACATTCACACACACACTCTCTCCACCCACCTCAGATACACAAATGTATTACCTTCCTTGTACCTGGAACACTAAATTGCAACCATACGAGTCCAGATGACAAGGTGTATGGGCCCCGAAAGAGCCAATCCACAATGTGCTCTCTTGTCCATTTCTTCCAGGAAACCCGAAATCAGACCATATCACATCCTGTTTCGAAAATAAAATTACAATCCATCAAGAACCAGCCAACCTCACTATAGGGCAGTGCTGCACATTTACACTTGAATTGGTTCCGGGCACTTGCATAACACTCTTAACAGAAAATGCCATAGATGGAGGAGGTTAGATGCTGCTGCAGTTCAAGAAATCCTTTTAGCCAATAACATATCTGAATTAACTCACTAATAGTAGTTATTCAACTAATAGTAGTTATTCAACAAATATTTATCCACTGTCTACAACAACATGGCAGATTCAGAAACTTATGATGAATCAATGAACAAAACAGATAAGAATGCCTATCCAAAATGAAACATATTTTAAAGGTTGGAGATAACAAATAATAGACTTAATTATGCAGATATCTAGGGGAAGGTGGGAACAATGACTACAGTGGAAGTAGAAGTTTTTCAAATAGGACTGTAGCTCAACTCAGGAAGATAGAAGGCCAATACCTTTAAGCAGTACAGATATTTGGGCACATGAGTAACATGAACTTTTTATACTTTCATGACCACATAAAAGAATTCTTTTAGGTTAGTGGAATTATTTAAAACTATAGATGATGAAGCCTTCCTCATTCCTACCAAGTCAGTAACAAGGTGTGGGTGTCAAAGTTTACCTTTTGAAATATTTGTAGACAACTTTTGCTATACTCTCAAAAGTCATGAATTCGTAAGAAAAATGAACTTTAAAACAGACAGCACAGGGCTCTGAACTTGGCTCTCCTTACAGCTGGTTCCACAGATCATGCTCGAGTCAACCACTGAACATAAATACCATCTGCTTCTGTGGTCAAATCCAGCTCTCAGACATACCCTCAGGTGTCTAGGGGTTGCTGCAGCATCTCTTCCTTTCAACAAACTGCTCTGCTATATTTTATTTAGTTTGAAGAGGGGTTCCTGGTTTTTTTTATTTTTTTTAAAGATTTATTTATTTATGCATACAAGAACTGGGGTACAGGCCAGAGGTGTGGGGGGTGAGAGGATTTACCAGAGACAGAGTAAGGAACAGAACAGGCAGATTGACTGAAATACACTGCTTAGGGGAGCAGCGGGCGAGTAAGTTGAGGTCTGCCACACCATGTGGGTAGCTCCCTGGCCAGGATCCAACTCATGCTGCAGTGGCTGCTGATAGCTTCATAGGTTGCCTCTTACTTAGCCTCTTGCACCACCAGTGAGGCCCAAGGGTTCCTGCTTTTTAAAGTTAGAAAATGATATAGTTTAACTTAAACCCAAGTCCATGGAACTAAAAATATGTAGGTTCTGCTTTCTTAGTGTTTTTAAGCATGAATTTTCCCTATTGAGTTTTAAAAATAAAACAAAGACTACTTCTATGTGCAGAACATGATTCTAAATGCTGACACTTCTTTTATAAGTATCTTCAATCTATACTTTCTATTTTTAGAGGCAAACCATTAACAATTGTTTGCAAAGACAAAAGATTCAGGAGAGATATTTAATGGCTGGTTGAAAGAAGCTAAAAAGAGCATTTCATTTTTGTTTTGAGTGATGAAAATAACAGCATATGTACGTGTACTAATGTCTGTCATAAGAAGGGGGAGCTTCTGCAAGGTCAGTGCCACTGTAAATGTATGGGGCTCACGTGCAGTAGCTCCAGGGAGTGGCAAAAGCCATGCCCCTTTGGAAGTAGCCATGAATTCCGTGCAGAGCGCTTACCCCTGTATTCCCGTAGCTAACATAATACCTGGCTAAGAGTCAGTGCTGAAAACACTGGTTGTTCTGGAGGGAAAGTAGAATCTGTTGACTTATTATGGGTATATAGCGCAGGACAAGAACACTCTGGGCATCTATCAAATATCTGGCATGATGCTGGGTATTTGGTACATAAAAATTAATACTACACACACCACCCTTTAAATTTAGTAATAAAGATTATCCATACACAGATCCTGTCACTATGATGTGCCAACTGACAGAACTGGGCAGAGTGTTCTAAGATCCCAGAAGGACACCTCTGAGCCCAAGCAGGGGGCTTAGGGAGACTTCCAGTAAACTTGGTCCTGTTGAACAACTCACCACACTTCTAACTGCAATTTACCTAAAGGCAGTATAAAAAAGGTAGGGAGAGATGTGCCCATCTGCCTTAGCTAAGAAGCTGGTTTAAGTGATTCTTAATCTTCTTAGTGAAATACCCCTTTCAAAATCTAACGAATGCCAACACCTGTCTCCTCAGATAAATACACATACTGGATTTCACACATACTTGGGAGGAGGTGATGGGCAAACCCAAGGTGAGAAACTGTTCTAAGAACATTGCTCCAGAAAGAATCACAGTGGGAAGATTTTTTTCTGCAGAGTGTGGGGGTGAATGAATGAGAAACTAACAAGAAGCTTCCTGACTTCTTATTTAACAACAGAAATGACTAAAAAGGAAAAATCATTTTGGAAAGATTACATCAGGGTGAACCAAGCTACCTAAAATTCAGCTGCAAATTGGCTGAGGAAATCAAAGTGTGAAGGGGAATTCAAAGTTTGGGGAAGTGGCAGAGAGTGAGTCAAAGTAAGTTTGTCAGAAAATAGACAGCATTAGTGTTCCTATTTCTTTCCCCCACAGGTCCTGGGAGGTGGGACTTTTACTAACTGAGTTCAGCAACTAATGGATAGTCAAGTGTTTGAGATCAGTGCAGGTTCATCAGAAATATGCCTTGAGTCTGGTCAGAAGCTAGTGACCCTGTTAGGCTACTACCATGGTGACTGATTGAGGTGATCCATCCTATAATCTATTCTCATGAACACTTCAAGAGTTGGAAAAGTCTTCAGAAATCATCCATATCTAGAAAATTCTATTTAGCACCATCCTCAAAAGAGTAACCAAGTGTGTGACTGACAACTTTCTACAAAATCAAAATCTGCTTCTTGGAATTTTCAGAATATCCCAGATATGTTTTCCACAGAAGCAGACAAGTTTATTTTCTCTTCTGTCATGCCCTCACCCTTATCTTTTTTACTGTTTTATACCTGATTCAGTACCATTAACTATTCCTTCCAGTTGCTCTCCTTTCAGCTACCTTCACTTTATCAACAGCCTGCTTAAAGTTTGGCTCCAAGTGTGAATCCCAGACCCAGCCTACATGCAACCTTGTAGGTGGGATTTCCACAGTCAGTGACCAGGACAGAGGTTATTAACATAGTGTTGGATAGTGGTTTGTTTGGTTTTTAAAACACCTGAATTATACCATGGCTAATCTTGGGTTTGCTACCTTTTTCTTAGGAACTGTTGCCAAGACATATCTCTTCAGCATCATTTATTAGTAAGTTCTAGAAAACAGTCTTAGAATAAGTAATTTACATTTATTCTTCTTAAACTGAATCTTGTTAGTTTTTACCTGATATTTTACCATGTTTACAACTACCTCCGTTCATGACTTTCAAATTTCCATTTCCAGCCTTAACATCTAATTATACCTACATTTTCAACTGCAAACAAGTTCTCTATACCTGGTTATTGAATCCTTACAGTGTTCTGATTGTAACATTTTATTTGTATCATCTCATTTAATCCTTATGATATAGTTACACACTTTTCCTATATGTGGAAACTAAGGGACAGTACTGTCCTTTTGTTAGCACTATTAAAAAAAAATAGACATCTATTTGGTTGCCACAATGAATGCAAAGTATCATGAGGCAAAGGAGCCACAAATCTGTTACCAGGTTAGAACCTCTTTCATTGGTTCTGGGTCTAGCCACCCATCACCACAAATGCTAACAAAAGGACTTTTTTTAAAATTTTTTAAAAGATTTACTTGCTCCTTTTGAAATATCACATATTGCTATATTAATAAAACATAAAGTTCTAGCTATAGACTCAGTTATTATCAAACACATTGATTAACATTTCTTTTTTTTTTTTTTTTAATTTTTTTTTTTTTTTATAGAGGCATGTTTATTTATTTATTTATCTGTTTGTTTGTTTGTTTTTGTTTATACATGCACTGGGTACAGTCAGAAGCGCGGGAGGGTGAGAGAATTCACCAGAGCCAGAGCGGGGAGCAGAGCAGGCAGAAGGACCGAAGTACACTGCTGAGGGGAGCAGCGGGCGGCAGGAGAGGTCTGCGCGCCATGCGGGACCCTCCTCCGGTGGCCGGGGAGCAGCCGGGGATCGAACCGGCGCCGCAGAGGCCGCGGGCAGGTTCGCAACCCAGCGCTCAACCGCTGCGCCACCGGGGAGGCCCAACATTTCTTTTAGTATAAGAATACAAGTGATAAATTATCTCAGGTTTTGCCTACCTGAAAATGTTTTAATTTTTTCTTCATTTTTTATTTTATTCTTTAAATATATTTTATGTATTTTTTACATCATTTTTCATTTTTGTACAATGTATGCATTTTCATCTTTGGCAAACAAAAGGGCTTTTGAAGCAGCAAAAAATGAATTAAAAAAATTTAACCAACAGGGTGTGTGAGAAGCTGAGGGAGGGAGAGTGAGAAGTCAAGTGATAGACTGACGGGGCACATGGCACAGAGACAGGGAGAACTGTATCACATCCTACCCCAGCACTTAAAGGACTTAACTAGCAATTCAGCCCTACTTTTTGCCCTCCCCACATTTCAAACCGAAGAGATTCTGTCAGTCCTGATTGTGAGCCTCTTCCTGGAATATATCAGGGAAGTTTATTATCTTCAGTTTACAGACACCGAGGGAAAATGGGATGAAAATAATAAGACAAGTATTTTTCAAGATAAGACCAAATGTAGCACAGCTTCAGTAGAGAATGAGTATTAAGAGCAAAATTCATCACTCACTCATAGCTCAAAATTGGCTGGCCAATGAAAGTAAACTTTGCTTATAATGCAAAAGTAGGACTGACACTATATTCTCCTCTTTCCCTATGGATGGTCTAGTGTTCTGAACAGAATACATAAATAATGCCGTAATAATATATGTAAATAACATAAGTAATGATGGTTTTATTTGATGAGTATATAAAGTGATCATATTTTCCAAATGAAAACTCAGGACAC